TTTTCTAAAATCTAAACCAAAGAAATATTTCCACATTTATTTACCGCTGATTTATTTAAACATTTTATTGCCCGTCTGTAATGTTGATGATGTGCACTTCACTCGGTGCGTTCGTGATCAACAGCAAATTGGCGTCCTCCGCCCTCGTCTGGCCATTTGGCGATCCGCGTTTTCTTTCGTCTCCCTCGAGCCTTTTTTCACCCACCAGTCGGCGCGGCGACAAGCACCCTCTCGAACAACAAAGGGGATGTGCATCGTCTGCCCGTGTGTCGGCCACCCCAAGGGGTGCTGCCTGTGCCAGTGAGCGCCCTGTGCTTGCAAACAGCTGTGCCGAGCAAGAATGAGACTGCGATACTTAGCGGCCGATTCACCCCGCGCGCCTTTTATATTCATCTTTTGCACGGCGACAACATACACGGCCATTTGTTATATTTGGTAAACAATGGTGCTGAAATTTTCATCCCCCGTATATGCGCAGTTGTGGGGGTGAATCAAAATGCGATTGTCGGTTTTTACAAACAACAAGGGTTTGAATGTTTAACTACAGCTGGTAAATATGACTCATGGCATTAAATATTAAATTCATAGAGAAATTTTTAAAAAGGAAAAAGATCGTCTTTAAATTGTTGCCTTCATGTCAATTGAATTTATTGCTGAATTATTGAATTCAATTTTTTATTAATTTTTATTTAAATGAAAATTTAAAGTTACAAATCTTGTATCAAAGTAAAAAAAGTGCTGTTGCGTGAATGAAATTTTATAAATTATTAAACGTTGGTATAGCAGATAGTCTTCAATTCAGACTCTCACCTGAACAATGGCTCAATTTTGAACATTTCCAGCCGACTTGCTGCGTCCACTTTTATTCAAAAAAATTTTCCCCTGTAAATGTACAATTATTCCTCTCGTCGCTCATATTCATATGCACACATGGGAGGCGTCTCCAGAAATTCGGTGCAAAACAAAGCGGAGGGGGCGTGTGGGAACGGAAGTTGGAACAAGTGCAACTTCCGCAAACACCGCAGAGAGCCCACAGAGCATTAGAATGCACCGCTTTGTTCTGTGTTAAACACGGGCTGGGTTGTTCGGGAATATTATGTGCCACCGCGGACAACACACGCTATTACGAATATTAATCATAAAGTGCATCGTGCTAGGAGGGCCGGTGCATTTAAGTTGGGGACTGGAAATTTATGCGTTTTTGGCGTCGCATTGTCAAGTGCAGAGATAAGCTTAGTTTAGACTACCACATTTTTTATTTATAAATTGAAGTTAAATGTAAACTGAAAAAAATGTGCATTTGTTTTTTAGTTCAGAGACTTCAGAGTTCAAAAAAGATTTAATAATTCATAAAATTAACATTTATTTTTATTATTTTATATTTGATGTAACAATTAATTTGACCTGATAACCTGATTAACTTTCATTATTTTTTATTTTAATTTCTTAAGAGAGAAAAATTACAAAAAAAAAATGCAGATTTTATTTTTAATTAAACATTAAATAGTTTGATATTAATTGGGTTTTGGAAGATGCCTTGATTAATTATAATTTAATTCATAACGTAAGTTAGTACTAAATTCGGAATTAATTTTATTTCAAACAATTAACTTAACTCGTGGAAAAAAATTAATTTACTTTTATAAGTTTTGAAAAAATTCGTTTAACCACACCACACCCTCAATCCTTTAATATCAGCAAATTTCAGCCCCAGGTTAGCTCCATGCTGTATCCCTGGCCATTCTATCTCTCTTTCCTTTTCTTCCTCCTCGCCACCCGGCCATAAAGCACGAAAATTGCCAAGCGTTTTTAGAGCCTTGCGTGTGCTGTCGTTTTTTAATACACATTTTTTGCGCCCGCGGTTTTGCCGCCCAACTTTTCTCCCAGCTCGCCAGCGCCGAAATTTTTGATGGAATACGGCTCGGGGAAATTGCAGAATGGGAGAAACTTTTTGTCCGTGCCCTTCCTGAACACCAAACTTTGATTAGGTCAACATTTTTCTCCCGAATATATCTCAAATTGGAGGAGAAATGTGTATTTTCTGAGAAGAAAAAAAAACAAGAAATCCAACGTCATTTGTATGGAAGACAAAGGTTTTACTTTTAACGTCGTTAGCCTCAAGAGGGTGAAATTAACTCCTGGAAGGGAAAAGCCTCCCTAATGTGGCAATAAAAATCGAGCAAAGTTTCCCACTCACAGGGGATAATTATCGCCCCGCACAAAATAAATCCCTCATCGGAATTCTGCGAGTCACTCTCTCTCGCCCAACTCTTTCTCTTGGATATTTTTTTTCTGCTTTTCCGAGCGTACTGGTGCGAGTTGGTTTTTCTCTCCGTTTTTCGTTTTCTTTTCGCCAATATTTCAGCCGCCGGTCGTCGCGGTAATCACAAATTCAGAGCACGCTCGCAAGCAAAAATGGGTCGGCCAGCGAGCGAGCGAGAGAGAAGAAGCAAGCAAATGAAGTGAGCGACAAACAACGTCTCATTTGAGCACGGAAATTGTTCGCTCCTTTCAATGCTCACGCAAAACATGTTCTCCAGAAGTGAAGAAAATTTTTCCCTAAAAGGAGGAGGTGGAAATATAACTTCTACCGAAAAAAAGGATAGTCTCATTGCTATATGGTAAAAGTATTGAAAATCAGTATAAATTTTTTCTCATTAGCATGTTATTATAAGATCATAAAATATAGTTAAATTCATTTTATTTTTCTCTGAAGAAAATGAAAAATTTTTTTTAATTCATTTTTTTCAGGTTTATTTAAAGTTTTAGAGTAAAATTGGGTGAATGTATTCATCAACTTTTAGAATTGTCTAATTATTACTTATATTTTTGTTTTTAATAAATTGCATCTTGTTTTATTTCTTATTATTTTAATAATTATTTTTTGTAATATTTTTATAAATAAGCAAAGTGTCTTTAAGTAAAAAGCTCAACAATTACTTTTAAAAGTTGTTGCAATATTATTGACTGTTGAATTTTGATGAAATGTTAAAACCATATCAAAACTACGCATATCATCGAACATCAAAGTGCCCCTAGTTGGAATCGTTGACAGGAGCGAATTGTCAATTTTAGCTCCCCCTTGCGGTTTCCCGAATCGCCTCTTTGATCCGCATCGAAAGCATTTTAAGGGGTGTTTATGCAACCGTGCGAGCGTCTGTGCCTAAAGCGTTGCCTACGCGTCATCTCGTAGCAACGTCTCGCTCTTCTCAAGGTGGAGAAAAAAAAACGCCTAAGCTGATTATTCGCAGCGTCCGAAGTTTGCCTTGGTCGGGCCGCCAAAGTTTGCCTTGCTCTCTGTTTTGTGTGTAAGCAGGAAGGCGCCGAGCCGAAAGGAAATTCCTCCACCCTCTGGTGGATGAGAAAGCAATGGTATGGGGTGGTGAGTGAAGTGGGGAGTGAGTCATGCTGCAAGACGGACGAGGGGGTAATTGGCGTGGAGACCATTCAAACGGAGCAGAAACAAAGAATGGGGAGGAAAAGGGCTTGAAAATATGAGATCGAAAGAAAGGATAAATCTTGGAAAATCAAACAGATTTGTTCATATATTATCTACTGAAATAAGCTTTGAAACTCTTAATGTCCGAAATTTTACTGGTTTTAATTAATTTTTATTGATAATTAGGTTTTTGTTCAATTAAAACGACAACTCATTTTTAAAAAGTTTAAAAAAAAATAAAACTAATAATAACATTTATACCTAAAAATAAAATTATAAATTATTTATAAAAATTTATTAAAAATTGAGCAGTTTGAATTCTAAACTTTGTTCTTTCGATTCATTCTATAATAAAAGAGAATCTTGGAGGAGCAAATATAAATTCCGAATTGTTCGACGCCCGCCGGCCCGAATGAATGTTAGGCCGGTCGTTCTCCAAAAAATGCGGTGCAACAGCAGCCGGCCGGAGGGCGCGCCGACCGATTCCAGGAGCACGTCGTCGCCGGCCGGTGGGGCACCGTCGAGGTCCCGTTCGTTTCAAGGCGTGTCTGCCTCATTGATTGCGTAGTTTTACTCTTGGGCTTTTACTCGCCGGCCGGCCTGCATGGGTCGCGCGCGCGGCGTCGTGTGCCGCCACCGCTATCGATCCTCCCTCCCTCCCTTCGACCCACAACCCCTCGACCGGCCGGCCGGCGAGTGCAAGGGCCACGGACGGCCGCTTTCGTTGGCCTAGGTCAACACCACGGTTGAACCTAAAGTTTAATCGTCTTCAAAAGAATTTCCTCAATTTATTACACTGATTCATGATGTTAAAAATTTTTAATTCAAAATAATTGATCAGGAGGATCCTTACTTTTTAATCTATTAAATATTTTGTAATTTTTCTACATTTTCCAATTCCTTTAAAAATTAACGTTTTAAATTTAATTAGAATAATTTTATTCTTATAAAATTTTCATTTCTTTTTGGTGTTGTTAATCAAGTTTTTTTATGAGTTTGAAATAAAAAATTATAAAAAACATTTTGGAAACTCAATTTAAAATGCTTTGCATTTAGAGTTCATAAGCTAATTTTCTGTTTGCATGAAATTTTACAAATTTAATATTTTATAGCAAGAACAAATTCCTAAAATATGCTAATTTCTTATCTGATTTTTTATACTATATTTAAGAATTTATTTTTTGCATTGGAAAATAACAAAAATTAATAAATAATTATTACTTCTATCAATATAGATTTCCACATGTAATTTAAAATATAATTTACATGTGCTCCGTGTCTCATACTTGAAGGTTTACAATCTTAAAGCCCCTCATTGAACTCATCACCGAGCAAAAAAATACGCACAATCATCTTAAGATTTAACATCTGCATTCCATAATCACCCCTCTCTAGCAGGCGTCATAATTTAGTGCTGTTAAATGGGAGCACACGGCTATTGAAATGAAAATGGATCTTTTGAGCCGTGTGCTTCGGAGGTCAGATCGCTTGATTGAAATCACTTGACCCATCACATATTATGTGAATAAATGGCTGACAGACTTTTGTGTGTGTTTCACAGGCGCTCCTCGCAACTGCGATGCCAGTGACGATTGTTGCTAACGGGCCTGCCAGCGACTCGGTGAATGGTGATTGGATCTCTGACAAGGTAATTTCTGCCCATAAAACTACTCACGTGCACTAATTTTGACACGCTTGGTTATTAATTAGACGTGGCGTTTATTAATTGTGTTGGAAAATATCGCTTCTTGTAATTAACATTCAGTGTTTCCAATTTCAAAATTCATTAAATCTATTTTCATTTTATTGAAGCAAATGGAAATAATTTGCTTGCAAATGAAAAATAAACCACTAGAGAGTTCTTTAAACCGATTATAGCAGTGACAAGATTTGCAAAGATTAAATTCAACTTGACAATGAGACGGTAATGTTAACAAGATGAAATCCATTCAAAGATGTCAGCAGACCTTAACTGAGTCGGATGTAAGTGGTGCAGCTTTTGATTTTCTGCAAGAATGCGCCAAACCGAGCAGAAGCTCAGCAAGTCCGTTAAATCGGGTGGATCTTTTTTTTTATGAGTAGCAAAATTGAGCCGCCAAGCAGAAGAGCTGCAGCATTAGTCCGCCGCTGCATCCGCATATGCAGCTCTGCTGCTTGGCTGGGATGTTGGGTGTGGCTGATGCAGCTCGGAAAGAGCACGAGATGCCGCAACCCATTTGCATGTTTTACAAAAAGATGGGGTGATGCTTTACGTAAAGAGGCCACATGTTGCAAAAAGAAAATGCAGCATTTGTCCTCGATTTCTTCGGGGTCATAATTATAAAAAAAAGATAAGATTTTTTTAAACATTCTATAATAATCTAAAAAATACAAAAAGAAATATTTTTTATGATTTCTCTTTAGCAATGTTTTATTCATGAATTTTAAAGAAAAATAAATTCCAGGACCGCAAACAAAATAGCGATGAAAAAAATTCGCACCTTTGATCGCCAAAAACATATATGAACTTCGAGTAAATCACTAAATTTGACCAAATATTTACAAGCTATTTATTCTAGATGTGAGATTAACTTCCTTTGTATGTTTATCAATTTTATTTTGCCTTAAAAAGTTGAACCTTCAATAAGCCATTTACAAGTGCAAATTTCTCGTTGGAGATTTAATTTGTGTTTTTTTTTCTTTACCTTTTCTCTCTCTTATAATTCAAGAATTTATGTCATAATATCTGGGGAGGCTCTTTTTTGTGCACAAATAGAAAAAACTTTCACTGATTATGAATGTCACTGCTATAATATTTTTTTTTTTAGTTTTGTCCATACAAAATTTTATCGCACACGTCTTACAAGTTGAACGCGGATGTTTGTAAGAAATATAATCGTTCACCACATCTATCATGTAAACATTTGTGTTGGCACTTGTTTTACGTGTGAATGTTTTTGTCTCACTGTTGTGCAGGTGCATGTGAATGGAAGTTTTAATGGCATTGGCGACGATAGATTGTCCACGTCATCCGCAGACACAGCAGCACAAATAATCACAAACATGTCCAGTAGCCAACTAGTCGACTCTTGCCTGTAAGTGTGTTTTTATTTACTCGCTTTGTCCTTCCTCTTCCTTTCTTTTGCTTCCTCTCCACGGACAGTTTTCGGTGGCAGATCTCACAATCGAAAAGGGTAGACGAAGAGCAAAAATCTTTTTCATTCGCTGTGTGAAAAGCGAGCCGTGATCAAAGAGGGACCTTTCGCGCGCCCTCTTTCTCTTTGGTAACAAATATACGCTGCAACAGAAAACACGCCTTTTTTGGCAAAAATTCTTTCTTTCTTTCTCTCTTTTTGTTTTCCCGCCCGAAATCAATAAAAAGCAAGCTCAACATCCTCAACGGCGCGGACGGGGTGCCTCAAATTTTTCGCGGATCTTTCCTCTCTCGGATAATTTATCACCAAGGAGGACCGAATTTCCAATTAAATTCAGAGCGACGCCGAAATAAGTGATTGATGCTTGCAATTAGTAATTTGACTCGTTCGCGTTCATTAAGCTGCTGGAAATTTCCTTCTCATTCAGCTAAGTGGCACATATTATACCAGATAAATAAAATTAATTGAAAATAAGTTTTAAAAATATTAATTGCTCTTATATTTTGTGGATAGAATAAGGATAAAATTCTTGTTATAAACTCTTATTTTTCATTACAATTAGCTTCATTAGAATAATTTCCACGTTTTTGTTCAAAGTATTTTAATATTTAATTGTATTTATCCCACTAAATGGAAATAAAGTTCTGAAATTTCTCATTAAATAAATTCAAAATTTCTTAAATTTTGTTTAAAAGACCATTCATGCCGCTAAGCTTTGAATTGGAGGTTTACTTTTTCCCGCCAAATGATTTTACACCTTGTGGGAAGTTCCAATGATTTCACTAAATTCGGTTAACAGAAGGAAAATATTATTTATGATTATTTCTACAGTTAAAATTGGTTTCTCAATCCATACAAATTTAATGGAAAGCTAAAAGTCTCTTTGATAGAATCATGTTCTTTTACTCTGAGATTGAAGCAGCAACATTTTTTTTCTCTTCGTTCAAATAAACACACATCATCCACCTGCGAACACGCCACTTTTTTTATGCTTTGTATACGGCTCTGCTTTTTCACTGCCGAACTTTTTCATCAGCAGCTCTTTCGGCGTCAAACAAAAGCAAGCGTACGTGTTGTTTGTTAAAGTTGAAAAATCGAACCCTTTTTCGTCCCTCTTTCTCTTTCAATCACGCTTGATATAATCTAAACATACACGAAACAACCGCTTTGGTGGCAGGCTGGTGAACCGGCGAGTGGAGCAGCGGCAGGAGCACAGCAGCATCACTCGCACAGAAATCACCCAAAGGTAACTAACAAAGCAAATATCCTACCCATGCTCTCAAGCGACCCAACCTCACCCCCACCTATTTTGCTCAGCAAATAGTTCACGTGCATGCATATTCATCAGAACAATATGTGCCGCTTTATTTGTTCAAACTGTAACACATTCAATAGTTCGCACATGTGTAAAGTAGCTAGATGCTTTTGTCTGTATAAATATGATCATCTCTACTGCCATATCCTCATTCAATTCATTCATTTTCTGCTCTAATTTTCTGGTTCAAAATATGAATTTTATATATTTTATTCTTATATTATGTTCAACGTACTGGCTGATAATGGAACTATTTCAATGTTTTAAATCTCAAAATTTGATGAATTCCACTGGTAAAAATGTTTCTTTAAAAACCAAATGGTTATTCTACCAGTTTCGATCAATGTCTGCAAATCTTTTATGTAATACATAAAAATAATTGCAATTTTTAAAAATTAAAAATTTTATAGTTAAAAATTAATGGCTCGGAATTAACATTATTGCTAATTTCCATTACTTATTAAATTTATACTTGATTCAAAGAAACAAATCTTCAGCCAGGCCTGATAATTTGGAATGCTTTCAATCTGCACAGAGCTGTGTTCTTAAATAATTTTGGAGAATTTTACGATCAATATAATTTAGATAATTTATTTGCATGTGCTCCAAAAATTTCAATTTCAAAGAGTTATTTGCTCATTCTTAATGCCAACTTAGAGGCTGTGGTCCCGCGACACTTTTAATGTCCAGAGTTTTTTGGTGTTGTTGAAACTGAAGATACATTAACTAAGTATAATTATACACAATTACGACCGTGTATTACAAGTTAAATAATATTATATTTCAAAATCAAGACATTGCAATTTTTAAAAACAAAAATGTTTTCTTTCTTGAACGTTTTACTTTATTCTTTTTCTAACTCTTTAAATAAATTTTTGTAAAATTTTTCATAAGGATTTAAAAATGGAAACGGATGTCTTCGCTGTCAAATAACCATTTTTCATTTGGTCCTCCACTAGATAAACACCTATAAAAGAATTTTAAATTATGAAAAAAGTTTTGGATCAATAATACAATAGAATTCTGAGAATTCTTATTATCCAAATATTGCCACACTCTTTAATCTTATTGTATGATTTAGAGAAGAAAAAAAGAGAACGGTCGATAAAAACTATTTTAATATTTTGAAATCTTCAAAACGCCACTGGTGTTTTTATTTTTCTCGCTGGCTGCAGTCTTAAAGTTGACGCTTCCGCAACCATCTTATTCACTTGTAACGCGACGTCATTTTTCTTTTTGCAGGAGAGTTTTGCAAGAAAAAGGGTCGGATATGCCTCAGTATGCGTGAGTATATCTCTTCTCAAATTGTCTGTAAAACGCTCTCAGTTTGCCGACCCCGGTCGAGGCTAGTTAGTCGCGCATCTAGCTTGGTCTCTTTTGCGAGCTCATCTTTTATTAATCGAGCAGGTCTGCAGCAGCAAAGTGAGGCGTGCACATGTTAATAATAATGATGTTATTATCAAGTCGCGCCTGCACGTGCCATTATATTATTTTCTCGTCGAGTTGTGCCATTGCATATTACGAGAGAGCCTAGGGTCGCCCGCGAGCTACCTGCGCGCAAATTGTACAAACGCAAATAGGCATTTTATATTTTCTTTTATGGTCGCTGCGTCTCTCTCGTCTCGCTTCTCGACTTTCAACACGTGTTATGAAAGAGCGAGAACAGCACGTCGTATACATTTTCGCAAGTCGCCGCCTCCAAAGATTCGGTCAATAAGTTCCGTCTGAAAATGTTTTTCTGCCGGAGAACTATATGGTTAAAGTAATTGCCTCAGCGGAAGGCCGCCTCTTTGGAATAATTCTGATGATTCGGTTTTGTGAATAGCACCAATTATCAAGGCAAGAATTAATTATTCGATTAATTCCGTAAAAATTCTGTTTTTGTAAAGCTCAAATGTGTGGAAAAGTAAAAAAAAAAAAATGCCTTAATTGGATACCTTCTACATAAATTTATCCTAAAAATCTGAATCCATGGATTTTTTGCGTTTCAAAATAACAAAAATTGTAATTTAAATTTTTAGGAGGCATAAATTGCAAAGTGATATTTTTTTATATCCAGCAGTCAGTTCATCTCTACAGCTAAAATTTAAGCAAAAAATACAACAAAATTATAGTTGGAAATGATCAGGCAATTTGAGTCCATGCGCATGAATATTAAAAAGTTAAAAAATGAGAAGACTTGTAAATTTAATGAAAATACTTTTTGATGAGAGAACGAGAATTTTTAAGAGCAATTGAATAAAATCTCACAATTAGTTGAAGAGCAAATTCAAGCAAAGTTTCAGGCAACTTTTATCTGCCTATGCGGCTAAAAAGGTGTTGAGGCTTTTACAAATCTCGTTTTAACCACAAGAAATAATATGAAATTAATTTAAAATGAAAATTTGGCTTTCAACCAGTAAATTAAGAGTTTTGACAGTGGAGAGCATTTGCAATTTCGGGTCAATTTTCAAATTGTTTTCTATGAAAACTTTAAAAATTCTAGAAAAAAATACATACCCTATTTTATTCTAATAATTAAAAAAAAAATTACTCGAATATTAATTTTCTTTAACGATTTTGTCAGCTCGTAACCTTTGATTTCTATTTCTTTTTTCATTTGCTGTTGACGTTGGTCCCAGCAATAAACCTGGGCCGCAATTCCTGATCGCTGCAACTCCCAGATGCGTTTCCGCCTGACATTACTTCACCCAAACAAGGGTTTATTGCGCGTCGGGTGGCGTTTTCCGGACATAAAGCCACCACCGGGTGCTGCTCTATTTTTGGGCCATTACATTCATTTTACCATTCGCCCGTGCACCGCGAATGAACCGACAACACAAAGAAGCTCGGTCGTAAAGACTAGAAAGACCGGCCGATATAATAATGCCCCTTCTTCGCCAGACGCTCACCGCCGACCCACGTATCGCGCCCCAAAATCTCGAAAGTGAAATTTTATACGGCCATCTTCGCGAGGCTGTTCCGCGTTATTGCCCCCTTCATGGACTCATTTTTTAATCTCGTCAGCCGTAAAGTGCAACAATGCCCGCGCCTTTTGCCGACGAGACGCATTATCAAGTAAGAAAAATACTCAGTCTTGCTTGTTAGAGCCGCCGTTGCCATTTTTATATAAGATTACCTGCAAATTGACAACCAATTTTTAGTTAAGGAAATTTAGATCAAACGCTTAAAATTGGCATTACAATCATTCCTACTGTCAGTCTTTTAACAACAATTCATTAAATATCAATACTATTTGTTATTTTGGTTGATTGAAACTAAAATTTGACAGAAAAAGAAATATAATTTCCAATATTCAAGGATGAGAAGAGTTAAAAGAAATGTCAAATTATGAATTTTTCAAATAATATTAAAATTGTTTTTTTTTTTAATAATACATTTACTCACGGCTAGTTAAAATAAATTTTTTTCAATAAATGCAAAAAAGAAAAAACACCAAAAATGAATTAGTACTCGTACGAAATATTTATAAAACAATATAATTGATAGGGAATTACTCAATCCTAAAATAATTTTAAATAAAAATAGTTCTTCATTGCAGAATATTAATAAATTAAAATTGATTAAAATACAAATTAATTCAATTTCTAACAATTCACAATCATGGACCTTTAATGGAAAAATTGCAAAACGAGTAACTTTCATTGAAAAAATTCATTTCCCCGCCCATCCTTGTACGAATCGCTTTCCTTCCATTCTCATAGATGGCACGCGATAATGCTAATTCCGCTGATAATTACTATCTGCCGGTGGGCTTCGTGTCTGAACGAGTGAGTCACAAGTGTCAAAGAAACCCCACCTTTGACGCCGGGGCTGATAAGGAGCCGTGAGTGAAGGAAGAGTTGGGCGACGCCGGCCAGTCAGTTGCACGCCGGCGCTTCCACCATCTTCGCCGCGTGGTCGCTCCAAACTTTTGAATTTGTTCGGATTTCGGCCGAAATCATGGCCTTCTGGGACCGCGATCCCGACTTTTGCTTCATCAGGGCGTCGGCAATGTGAGTAAACAGGGAGGCTGAAAGTGCGAAAATTGGCCAAGTCGCGGCGAAACTTGCACTTGCGGCGGAAGTGTTTGTTTGTTTTGGCTTGGGTGTCGCGCGCGTCTGTCACAATCTAATCGGAGTGAATTTTTTCTGACAATGAGTGATTCAAATCTGCTTAAAGGTTAAGGAAATTAATTGGTAATTTCTTCATTTTAATTTAAATTTTTACCTCAAATTTTACTCTGCTTGAAAAGGTATTTTACATAATGAAACATTTTATTATCGTTGCAATTTTGGTTAATTTAATGATTGATTTTTAATAAATACGGGGAAATTATTTTGTTTTAATATTTTATTAATAATATTATATTTGTGCCAAATTTATTTATTTATTTTAGTCTTTATCCTGAAGCTATTTGTAGTTTCCAAAATAATTTATCTTTATAAAAATTTAAAATTCAAAGCTCTCAGTCTCTTTTAAATAATTATGTATTATAAAAAACAAATTAATTCCTCAGAAATAAAAAACGTGCCCGAAATAAGGATAAGATTTTTTCCCCATCAGGAGCATAATAATATAACAATTCAATTTCGTCGCATATCAGCAGCAAAAAAGTTCCCCGTCTGTGCAAAATTAGCGGCTGAAGCAAGGCGGGTTGGTTTTTTTTTTCACGTACTCGGGGTGGAGGAAATGGGGTAGGTATAGAAATGCTGGTAGGGAGCTGCGGCGGCGGCGGACGGGACGGGGTGGTGCCGGCACACAATCATGAGCGAATTTGACACACGCGGATCGATCGCACAAAAGTGTACATATCGTGGCGAACGCACTGCGAATATAACGGACGTGCCCTCGGCGCGAGCGTTTTTCGCGAGAAAGCCGAGCGAACCATCTTGGGCAAACATTCATTCGTTCGTCCCTCCCTCTTGAGCATTATTATTGCAACCCGACGCACTCTCTCGCATTCCTTTTCAAATTGTGCGTTGCGAGCGAAAAGTCGTGGCTCGACCAACGTTCCTTGCGCACTCGTTCAAGGAAAAATAGAAAAATAATTATTTTTTATAAATTATGCACAATATTTTAAATGTTAGGATTCATTTTAATCATTCTGTAACATTTACAACAGAAATTTATTCAAGAATAATTCGATATGTTTTTAAAACTAAAATTTACTGGCATTTACATGGAGATTAATAAAAAAAATAATAATTTTTATAATTTTATTGAATTAGGTTTAAAATTACGAAAAACAAATATGTAAATATTAGATTTGGGAAACTGAAAAAATTTAAATTTATATTGCCTCAATGTAATATTTTTCATGTTTGAATAACTTGAACTGCAGAAAAATATTTTGTGAATTTTTTTCGATGCTATTTTCAGATAAAAAGAAATTAATATTTTGTTTTGCACAGATCACAGAATACATAGCTATTTTAAAGTGAAACAAATTTTTATTTTTAATTGCTTATTTTCCCAATCTTTATCAACAAACTTTTAATTGAACCTTATCCAAAGTGTTTTAATGACGTGATATATTTGCTTCTGTAGATTTGATTCAACTTGAGGGCGCGAAGACGTGACCTTTGAGCTAATTATCGCACTATCACGACTGCGATAAGTACAACGCACGGCTTCACTTTTAAGCGTAAACATTATTCAGGCGGCGGCAGCGCTCGCAAATCGACCACTCACGATTAGGCAGGGCTATCCGCAATTGGCAACTCGCCAGACTCCATGCAGATTCAAACACAAACGCGTGGATGGAACCAGGCGGGATTAATCTCTTATCCACTGAGCCCCGTTTATGTATTAAAAAATTATTTCGCTTGCATATTTACATATCGCAGAATTTAATTTCAAAAAAATTTGGAGCAATATTAAATTTAAAGCATAACAAAATGCTGCTATTTCATTTGAATCACTTTTAGATTGAAATAAAGTCCTATCACTTTCGTTTTTTTTTTTCAAATTCAAGAAAAAATATATTTCTTGAGTTCTTTACAGAGCAGTAAATAAACCATACAAAATTATTAAACTGAAACTAAAGAGTGCGGAGACAATTTAATTTCTTAGCATACAATTTTTATACTGGAATTTCCATCACAATAGCCTTTTGTGCAAAATAGATTTGACGCAAAAGGACAGTATTGATCATCGTTTTTGTTTTATTCAAACTCATTGTCATTGCCGGCGACGCAGACTGTCAGGGGGTAGGCGTTCGCTCATCGCCAGACGATAATAATTGTTTTTGGTAGAACCACTCTGCAGCAGACAAAAGGTGTCGCGACCGTGCATTTTAAACCCAAATAATAATGAACGAATACGCCTTAGTATTGAGTGAAATTCGGAGCTTTTTTTTTGCTCGCCGTCGATGTCGATTTGCGGCGAACCGAGCTCGGTTTGTTTTATATTTTGCCCCGTGCTTTATTACTGGCGTATTGTTTGTTGCATGTCGATTTTTTCTCACGAGGTTTGCGGTTTTGTTGCAGTGGTCAGCCAGAAATGCAGCAGTCAAGCTCGTACTCAGTAGACGTGGCCTTCCACTCGGGCACTAACGGCCACCCTGATGGCCACTCCCCCAACTCGTCGCACCTCTCCGTGCACAGTGGGGAGGCAACCCTTGTTTCACGGACGCAGAAACAACAAACCACCCAGCAGGTATAATTACATTCAATCGTTTTGATTATTCAATTTTTATTTGAAAAGTATCAAAATCTTGTTAACGAGCAAAACATTAATTTATAATAAATATAATTTAATTCCAATCAAATTCTTAAGTTTGCTTACGAAATAAAATAAAATTTTTTAATACATTATAGTGATTTCCTTAAGTAAGAATATTACATTAAATTTAAGTTGTTCCTGTAATAATTACAGAAATTTCATGAATACAAAATAAATTCTAGTGTGATTTGGTCATCGATCAATTTTGTGCAATTCCTTCCTCGGAGGGTTCAAGTGGTTTGGAATTTTTATTTACTATTCTAATTATCTTCAAATTGAAATTGATATTGTTGTCCCCATTGTTACAGGTGACGACTGTAACCAAAGTGGTGCGCGAGGTGCACCACGTCGGACCCGACGGCCAGCCCGTGGAATATGTTTCGTACCCTGCAGGAGCCGGCGCCGCGCCTGGCGCCTACCCCGCCGCTGCATTTGGCAACTATGAGCATTTGCCTGGGCAGGAACCTTATGCGGCACAAGATCCAGGTTAATACAAATTCCTTAATTTAAAACTTCTTTATTTATTTAAAAAGAAAAAAATGAAATGGAAATCAATGGATTGAGAAAAAAAACCAACATTATGAGCCTGTAATAATTAGTTTATTGTTTTAAATTTAAATTAATCAAAACAAAGTTGCATTTTAATATTTTATTGGGATAACTGTTTTTAGTTTTCTAAAAATTAGGTAATAATTTGTGAATTTTTTTCCGATGATATTAACAGTTGATGCTGTTTGTTTTGAACAGGAGGTCTGAGGTACCCAGACACATATGCAAGCTACCAAAATTACGACCACTACCCACCGCCAACGCGGCCCGACTACCCCTACACAAACGCAGCGGCCGCTTATGGAACGGTGCCGGCGGCCTACCCTGCCTACGGCGAGGGAGTTGCAGCCGGTTACGGAGACCGACCGCCAACGCCGCCCAGCCCTAGCGAGCGCAGCGAGTCGCCGCCTCAGCAGCAAGCTCTTGCCCACGGTATGAACTTTGACCTTTTCGAAGGATAATGTTTAATTCATTTTGAAAATTGCATCTTTCTTCAAGAGTTTATTTGATCAAAGAGTAATGAGAACTGAAGATATTTTCTATGAATCTTTTTTAATCAAATTTTATTATTTTAATTATTTAAATTAAATTAATTGAATGCATGGACTTAAATTTAAATAAAACTTTCATTGCATAATCTCTTTTTCTAAATTTTACTCAGATTTTACTGGGTGTGGAGAAAATTATTCAAATATTATTTGTGTAAATTGTCTGATATTTAAAATAGACAAATTTAAGCAATTTGCTCTAAATAAGGTCGCTTTTATAAAGAGGCCCCTATAAGTTTTACATTTTTATTTCTTTCCCCTCTGGAGAACATTCCTTGCGGGGCAGTTTTTGCAAAGGAGGGAGAAAACGGCGCCAAATTAGCGAGCTGAAGGGTAAAGACGTTAAGTGGGATCGGGCCAAGTTGACAAGACGCGCGCGTGTGTGGATGGTGAACGTCTCTCTGTTTCCCTTGTGTGCGTGCATTTCAATGGGAGGAGGGGTTGAACGGAGGGAGCCTAAGTTTAGACGGTGCTTCAAGCCGGCGAGTGGCGCTCTCGAAATAAAAAGCAGGCCGTTGTGAGATGCGAGCAGTTTGCGAGCGAGGCAAAATGAGTGGCTTTTTGTTGTTCGCACCTGCGAGGAATATGAAATTTGTCCCCCGTCGGTAGCTGCGAAGCTGACCGCCGATGCCCAAGTCCAGCATTTACATTGAACTCAACCGCGGTACGTTTTATCGTTGGATTAAGCTCCGGTGAAATCAGACTAGCTTTTAGTCAAGTGACGTTGAAAGCAAAATTTTGGTCCGGCGCAGACTTTCATAATTTACCTTTGACCTTTTGGGCAAAAGTGTAGTCTTTGTGGTTTGTTTGAAGAAATAACTCATTCACAAAGCTTGGCGGAAGCGCAAAACAACTTGTGCGGCGGCATGAATTATTCCCTCAATTGAAATCCATGTAGCCGGTGCGTTGGTTGAATGGACTAATTTTAGAATTTGGCATCAAACGGCCAACAGCATACGACTGCGTAGGCGATAGAAAAATAAATATATCTTGGCCTTATTTTTTTCTTTCACGAGGTCCAACTGCTTTTGAATTCTTTCAATATTTTGTCATGAATTGTTTTCTTTCGTTTTTAAGACCAAAATACGAAATAAAAATGAAGCAAACTTCTGTAATTTTAATTTTTTTTAAATAAATTAATTTCTAATTTTGCAGATTACCTACGGAAAGGAGCTCCGTACCCTCCCTCTGGCTATGATGAGCTGGACAACACCCTCTTGGCCCCCAGGGGTCCAGAACACTACAGAATTACCCCTTCCCCTGGAGGTGCTGCCGGACAATATGGTAATTAGCTCAACTTTTTGAATAAAAACTTTTAATTAACGCAATTCTTAATTTAGGTCACTTGACTCACCCCTGGAACATTGATGACGCTGGAGACCCTGCACAAATCCCTCACGGTAATTGCAAAATAAATTTAATTTACTCGGAGAGATAAAAGAAAAAACAAAATTTCAAAACCAGATTCCACTTAGTTTAGCATGATTAACAATTCAAAACCAGTTTGCACCCAAGTGGCACCTAAATAACTTGCTAATTTGATCTCAAGCTAGTTTGAAGTTGAATATAATATTTAAATTGTTGCTTTTGCATTTGAATCACTAACTATAGTACCAATTTGTCAATATTTTACTGCCACTCACTCGCAAACCAGGCCTGGAAATCATGACAGGCTCAGGACTAGAGGGTAAGACGCGCTAGCAATCCAAAAAATGTTGTACCACTGTGAAATGTCGCTTGCTCACGCATGCACCCAATTTATTTTGATTATTTTTTGCCTGCCCGTGTAGACGATAGCAAGATAGTTTACGGTTATGCACCCTCTTACGGCCACGCGCCCTACGGGGGCAGCAACGGAGGTGGAAACGATGACGTGCCCCATTACGAGGACGAGGGCGAGCCGCCCGACCACCCGTACCCCTTGCAGAATTTCAATAGCTTGTCTCTAGATGATGATCACAAAGGTTTGCTTGTTTTAATTTCATTTCTTTAATTTCTGTTTACTCGCACTTCGATGCACGAATTTAATGTTGAATTTTGTCAATACCTGGAAGTAATGGTTTATTTAATCAGGCATGAGATGGCGAGATCCAAACTTGACGGAGGTCATTGGGTTCTTGAACAACCCGAACAACATCATCAAAGCAAACGCAGCCGCCTATCTGCAGCACCTCTGCTACATGGACGATCCCAACAAGCAGAAGACCAGAGCCCTTGGAGGAATTCCTCCACTTGTCAAACTGCTCGCCAATGAAAGTCCGGATGTCTACAGAAATGCTTGTGGAGCCCTGAGGTTAGTAATGATATAATATTCAATTATATGAAGACAAAAATAACATTAAATTTTTAGGAATTTGTCGTACGGACGTCAAAACGATGAGAACAAACGCGCCATTAAGAATGCTGGTGGTGTCCCTCACTTGATGAATCTTCTGAGGAAGGCGCCGGACATTGAATGCAAAGAATTAGTGACTGGCGTTCTTTGGAACTTGTCCTCCTGCGAGGACCTCAAGAGGAACATCATCGACGACGGTCTAGTTGCGATCGTCAATCACATCATCATTCCTCACTCTGGCTGGGACCCAACCTCTCCGGGAGAAACCTGCTGGTCCAACGTCTTTAGAAACGCGTCGGGCGTGTTAAGGTTTGAATAAAAACTTAATTTATTGGTGGTCTTTATAAAACAACCCTAATCTGTGTAGAAATGTGAGCTCGGCTGGTGAATATGCGCGAAAGAAGCTGCGGGAGAACGAGGGCCTGGTCGACTCTCTCCTCTACGTGGTCAAGTCAGCAATCGACAAGTCCAACATTGGCAACAAGAGTGTGGAGAACTGCGTGTGCATCTTGCGGAACTTGTCGTACAGGTGTCAGGAGGTGGAAGACCCCAATTACGACAAGCATCCCGTGCCGACGCAGAGCAGGGCTGGCGTCCAGCCCAAAGGTGAGTTGATGAAGTTGAGCTGGAAATGTTATTTTTTTCACTTCAAGCGTGTGAACAATCATTGACTGCAAAGACAAATTGTAATAAGTAGATTGGAACATAACTAAGCCATTTAAAATTAATTGTATTAATAGTTTGGGTTTTTATTTATTATTATTTATTCTTCTCGGTCAATACAAAAATTTAAATTGGAAAAAAGAGAAGAAAGGGTTTACAACTAGCAGATGTCTGCTAAAACGCCCGACATCAAAAGAGACACGGCCGCCGCGGTAAACCCACACTATGGGAAAAAAAACAATATCACAAACACTTATCAGAGATAAAAAATAGTTGGTTCCCATCTACTTAAATTTTACACAGAATTCTTGAGAAACCTGTTTAGATGAGGGTTTAGTGTGTGCATGTGACTTTCAAACTGTCTTTTGACCCCTTGACCAACTATTCCATTTACTAATTGGTGATAGTTTCTGTGTCTGATAGCCCTTGTGTGTTCCCTAGCATACAGTCTGTGTCAAGGTAAGAGACCACTAGCTGAGAAGTAGATTTAGGGAAAAGAAAACCCCTTTCGCTGCTTGTTGTGTAGCATGTCTTACGCTTGAATTAAAATTTTGTCAAAAATTCGTCTCGTCTCAGAAGTGCTCATTGGTCGATTGTCCTGCCTTCCAGGTGATAATCTTGGCTGCTTTGGTGCCAACAAGAAAAAGAAGGAAGCTCAGCCGGCGCAGCAAAAAGAAGCAGCGGCCACCACTAGTCGAACCCAACGGACTGAACCTGTCAAGGGAATGGAGCTTCTTTGGCAGCCTGAGGTTTGTCCCTTCTTGATCAGATTATGAAACAAATTAAAACCCTTGCCTTTGTAATTTCTCAGGTTGTCCAACTTTATCTATCGCTGCTGCAGAGCTGCTCGAATCCTGAAACCCTAGAGGCAGCCGCAGGGGCTGTTCAAAACTTGGCCGCTTGTTACTGGCAGCCAAGTATTGAAATTAGAGCAGCTGTTCGAAAAGAGAAGGGTCTGCCCATATTGGTCGAGCTGCTTAGAATGGAGGTGGACAGGGTGGTGTGCGCTGTGGCCACCGCCCTCCGAAATTTGGCCATAGACCAGAGAAACAAGGAGCTGATTGGTAAATTTTATGTTTTAATTATGAGCAATATTAACAAAGGAATTAATTTTTCTTACTTACAAACTTTCCTTTCAAATTAAACTAAAAAATGGCTAATTTATCAAGTTATCTTTTTTTAATTTTATCTAATATTTACTTTGATTTCCAGGAAAATATGCAATGAGGGACCTCGTTCAAAAATTGCCGTCTGGCAACGCTCAACATGATCAAGGAACCTCCGATGACACGATAGCAGCCGTCTTAGCCACTCTGAATGAAGTTATAAAAAAGAACGCAGAGTTTTCCAGGTTTGTTTTAAAATCTTATTGTCGGAATCGATTTTGGAACAAAAATTCTTCCTTCAGGTCTCTCCTCGAAGCTGGCGGGGTGGAGCGTCTGATGACTGTGACAAAGCAACGGCAAAGGTACACGCCAAGGGTGCTCAAGTTTGCCAGCCAGGTGCTGTTCACCATGTGGCAGCACCAGGAGCTGCGGGAGGTGTACAAGAAGCACGGCTGCAAAGAGCAGGACTTTGTGACCAAGACGGTGGCCGCTCGAAATGCAGCTGGCGGCCCCAACTCGCCCAACAATGCCAACAACACTCTCAACAGGCCAATGGCCAGCCAGGGAGGCACTCGCTACGAAGACCGCACCATGCAGCGGCCGACGGCCAACAGCCGCAGTCCTGGACCTTCAAACTACCAAAGGGTCAGTTGCTAATGCATTTTGACCAAGTATCACTAATTAGATATAGAATTATAATTTTATCACAAACATACGAAGATCAGAATTTTTCATTTTTGAGGATTATTATTTTTTACCGAAGGGGATATGTATTAATTTTTGAATATTACAAAAATTTAACACGCTTTTGGTAAAATCTCGAAACTTTGTAGCACCCCATTCACTCATTTGACACCCCAACCTGCAATTCACAGGGTGACGAGATCCCCATGGCCGACATGTCCTACCCAGAGGGTGGTACTCACGCCCCTCCACCTGGAGGTGTCCGCATCTACCCCCCTCCTGTAAGTGTCCTGTTCGGGAACAATATTAACACAAAATTTAAAATAAGACAAAAAAACAGTTTGCTCTATACCTTTAATCGGAGTTTGCATGGTCTCTGAAGCACTGGAATTTTCCAAAGACACTCCCTGCTCATGATGATTGCAATCAAAAGTTCATTTTGCAGGCATGTGTTCATGAAAAACTTCTTTAACGTTTCAACACCTTTTGATCCGACTCTCAATTCACATCGCACCTCTCATTTTTCAATTTGTTCATCGCAGTTTTCAAAAATGCTCTAGAGTACATTTACATAAGCCAATGCAAATTTCTAAAATAATATTGGCAAACCAAAACAAAATACTCTAGAAAAATAATCATACTCTTTTTGCTAAAACATTGATTTCTTTCGGGACCATTATTAATCAAAGATATTATGCCATCAGCCTGTTCAACGCAGCTAACCTGTCCCTGCTTGTCTCACTTCACTGCTGGTGGGTTTGAAACCGTCATTTATATTATTTTTCACGTTCTTTTTCGGTGTTTATGGTGAATCGATGTTGTTGGCAAATTTAACATTTCTGTCTGCAGTTATTGTCTGACGTCCCTTGGGGTTTATTTTGGCTTTTGTCTCTGATCTTCTCACATTTTTCAATAGCAACTTATTATTTTTGCACGAGCTCTGCAACATTTCTGAATTTAAATCAGCTTTCCTTATTTCTTTCTTGCTTTAAATATTTGCAGCAATTTTAAGAATCGGCTAAGATTTTCTCACTGCTTTGTAAATGTGTCGACGGCCGTTCTAAATTCCAATTTTGAGTTATCTTGAATGCTCGTTTTCAGGCCAAACCAGGCGAGCCGTTGTACGCGCAAGTGAATCGGGAGAAGAAGAAAAACCGGCAGTACGAGCAGCAGCAATACCCTGACGAGCAGCTCGCCCCAGGCCCTGGGGACATGTGGGGCTACGAGGAGCAGCCCCCAGCGGCGCCCAAGCCCACAGGCAATGGCGCCCCTGCAGCAATGGACCCCGAAAACGCCGGCGGAGACTCTTGGGTGTGAATTTGAAAAAGCCTGGTGCCGGACGTTCGAACAAAAACAGTTTACTTTACACAAGAATACTTAATTATACACTTCGTTGCCAAGTGATTCCCCGATTGATTTGTACAAGAGAAATTAATAAGCAAGTGGAAATAGTGTCCTCCTCGGTCTATTTGCTCGCGGTTGTCACCAGAAAATGGCAATTTCAAATAAAAATCAAGATATATATATTAAATGAAATTCCCAGTGACCACTGCGAGCAGTTGTTTTGATTTGTAAAAAAGAAAATACAGGCAGCTGAACTTTTGTACATAGACTGCATTAATTAACTTGAAAAGAGGCAAACGCAGCTTGAGACTTGTAGGTCGGAATAAAAATCCTAATGATTGATGCTCAGCCACAGCAAACAGACAGACAAACACACTCACACTGATCAAACTGCCAACCTAGGACAGGTTAATTAAGTAAATTCATAACTGTAGCTAATTTCTGGGATTTTTAAACAGCAACAACCGACAGCATTTTTTGAAAAATATCTCAGGATTTTTTAAGAATGTTTAGAGCAGCTGTTTCATCAGCTTGGTTGATTGTAATATTCATGTTATCAAAGCAAACCACACACGCAGAACAAAATGGTCAAAAAAATTTGCGTATGTTGTTTATCGGTGTTGATTAATTGAAAGAAAAATAATAATCGAGCAAAAGGATCACATTGATTTGGCTTGAGCTAAGGAAAGGGAAATGCATTCCACTGACTAATAAATGAAATTATTTCATAACTGTATGTCTGTGTAACTGATGGGATTGACCGTCTGCTGCAGCTTAATTAATTGTGTATTGAGGTTTCGAACAAAATTTTATTTTGTTGACATTACGTGGCCAGGATTTTTACAATGCTTTGGCAAATCTCATTATTTTTTAACAGTATACATCTCTCAACTATATTTTCTTTCTTTTCAGATAAATTTTGTTTATCTGTTTCAAATATATATGATGATATATATTTTATTTTGGAGATGAAGTTTCTTTAATGGACTTTTATTTATTGCGGGATGAATGTGATATTTCATTTTTATGTACACCCATAAAAATTAGAGAAAAATCGGGGATTTTGTGTGCAAATTTTTCGCTTGAAATTTTTGTACTTCTTGACCTGTTTGTATGAAAAAAATTAAATTGGATCCATGTATGTTGCTGGACATTGGTCGCGAAAACTTAATGAGCACACGGATTCTCTTATTATAACTAGAATTTTTATATTGCAAACATAAACGACAAAATTTGAGCTAATATTATTATCATCAGTGCTTGCAATGTTATTAAACAATTAAATTTGTCCTCAACCAAAACGCTGCATATACATGGAAATATGAAATGATTATATGAATATATTATATATTAAAAATCAACCAACTCTGATTTATTTAAATAAAATTACTTATTCAGATAACTGTCATTTCATCATGTAATTTGTAAAATAAAAAAGAAACAATTTTAGCACATATTCTCGGTTCATTTGAAAAGATCATATTACTATGGTTTTAACCCCTTCTGTCCATAAGTTATTGAAAAGTTTTATCAAGATAACTTTAAAAAAAGGTCGAGTTTTAGAAATGTGTTTTATTTTACTCGAGCTAAAATAAGGAAACTGCACAACGAATAATTTGGATAAAAACTTTGTTAAATCTTTTATTTATCTAAGGGAATTCCATTCCATAAATATCACGGATGTCATTATCAGTTGTAATATATCAGATTAAACTCAGGAAGCAAAGTCGATTGATTAAAAGCATTTCACTTTCTGAAGCTATTTCAAAAATAACAGCACTGCTCTTATTTAAGCCATGCATAAAAGAAAAGCGCGTCATTTGCTGTTATTTTTGTTGTTTCTCTTAAAAGGAATTTTCCCTCAGATCACAGCAGGTGCAAGTGAGTACATTATTTATTTTTTGCTCACCAGGATGAAAAAAAAATTAACTTGACTAGATTGCACTTCAAAATCAGCCAATGAGAATTCCGAATGCCGTTTAATAAATGGAGGAGAGTCTTATGAGCCTGGTGAATCGGAGAGTTGCACTTGCACAAATCCTAAATGTCATGGTAAAAGCAGTTCTTTGATTTGCAACGATGATGGACAGTGGTACTTTACGGCAAAATCGGATGGAACTAAATTTGAGTGCCGTAAGTTTTAGGAATCAAAAATATTTGTATAATTCTATCACAATAATTAATTTTTTAATATATTTTCAGATTCTTGCAAAAATATTGATTGCGTCATTAAAACAAATCTTTTCCATAATTGCATAGACGTTAAAAGGCATTACAAAAATAATGAAGGATATTTGAAATGCACATGCAAAAGTGACAATAAAATAAAGATATTGACAAATTGCGATGCAGCGACAGGCGATTTTAAAATTAAAAATGAAGTCGGAACACCCTCTAGTTGTGGTTAAGTTCTTCAAAATATGCACAATATTGAATATAATATCGTAGAATAGGTTAAAATTTAAAATTATTTATATTTCTTTAGATGAACCCACCCCAACCACAACAACTACTGCAACAACAGAAACTTTGTCCAGTAATTCATCTGATCCAAAAATGGAAAACACGAGAGCAGGTGGGTTTTGCATGTTATAATATGCGAATGTTTAAAGTTTTAATTGTTTCTAAAAATCAAATTCCAAGATGAATCAAGAAGAGATGTGTTCATTGACATAAAGGAGAGCATTCCCGATAATATGGAAAATGGTTTGGATAAAATAATTCATTTCCTGGACTTGCACATGAATATCATGATCGTTCTGGTTTACATCTGCGTCGCCGTAATATTAATACTTTTAACCATCCTGAGCTATTTACTTGAGCGGTTTAAAAAAGAAATGAATCAGATGAACACAAAAATCTCCACTGACCTTGCAGTTCAGTTCATAAATAACTCTGATCCATATGTATTAATTGTTAACTAATTAATTTATTGTGTCATTATTCTGTAGAAGAATGTCAACAAGAAAAGCGTTAAAATTGAGAATTTAAATTTTTTTTCTCAGCTTTTTCTCTGTGGGTTTTTAGTGTGCGTCAGTTTGTATAGCTGAAAAAAATTAATTAATAAAAACTACATTAAAAACCCGTTGCAATAAAAATAACTTATTGCTAGATATAAAAATAATATCTCATAATCTTAAAAAAGTGACGAAGCAAATTATAAATTGTAAGTGTGTGAATTTAATATTTTTTATTTGGTGAAACAATAATGAGTAAAATACTGTATTATAAAAAATTGATACTTCAATCAATGCCTCCAAATTGTTTTTTCAAATTTTTTATCATTTTAATTATTTATTAATAAATAGAAATACTTCTAATTTATTTTGATTTATTTATATTTATAAACTCAAACACGAGTGAATATTAAAAGTTGGATTCTTGATGAAAACCATGAATTTAATTTTATTCATTTAACCGCTATAGTACAGGTACATGTAAAAAAATTAATAGTATCAAATTACCCAAAATGTGCACATTGCCCTCTTGAAATTACTTTAAATCAAGTAAGAGGTTGTAAATTATATTCTTTAAATACTCGAATATTTAATGCTTTAATAAAATCTGTAAAACCCCAAAGTATATAACAAGAAAATCAAATCCTCAATAACATGATAAAAATATAAATTTATTTGCACGTTGCAGCTGCTATTTTCAATTGCTATCATAATATATATCAACTACATAGCGCACCACATCCGTGGTCTGTATGGTCTTTAACTATGTATTTTTTTCAAGTGAAGTATTTAATTTAACATTTACTTTTCCAAGGGTTAAAAATGTTTTAGTAAAAGTGAGGTTAAAAATTTTTAAATTCTATCGTCAAAGCATCAAAGTAAAAATTTTTTGTTACTGGGGTGTCTCCAGCGTAAGAAATTAAAATGATAATAAATCTCACATGATCTATCGGAAATCTTATATATAAAAATATTTTATCACGTCAAGCCAAGGAAGTAGATTCACTGATATATGGTATATGGTTGAGTGTGTATGGCTTTATGCCATACTTTTCCTTGTACTTATCATACATTGCGACAAGGACCTATTTTAGTAGGGCTGCTTGCTTTTATAAATATTTTAATTATGGACGTAGATCAAACAGCAAGACGAACTAATTAATAGCGATGAATAAAAGACGAGCGCATCATGCGCTGTTTCTTTTGTTGTTTCTCGTCAATGAATTATTTTTTGTTCAACCCGCGGCAGGCGCAAGTGAGTACATTTATTTTTTGACAACCATGGTTGTATTAAAACAACATTAATTTTGAGTAGATTGCACTTCAAAATCAGCCAATGAGAATTCCGAATGCCGTTTGATAAATGGAGGAGAGTCTTATGAGCCTGGTGAATCGGAGAGTTGCACTTGCACAAATCCAAAATGTCATGGTAAAAGCAGTTCTTTGATTTGCAACGATGATGGACAGTGGTACACGACGGCAAAATCGGATGGAACTAAATTTGAGTGCCGTAAGTTTTAGGAATCAAAAACATTTGTACAATTCCATTACAGTAATTAATTTTTCAATATATTTTCAGATTCTTGCAAAAATATTGATTGCGTCATTAAAACAAATCTTTTCCATAATTGCAAAGACGTTAAAAGGCATTACAAAAATAATGAAGGAGATTTGAAATGCACATGCAAAAGTGACAACAAAATAAAGATATTGAAAGATTGTGATGCAGCGACAGGCGATTTTAAAATTAAAACTGAAGTCGGGTCACCCTCTAGTTGTGGTTAGTTTCTTCACAATATTGAATTATAATATCGTAGAACAAGTTAAAATTATTTATATATCTTTAGATGAACTCACCCCAACCACCTTTCCCACGAAAACAACAACTACTGCAACAACAGAAACTTTGTCCAGTAATTCATCTGATCCAAACCATCTAAATATAAAAAGCACAGGAGCAGGTGGGTTTTAAAAGTAGTACTTTTTTCTAAAGTTAAAATATTAATGAAAAATAAAATTATTAAAGAAACGACAACCAACAATTCAACGATCAACACCGACGACAAAATAAATAATGGTGGTAGCCAGGAATTGATGATAATAGTCATAGCTGCTGTAGCTTCCGTTGCCGCACTCTTGTTTTTGATTCTGCTGTGCTACTGCTGTTGCAAGAAAGACCGGAACAAAAGGAATCTCATTGTGGACGGCGCTGTGGTATACAAAAATCCACTTTCATTGTAGTTATTTCAAGCTATCAAGAATATTATTAATATAAGCCATATTATTATTTGTTTCTTCTGTATTAAAAGTAAAAAAATCAAAAGTAAGTCACGGTAAGTCGTAAGTCAGAGATCATTAATTATTTACTAAAATAATAAAAGACTTCACATTTTTTGCTTTGCAAAGTGCACATAACACATAATGTATTTATCAAATTTAATATTATAATGTATTGATATTGATGACATTTTAATCATTGTGTAGTCTCATTTCTTGTAACAATTTGCTTTGTAATTGATGGAAATTGAGTAAGTTATCTAAATTAGGCAAACAAGATTTCGCAAGATCGATTTATAAAAATTAAAATTAAATAAATATTTTGTTGACATGGTAGTCTAGTGTTTCATAAAAAAATCCCATGTTAATAAAAACAAATTTTTGGAATTTTTGATCAAAATTTGAAGAACTTTCTTGAATAATTATGCCACCTTGCCTGTTTAAAAAAGAATAGAACTAACAATAATATTCAACTTTTTTTTTTAATTAGCTACGTCCTATCTGAAGTGGCTTGTAGGCTTATAGTGACATAATATAATATATATTATATAGCAACGTTAAATTAGCCATTTTTATTATATTATGATCGGCAACAGCTGAAATACTACTTAAACTTATAAGAGCAACTTGTCCACGTGTCCAACGCAAAAGCAGGAAAATTATTCTCTTTCGCGGCAGATATTTAGTTCGGTTGAAATGCACAGAGATGGCGCACAACTTCGTCATCTGTGTTTTGTTTTCATTTCATGCAGAGCAGAAAGTGCACGGAGTTGTGCACGGAGGCGATTGCACATGGCTGTTTTGTATTTATTTTTGTAGTTTTGTGATGATAATATTTCAAAATTTGAAGGTTAGATATTGCAATTCAACTTTTCACATTCATCGAATCTTTCCGCTATTCCTGTAAATCATTTTCATTAAATGAAACATTTTAAATCAGATCTGGAAACTCTGGAAGACTAATTTTATTTTGGAACAAATTTAATATCTAAGTCCTCGATTTCTCTTTTCATTTTCTTTTTATCTATTTTGTTTATGTATTCATTTGAGCATAAATACTTGATCTTTTTGATTCCACATAAATAAGCTTCATTGTTGTTACTGTGTGCTGAATTTTTTACTTTTTGCAGCACTGATATGGCAGATGATGACGAGGTAGCCTGTTTGTGGTCGGGCGTTCCGGCCCGACACGTTGATGTCCCTGTCATAACCTTGGATTCGCCCCCTGAATCGCCGCCGCAGGATGACAAGGGTGCCCTTCCAGTTTGTTCGGCGGTGCCACTCATGTCCATCCCGATCGCACCCACTTTCGGCTTCAAACACATCAACCTGACCAAGTACATTCCTCCCGAGGTACCTGCAACTCCGGAGGACAGCGAACATGAGGAGGAGAAGCAGAAGCCACCTGAACCTAAAACGAAGAACAAAAAGAGGAAGAAGAGGAAGAAGAATAAAAATCCAATTCTGGTGGAAAAGATGATAGACCAAATAAAAGAGGCTGGCATATTGGAGAAATTCAAGGAGGAGGAGCAGAAAGCCCTGGCAAGTCAAGCTAGCGTCCAACCCAAACCTAAATGGACTCGATATTTTGAGGCTGAAGTAGGAAGTTCCTCAAGCTCCGAGGCATTCAAATTTCCAGAAAAAGAAGAGCCACCAGGTATATTGACTGAATTTTTGTTATAACAATTTGAATCACTGATTAAGTCTTGCTTTCTAGTCTTAATAACAGCCAGAGACATTCGAAAAGCTGCTGAGAGGGCCGAGAGGCATGGCAGAATACAACGAGGAAGAGGTAAAATAATCGAAAAATTTTACTTCTCAATTTTTGCTTACAATTAAAAATTTCAGTGGCCAAACTCTCACGGAACAGGGGGAGGCCTGTCGTCAAATCTCGTTGCTTTAACTGCCACCAGTGGGGTCACATGAAGTTCGAGTGCCCCGATCCAATCAAACCTATCAAGTGCCACATGTGTGCAAGCGAAGGACACACCTCCGAAACCTGTCCAAGGTCCATGTGTCTGCAGTGTGGCCATAAGGCTTACTCGTTCGTATCAGGCTGTCGATTTTGCAATCAGAAGTGGAATTTGAGATGCGCCAGGTGCAATGGCCAGGGCCATGAAACTCAGACTTGTCCTGATTTGTGGAGGAGATTTTATTCAACGGTAATTTTTACATTTAAATTTTTTTAAGTTATTTTAAATTTTAATTGGGCCTAGCGTTGCTAAAATTCCAGGGCTTGTGTTAAATTTTTGTTAGATTAGACTGTCCAAAATCAAATCTTCATGTTTTCATTTGATAATGTTAAATTTTGATATGCTTTATTTTATTGTTAAAACTAATCATTTTTTTTTTTCAATTTTAGGTTTCTGGCAATGGAGAGGTTGTTGCTCCATCAACCATAGTCGGAACAAGTTCTCTGAAGCCCTCTCACAAGCTTTTCTGTTGCAATTGTGCAAAAAGAGGGCACTCTGTTGATCATTGTCCCAAATCTCGAGATAACTTCTGTGGGAACTCATTCATTTCATCATCCCTCGGCTTGAATGATTTTGGGAGGAAGGAGAAAACTCCAAAAAATCAGATCAAGGAAGCCTGGGGGGATTTGTACAAAGGTTCAAAAGCACTCAAGCGATTTAAAAGGGATTTAATGAGTTAATTTAACTGCTTTGGCAGGAACCAATGTGCAGTGTTCATGCTCGAGGATAAGAAATAAATGATTTTTTCGTTAAAACGAACCTTGCTTGATTTTTACAGCATTTGGTAAAAACAAATTTACAATAGTCAGGTATAAATTTTGTTCCTTGCATTCTGACTAAATGATTAATTTAAAACGCCTTAATTAATTCTTCATTGATTTTATTTGGAAATAATTAGTTGAAGGCGGTGTTTAGTGATAAATAGTGTTGTTTATTACATTTTTACATTATTATATAATATGAGACAAGTGAGAGATCAGTTTTTCATTGGAAATTCACAGTTAAAATTCTTTTTAGTGTTTCATGCGTGCCAACTCTTGCCGTATTGGCCAAGAGGTTAACGTGTAGAGGTGACAGATTTTTAAAGCTATTTTTTCACTGAATGGATCTGCAACGCGGATCAGACCTTGTCATCTGCAAGAAGATTTACTTAGTTGGTTTGAAATTAAAATAACTGAAATGATATTACCGTGGTACCACCATTTGGTCTTTTTTGGATTCTTATGACAGGTCTTGATATAGAATGTGTTATCCTGAGGCCTCTTCTGCAATCAAAAATGTAATTCAAAATTCAAAACAATTAAAAAATGAAGATATCAAACCTTTTCTTTGCAACTACTGAGCATGGACACAATAGAAAGACACACAGCCTGCACGGACAGTGCCGGGGACCAGTCTTCGGTCAAGATTGACAAGCAGATGTGTCCATTGCTGTACACATGTGGGTGTATTGGTATATTTGGACCCGTAAACATGACCTGAAAAAGACAAATTAATGAGAAGTTGTTAAGGAAACAACAAGATTATTACTTGAGGAGAATCAAAGGGGTAACGTGTGCCGAATTTAAATTGCAGCTGGAAGTGCTCGCCTTCGTACAACGTTCCAGCCGCCCCTTCAACATTTATTATCCACCTAGGGTCATAAAAGACATACAGATCAATTCAATGATGTAAAATTTATTGTTAGATTGATAAAATTTTTTATTGAAATCGTGGTACTTAAAAATCACCTTGTAAGGTCCTGCATCGCCACTTCGTGGTCAACCTTCATTCCAGGTGGTGGTTCTGACTGCATCAGCTTCAGTTCACGTTGCAGTCTTTTCTGCAGAAGAAAGGAAAAATAATTCAAACATGGTTCAGCAGTGAAAATATTAAATAATACATAATACACAATTTTATTTTGGGTCCAAAAGTTAAGAAATTTTATTCAATTTTGTTTATAGATTTTGATAAATTGTATGAATGTCAGCAAACAGAGGCAAGCAAAATCTTAAGGAGAAATTACTTTGCATAAATACTTAAATGAGAAAATTGATTTCTAAAATAATTTTTGTGCATGGCTCTAAAATCTCAAGGTCTTTTGTTCAGATTGAAATATTCTCGTTGATTTAAACATCTGAACTTACCTGAGACGGAGAAGCCATAACTATAAAGGTTTAATAATAGCAATATGTATTAAATTATAATCCGTCGGTGAAAATCGACATGTTTACAAAAGCTGGATGAATTTATTTCCCCATTTGTACGAAGGCAGTAAGGGGGCGTGGTGCGCCTGGTGCGGTGAGGAAAGAAGATAGCGGAGACAAGAAACGGCGAGCGTTGATTGGCTGCGGCGTCGGCTCGGCGGGCACATAATATAACACAGCCGCAAACATGAATCGCTGAAACACGAGTATGTACATAATGTATTATATATATATACATCGATATACATAATTGTACATAACATAACTTTCAAACAAACAAAGAAAAAATGCAACAGAACAACGATGACACAAAACACAGCCAGAACAGAAGATGCCGATTCCCGATGATGGACAAAAGAAACTTTTACAAATAAGTGATTGATTTTTTTGTTCTTTTTATGGTATGAGTTTTTGATGAGAAGCCCAAAATTATACTCGAAACCGTGCCCACTGCATTGTCAGGAAAATCAGCTGTGATTTTGATTTGCAACCCATAACTGGAACACACACCACACACTGGACGATGCCAATACAACCTTTGGGCTCATGGAATGGATGATACAGGACAGAGGATTGACAATTCATCTTCATCCCTCGATTTTTTTCTTCATCTTCCGAGATCATCAAATAGTGTGAGTACCCATTTTACCTATTTTTAATTTTGTGTTGAAACTTAGATTTAATTATTTTTAAACAATATCTCCCCATTAAAGATACATAGCAGATTTGAGAGATTGATCTCTGCCAGTGCCAGAGTTGATTGAATTTAATTAAATTTAAGAGTTGAGGGAGAGATGTTGAATAGAATTGATTTTTTTTTTTGTAATGAAACTCCTTCATGTTTAATAATCCAGCATAATATAATATATATATATTCATCACTTTTATTAAGAATAATATTAGGTGGTCATTCTTCTCACCTCTCACAAAACTTAATATAAATCTCTACATCAAAACAACGTTCATATTTACACATCTGCAAAAAGAGATGAGGTAAATCAATTATCGTACAATGTTCACAGGGAGAGTCAAGTTATCAATTTATTATATTTAGTGCCACGGTATCAGTTTTTCTTCAGCAGAATGATGACTTGATTATTACTATTATTTTTTTTTAATTTTCTCTGAGCTACTCACATTTTCCAGACAATTTAGTTTTTTTGATAAATATATACAAAATTGAGAAATTTCTGCTTCACATCAGACTAATTTGCTAAAATTAGTAAAATTTGATCAATTCGATGTTATGTACAAGCAGTATAAAAAATCTTTAAGTAACATCAAAGATCGAACAGAGAGAAAAAGTCAATAGTGAGGTGCTTATCTTTCTTTTAAACACGACAACAAATTAATATTGAAGTCTATCAAAACTTAAAATATAAAAGCAAGAGTTTGAAGTGACAGAAGGGGTGAAGGATTTCCCACAAATTTGTGCTTCGGATCAATGCGCCTCAAAATGCCTTCAACAATAGAATTCACCTTTTTGGTCGGAATGTAAAACTAATCAACTTGAAACAAAGTTACGAGAAATTATGTTTGGATAGAAATATTTGGTTTTGCTGAAAATCAGAGGGATTTTACTTTGAGCTCGAGTAAGCAGAATGCAGTATCTTCTACCATTAGTTCCGGGTGAAAGTCTTGAAGTTGGTTGTCTTCTGGTATAGGGTGTGTATTGTTTGTAAATATTGATCCTTGTCACTCGTGATTAGGCAGAGAGATCACACACAGGGCGGAGGCATTTCAATTACAGTATTCTCACGTCCAGTTCTGAGGAGGAAATTTAATTGAATTAAAAATCAAAACTGATTAAGAATTTAAAACAAAAAAAGTAGAAAGCAGAAAGCAAGACTAGGACAAACTCCCAAATTATAAAAAGAAACAAAATTTTCAAGAATGATTTTTTCTCTCTCCAGAAAGTGCTCATTTTGCCTGCCTAAAAATAATTTTAAAAAATTGGTCATAAGCATGCTAAGTAAGCCTTGTACAAAACCTTGCATTAAAGCAGACTAATTTTTTTTCTACTCTCAGCGCAGTGATTTTTTTTTAATTTTCGCTCCTTACTTTTTTATCAATCACTGTCATCTTCGATTGCTGGTTTGATTATTTATAAGGAAATGAACAATAAGGAAAAAAACAACACTTTAGAAAATAGTTAAAATTAAAATTAATCCGTTCTTTTAAATATTACTGTTACCATCTCCTTTAATGGTAAATCTTAAATATCATTTGAGGTTCTATTGATTTTTATACCTGTGACCTGATGCCTTTGAGTTGGTGGCGACTCAGTATCCGACCACCTTTGGTTAGAAGCTAACAGCTGCTGCGAATCCTCATCGAGGCAGCGTTGTGGAAAAGTTACTCCGTCGCCAAGACTGCAATCGCGCTCATTTTCAACGGTTGCCACAAATTATCAACACAAACTTTGCACATTTTTTTTTTTTAAAAATTTAAACTATTTAACTTTTTTAGCGAAACCTGAATCTATAAAATGCAAGGTTAGAAAATGGACACAGAGAAACTCCTGACCCACGAAAAAAGCACTTTTCTGGATTATTTAGGGTTAAAATCAGGGTAAGAAAACAGTGAAATGAAAACGTTGGGGTTAAAAATTGCTTTCAAAAGAAAACATGCATGGAAACGAAAACAATTAATGCACATGCAGATAACTTCTAACCTTTGCTGGGTAATGCCCATTGCTTCGTACATACTGGTCTGTGATCTTATTGGGAATTTCAGGCCATCCCCCATACTAGAACAGCGACAACAAATAACGGTGGTACATTAAAAATAAATAAACAAATAATAATAATAGTGCGAGAGAAAAAACTGACAGAACCAAACAATATTATATCAAGAGGTCCATTTCCCATGGCGCATTTTTAGTCCAGATTTGCAATTAGTTAAACTAATAAATTCTAAACTGTTTCAAAAGCAAATAAAATCTCACCTAGTAAAAACAGGCAGGAACCAGAGGGCTTTGTTATCTCCAAACACCTCCTGGAAATTGTTGTAGCGCCCTAAACTGAACCCGTCCTTGTCAGGCCCCGAGTGAAATACCGGAGCTCTGAACGATTCTAATCAGAGAGAAAAATTATTATCTGAGAAAGCTTTCTTTTGAAATTCTATATACCGAGGGTTGATCTGTTTTTGGTGATCAAGTAGCAGTGGTATGAAAATAGCGAGCCCAGCGAGATGGCAAACATTACTGCGACGAAAAACAGGAACAGAATGTGGAACTTGCCCATTCCATCGAGGTTGCCCTGTGATGTGAACTGTCACTCGCGTGCGTTATTAAAAGTAAATTGGCATTTCTTTTTTCAATTTGTAGGCAAATTACTACATCAACACACACTATGAATTATGATTCCAAAAAATTTCTCTTTGGAATTTTAGTTTGAGGTTCTGAAGGTTGAAAATCTTGCAAAATTGGATACAACTGTGTAACCAATTATTAAAAATAAAAATTACTTCTTTATTCTAACTTCTGCATCATAACAATAACAATGAATTTTAATTGTTGCCAATCATTCTCATTTGATATGAAATTAAAATGCTTAGCCAACAATGAAAAACATGATAATTGTTATGACAGATTTTAGAAAAAATTAATATGTAAAAACACTAATAAATTTAATAATTTAGAATTCGATAAATTTGAATTTGAAATTAACATTCTGATCTTGCGGCTTTTGTTTGAAAAAGTTACCTTCCAAAATGCAATAAAATACTGGAGGCTGGTCAGGCTGATGAAAACGCAGTACAGGAGGCCGTACCCGAGAAACAACACAAAGTACTTGTAGTTCTTGAAGGCCACACAATTGTTGACCCAAGGACAGTGATGGTCCATTTTAGGCACGCACTTCCGACACACACTGCAGTGGTGTGTCCGGTCAGGCTTTACATGGTAGCACTTCTCGCAATATCGGGCAGCTAATGACATAATAATTATTGTTATATTACTTTTCCTATTGAATTGATTCAGAAGTTACCTCCGTTCATTGTCGTGTTGCTGATGGGCAAGTTTCTGGCAAAGCTGTCCAGCAGCTGCCGAGAGGTACCCTCGGAATCGGCTTGATTCAGTCTATCAAAAAGTGATTGCGGAAGTTTGAACTAGAAATTAAAAAATGGAACTTAAAATATTATGCTATAATTAAAATATGTATTTTACCTCAGGAGGAACTCCTCCGACATCAGTGAAAATTGTTTGAAAGTAGGACCACATAAATATCACAAAAACAAAGTGGTAACCGGCCAAATACACTACTGCAAAAAAAAAATTTATTTTAAAAAAAAAATTAACAAAATATTGAGGATTTATTTTTAAGGGCTTGAGGAACTCACTCTGCTCCAGAACAGTATTCACAGTAACTGTAACAAATAAAAATTAAAGATTAGATTTTATTGAGAAATTTTAATTCAGGCAATTCAGGATTTTTTATGGTCTTTTTTCAACTTACGGAAACAGAGTTGGTAGACGTACGCGTAGTAGGACCAAGCAATGATGGACATGATGAACAAAACCGGCACCCACTTGACCAGCAAGAAGCAGTTCTGGCACGATTTATACACGGGGTTGGTGCTACGAGGGTGGGTCACCCTCGGCTCCATGCTGGTCATCATTTATAAAATGACGAAGAACGGGGGCCGAGTGGTCTTGTGATCTTGAGACACTTCTCAATTTGCGAGTTCCATCGAGACTTTCGGCCAGGACGCTAATTCTAATTCACTCATTAAATATGATCGCGCCTCGGAATTGCGATTCGGTCGAAATGTCGCGGCGAATTCCGAGAAAACAGGAAAGATTCGACTAGAGATAGCGAGATAACAAAAATGTTTGGTATCACCGACGACCGAGGGGACACTTTTACGACGGCACACCCACTTTTCATTTTCACTTTTCTCCGCCAGTACTGCTCGAGTCAAGTAAGCTGCCGTTATAGTGCGATAAATTTTATTTAGAAAAACTGAGAATTTCAATGATATAAACAATAGAATAAAAATCTATAGCGGATTATATTTAAAATTATTTTTTTTTATTAATTTTGCACTTACCGAAAAATTATGTCTATTAATTTGTTTTAAAGCTGTAGACTTGTAGAGCCATAAATAATTCCAATAATTCAACACAATCAATTGGTTAGGAAATAATAAATAAATGGTGAGATTAACAATTTTAATTTTTTTTTTAATACATACAATCATTAAATTTTTATCTACAATTTTTTTCATGTATGACTTGAGTAGAATAAACAACAATATACAAATTGAAAGCTAGGTTGTAAATTTTGTCTCCAATTCGATTTTATAAAGTACAATAGAATTCAGCGTAAACGTTATTATTGTTTTTATATTCACAAACAAAAGTGCTAATTTTTTTTATTAATTTCTTATTGGCATATTAAATTTTTTTAATTCTTTTTTACAAGTTTTCTTTATTAAGTTAATAAAAAGTAATATCTGAAATTATAAAATTATTTTGTGCAGAAAAGTTAAAATGTAAGAAAATAAGCAATTACTCGTCATTGAAATAATTTTTTTCTGGTAATTATTTTTTTCTATACAATGTTTATGAATATTTGATTTAAAATTCAAATAAAAAGGAATTCATTTTATATTTTATTCTAAGTCTAAAAGTCTTGACAGGGAAATAATTAAAATTAAAAGTAGCAATTATATACGATTTCTTATAAATTAAATTATTTAGTGGTCACAATTTTATAAAAAGGAACATATAATATTATAATAAATTATTGTGCAGAATTTTTCTCTCTTTATATAATAAAAAGCAAAGAGTGATGTGATATATTTTAAATTAACTTTGTATATTTTGAGAAGAACTATTTTGTGAATGATTCGAATTAATCAACCTCTTCCAAGCCGCGCCCTTGCCTGCTTCTCATGCTGTAGTCGAAGGGCTGCTCCTGTTCGGCCTGCAGCCCGCACGGCCGGTGGTCGTTGCGTCCCACCCGCCGCAATCCCCTGCGACGCAAAAAGTGGATCTGCGCCGTAATCGGGGCCAGCGCCTGCTCCATCTCGAACGTTCGCACCCGGCACTGTTCCTCGAAGCCCTCCTCCCAACTTTCGGTCCGCGTCAACCACTTTTCGGCCTCGTCGCAGATTTTCACCGCTCGGTCCTTGTCGGCCTGGGTTAGTTTGTCGGCGAAGTCCTTGACGCCCTTTTTCACTTCCAGCACAAAATTCTCCAAGTGCGCTTTGGTTTCCAATCGCAGTTTTTGCATTTTCTCCTCGATGTCCAGCCGGTCGAAATTCGTCTGCAGCTTTTTCACTTCCTCCTCGTTCAGAGGGGCGAATTTTGTGAAAACGGTTCCAGTTTGGCCGCTGACCTTCAAAATGCCACTCGGGTCGACCTCCAGGGTCAAGTCTGCGATGCAGGTGAAGTTTTTGTGAGGCACTCTGAGCACGCCGACCAAGTTCCTGTTTCCGTTCTTGTCTTCTTCAAAGATTTTGAACGCGTTAGTGACGCACTGACCTCCGAGGGTGAAGGTCATTTGTTTTTTGCACGGCAGTTGCGAGTTTTTCTCCACAATAATGAAGTCTAGTCCGGTAGGGGTGGCCAAGGCAATGTTCCAGGGCGCCACTTCTAGCACTTGCAAGGGCCGGTTTTTCCACTCGCCGCTCAGGATGGCCGCTTGAATGGCCGCACCGCGGGCCACAAACTCTGCACTGTCCACGAGGACTTCTTTGTCTTTGAAGAATTTGCGCAGAATGGGCAGGAGTTGAGGCATTTTTGATGCACCGCCGACCAAAAAGACGTTGTCGATTTCCTCGGCTCGCATTTTTGCATCGTAGAGTGCTTTTTGAATTGGGTCCAAAACAGACCTGGAAATTAATAAATAAAATATTTGAAATATAGAAAAAATAAATATTTGAGGTTGCAAAAAGCATAAAATTACGATATACCTTACTTAACTGTAATATATTTTTTTCAACAACAAAAATTTAATGATTTTATTGTGTTGTTTTTTTATTTAAAGCTGTAAGTTTTTTTCTAAAAATTTGCACCAAACAATAAAAAATTTAAAAATTAAAATGTAATTAAAAAAAGACTAATTTCAATTATTAATTATTTTAATGAAATTAAATTTAAATAAAAATCTTATATATAAAAGTAAATTTGTTGAAGTGATGTTAAAATAATTTATAGCTGTATATAAATCAAAATTTTGTCAAAGTTTATAATTACAGCAATATATGACATATAGAAAATAATCAATAGTGAAAATTATTAAAATATTATTATTTGTAAAATTTTCTTATATCAATAATGTTATAATCTTACCTAAAGAGATCTTGGCAGAGATCTTCGAATTTTGCCTTCGTCAACTTGGCTCTGAAATCGATGCCCTCAAAAAGGGCGTCCAGTTCAACCATGGTGAGCGGACTGCCGGACAAACTCTGTTTGGCTTCTTCGCAAGCAGCCCTCAGTCTCGTCAAAGCCGTCGGATTCGCCCTCAGGTCCATTTTGTGCCTTTCCCGAAACTCGTCGATCAAGTGTCCCATGATTCTCGTGTCAAAGTCCTGACCTCCAAGGTGGACGGTGCCTGAGGTCGACTGGACCTCCACATGCTCCCTGTCCACGAAGACCACACTCGCGTCTAAGGTTGCACTTCCGAAATCAAATATCAGAAGTTTCCGAGGCCCTTTCAGGTCCTTCTGGAGGGCAAGGGCGGCTGCTGTGGGTCCGTTTATCAGCTGCAGGACTCGCAGTCCAGCGATGGACGCCGCGTCCAGCACCGCCTGGCGCTGCGAGTCGCAGAAATTGGCCGGGACGGACAGGACGACATCCTTGATGGGAACCCCTAGGTAAGTTTCGACCACCGATTTGATTTTGGCCAGGAGGAGAGCGGCGATTTCTTCGGCTGTGAAGCGATGGCGTGCGCCGCGAAAATCCACCTCCACTTTGGGTCGTCCGGAGTCGTGGGTGATTGTGAAGGGCCACCTTTTCAGATCCTCGTGCAGACAAGGGTCGTTGAATCGGCGACCGAGGAGACGTTTGATGTCGGAGATTGTGTTTCTGGGGTTGATTGCAGCCTGGAAAAAAATTATTAAAAAATAATAATAATAAATAGAAAAAATTGTATATTTTATATTTTGTTGTCGTTTTAAATTTTATTTTAACAAAAATCTTTATTATATATTTAAATATCTTGATCAGTATTTAAATTTTATAATAATTTCAAATAAAAGATTTAATCAAATTTTAAGCTACCAGATTCGTTAAATATATTAAATCATCAAATAATTTATTCTAAAAATTTAATATTCAGTGGCTTTATAATCAGGATTAATCTCAGAACTGGGGGATTAAACTATTTTGTTTACAAACAGTCTAAACGAAAATATTTTCATTCTCATATTTTTCTGCCCAATCTGATCAAAACAAGAATTTTGTCTTATCAATTTGGGTTTTTTAAATAGATGGCAATAATAAAAGATTATATTAATAATTTTTTTTTTATATTTACTAAAAATTTTCTGCATGCGCGCATTCCTTTAAACAAATCAACATTACCTGCTTTAGAGCCGACTCTCCTACCAGAATTGCATCCTCCGTAAAAGCGACGATGCTCGGAATGGTTTTTGCGCCGCTGTCGTCCGAGATCACCTCGACCCTTCCGTTCTGCAAAACAGCAGCACTGAGCTGGCTGCTGCCGAAGTCAATGCCAACTGCCGGTGTCTTCATAGTTCTTCCAGCATGTTCCAGGATACGTCCTGCCAGCACGGGTTATCTCGGTGTTTTGACACCCCACGTGTGTTGCAGGCCTATATATAACTTTTGAGTGGAAAGCGCCGAGAATGTGCTCGAACTCTCTCCCATTGGAGCGCACCTCTCTCAGGTCTGCCTCCGATTGGTTCGTTTTGACACGTGGGCGCGGCACGTGTCTGGCGGGAGAGACACGTGCATAGGAGAGACTCTCACAATGCCATTCAAAACAGCTGGATTTAAAATAGATCGCACTTTTCGCCGCACACCCTCACCCCTTGTTATGTTTCTAGTTGTTTCTTGTCCTGTATCCTGTATCAAATTGCAATAAATAAATTTGCTTTAAACGGATATATTTTTTCTGAAAATGTTTTTAATTCAAATTTAAGGAAAATGGTAGTATAATTTTGATAATTTCAGTATATTTAAAATTTATTTTTTATATTTATTCCTAAATTGAAACTATTTTTTAATCAAATAACATTTTTTGCGTGATATTAAACATGGAAATATAAAAATGACATTTAATTATTTTTAAAATAAAATTTGTAAAAATAACAACTTTGCTTTTTTTGTCAATTCTAATTAAATGCTTGTCACATGATAAATGATAATTTATTTACACAGTTGTGTCAGGTGTTATTCTTTTTTGCAATAACCAATTGGAACTAGAATTCAAATTCAATGTGTGAACGACTGCTATTAGTGAGCTTTTAAATAGCATCATATTTTTCTTAACAAAAGAGTTTAACTCGTATTTTAATTGTTTTGGTTTCTGAAATTTCAAGTTCAATTTTTTTAACTAGAATTTTTAATTTTTCTACATCTTTCTTTACTGTGAAATAGTCATTTAGTAGCAAAATCTATAAAATTTAGTAGTTTAAATTGTATTGATTGGTTAAATTTTTGTTTAAATATAATTTAGGTTATGGTATTATATTGTACAAAGTATGATTTTTTTATAAATTTGTTTGGTAATTTATTTAGTAAGATGGTGGGTTTGTTGTGTTATTGCTTAGTATAGTTGAATTTAATATTTAAATTTTATAATTAAATTTAATTATTAAAATTATAGTTAATTTTTATTTTGTTTTTAAACTTTCAATGTCAAAATTTGTGGTTCATCATTCATCACTCCTCTGATGTCAATTTCTGAAGAAATTTCGCATTTCCTGCAAATCAAGTGAATTTAGCAAAATTTGCTCTTATTATAATACCAATTATCAATGAAATGAATAACAAAAATAAAATTATACTAAATTTACCAATCTGCTGTTTTCTTTTTAGTTTGCTAAATATTAAGAAACTATAATTATGACAGCACAATATGTAATTCATTTCATAGCATTACGCAGTTCAAATCGGTCCCACCGCCCTGTCGGGCGCAAACTCGAAACTCCACTCCCACCCTCCACCCCCGTGTCAGAAGTGTTGACCATTATACATTGGCTGACCAAAGGGTCAGTCATGCGGTTAGCTTGTTCGCGTGTTCCGACCGCTTGCTCTAATTTTTCTTCACCTAAAAAGTTTTGAAATGGTGCGCCCGTAATTTTTGAGGCCCCGGTGCCTGCAATCTAGTGAGACATTGAGGAGGAATTAACCACTTTCACAGGTAAATTCTTGATTTATTTTATATTTCTTCAGCAACTCTTTTTTTTACAATCCTTCATTCAAAATTCCTACCTGCTTAGTGAGTTTAAGTAATATCGCCTGAAAAATTTGTCTGCAGAAAAATTTTGATGAAAATTTTAATTATTCTTTTAATATGAGCCATTCGAATCAAAATTTCTGAATAAAATATCAGAAGAATGAATTTTTATAAATGAAATCAATCGATCAGTTTCTTTCACGTTACACTACACTTTTATTCTTCGAAATATAAAGCTTCAAATAAAACAAAATACGCCAAACAAAAATAAAATAAATAAATTAAAAATACTCTATATTGACAAAATTAAAATCTCGTGCTTTAGAGTATACAGAAAAAACAGTGAAATCAATAAAATCATGTTATATTTAATAGAATATTTAACTAGAAAATTTGATGACAAACTAGAAACTAGCAATCATTTTAATTTTATATCCAGAAACGCCTCCACATGTATGTATATTGATTTGAGCGAATGTTGTGGCGCGTCTCGGCGAGGTCTTTGTTCCCTCTTGTTGTCAATGTTCGCCAATAATTTATCACTCTGGCGAAGACCTTCACACCGCACAAAACACCGCAAGTGAAAAGTGTATTAACCTTGCTATCGCCCACAAACCTGTCCTTCACAGAATGTCATAAAAAATTTGGCGGTTTTCTAATAAATTTCTTTCAACTATGTCTAACATTATAAATCAAAAAATTACTTTTTTGCATAAGAAAATATTAATCTTGAAATAAACTATTTTTATTTACAGACATGGAAACAAGTAATTTCTTATAGTAAATATTGATTATGCTTCAAAAAAAGAGAGCAGCTATATTTAATTGAATCCAAAAAATATTTTCAAAAACTGGTGACTTCTGAATTGTCTCTTGAAAATATTTTTGTTTAAAATTAATAAAATATCATGAATCCAATTAAAAATTTGTGAAAATATCAGTCGAGTTTGTGATTTTTATAGTAAAGTAGGTTTTCTTTCTCAATTAAATTTATTCCAAAGATTTCCATACTCTTGCGAAAAGCAAAGCTTGAAATTGCTTAAAAGGTATATAAATATCAAATAACATATTCATGAGCATGCCGTGGTCAACACCATTGCACTTATTCTTCCCGCATTTCCTTATTCTTCTCGATCGTCACGCTCTCCCATTTCTAATCAACTATTCAAAAGTCGCCACTGGCGATTGATTCTCGAAATTCACACGCGTGTGTGTCCTTTCAATTTCGGAAGCAGAAACAAACAAAACAAACTCGCTGTTCTATACTCAAATAGATCGTCGACGTTTTTCGCAGCTAGACCGCGGTGGTCACCTTGCGGTCACGCGACGGCAAGGTCAAGGCCCCCCTTGCGGCTTGGTTTGCAACCCTCGCAACTACACAAAGCACCCCTCGACGCGTGCACACACTTTCCCACCCTCGAGAGTGGTGTTTTTTTTCTTTATAATTGCAGTCGTGCCAGAGAAAGAAGGTTATGATTCAAGGAGAAATGGGGACAAATATAAAAAAGTAACTGGTACGGTTGAGAGAAGCTGATAGAGCTTAATGGAACTGAGATAAGGGTCCCTTATATGCGTGTGTGTAGCGATCTATTTTCTATATAATCCATATTTTGAGTTATATCAAATATAAATTTATCAATATTAGCTCAAAAACACACATTTTTATGAAATTCTATGGATTCTGCGGGATTTTAATTGGTTTAATTGTATTTTTAATTCAGCTTAGATCAATTGATAATGTTGCAGAGAAATAAAGATTTGTTAAAAATTGTTCAAACCATACAAAGCTTATTAAAGTATGCCAACTTATAACTTTTTTTGGCAAAAAATTTTACTGTAATTGTGATTTAAAAAAGAAAATTATCAAGGATTCAAATAACTTCTTGCAACTTTTTGCTTAATCGTATTATTTATAAATAAATGAATAATTCAAATAGCAATGGCAAGTCTTCAAAAAAATGAATATTTATTTTAGACTCCTTATAAAAATTGCGTTGCCTATGCTTGATTTTATTGATGAAAACGAAAAATTTTATGAATATAAAAATACTTATTTTTTAAGCAAGGCCATTTTGCTTCTTTTTTATTATGATGTATCTATGGAGATAGAGTGAGTAAAAGCTGAAAGTTAATTACACCACTAACAGCCGCCACAGCTCTTTGTTTTCAAGCAAAAATCTATAATAATTTCCACCACAAAGTGGAGTCCAGTTGAGCCAGAGGTATTTTAATGCGTTTTATCAGCGGCACGTATGACAGCAAATCGGTCTGCTGGGACAGCAGCGGCACCGTGCGTATTGACCCAATGGGTTGCTGCTCCCAGTGACGTATGCAAAGTCCGACAACATGATATAGAATAACCCGATGTATTTTTATTCGTCATTTGATTGCTTTTGTTCCGGAAGTGGCGAAATAACAAGCCCAACGACAAACTATCAAAAGTCGAGTCAGACAACAACAATGTGTACAATTTGATAATCAATGACGGGATATTGAGCTGAACCATTTTCCGAGAAAGAGAAATTTTACGTAAGAACATTAATTAATTTGCACTCTTATTGTTGCTATATTATATTTTTTAATAAAAATTTAAATATTTCAAATAAAAACTTTGAACTTTAAGTTTTAATTATTGTATAGACCGGGAAGAACAAGTAGTAATATGTTTTATTCTTCTACAGTCAAGTCAGAATGGAGAGAGGAATTTTGTATTACATAATGAATTAATTAAATTTTTATGATCCACTGAGAATAGGAAAATGTGTTTTGTTGTTAATTTTAGTTTTCATTTTTTCATTGCTTCATAATCTTAATATTCTTTGAAAACTCTTAACCTTGTTTGCTACAATATTAAAATATTTAAATAAACCAAAGATGTTGATTTTTTTAATCTAGAAGCAGTTTTTTAATCTCTCCAAAAATATTTATTATGATACTAAAAAACGTAATTTTTTGGGGTTAACTTTTTACTTTCTCTTTTCATACAAATAATGCTTTTTTGCCAACAAGAAATAAAATCACATCCAAGCATCGTTTTTGTGTGACTGGCGTAAATTCCATCGGCTGAACTTGGCCCAATTTTTGCAACACACGAGGGGGTGTTTGAGGAATTCGTGTCAGGCCGGGAATTATTATTTTCCCATGCCTGTGTGGGCAAGTGCAGGCGTTGATGACTGCTTACGCAGCCGCATGCAAACCAACGCTCTAATAAGCAATAATGTTGTGCTGCGCAGGTTGCCTAGCGACTTGACGTAAGGGGCACTCCCATCAGTTGGACCGATTGGCATATCTCTTGCTTTTTACAAAATGAAAAAAAAATTCAGTATATTTGCAAGCTAAAAATAACATGATCATTGATTTAATTAATGATTAAAAAATTAAAAAAATTTATTCTTTTTTATTGATCCATAATTATAGTTAATGAATTATGTACACAGCGCGATGAAAACATCCAATTATTGCGGGGAAAAGCAGTAACAAAAAAATAATATATAAAATTTCAATTTATATAAATTTTTTATTTTTTAAGAAATTCTTATTGGATGGCTCAGATTGAAAGTCATTTAGAATTGCACACTTCCCAGAACTAATTTGGTTGACCTAGTCTAGGGTCTGATTTTAAAAACGCCTCTTAAATTTGTTTCAGACAAAATGTGTGAAACGGTGAAAGTGGTGGTTCGATGTCGACCGATGAACACAAAGGAAAAGGCAATGGGTTGCAAGGTAAGGTTCAGGAAAATTTTTATCTCTTTATAAAGTAGGAAGTTTTATTAATCCGAATTTAATAATTTATTTTTTACACGTGTTTTAAAATTTTTGAAGTACAAAATTTAGTGCCAGTTTTTATTATTGATACATGATGTGTATTTTGCGACCTCTTGCATTTTTTAGAACGTTGTCAACATGGACCCAGTCTGCTGCACTTGTTATTTGAGTAACCCTAATGAGCCCACCGCTCCAAACAAAGCATTCAGATTTGACGGCGTGTATGACGAGTCGAGCGCCACTGAATGCATCTACAATGAAGTCGCCTATCCTCTTATCGAGGTTAGTTTTGGAAGAGTATAAAATATCCTTTTTTATAATTAAAACGTTTATATTCAGGGTGTGCCAGAGGGTTACAACTGCACGATTTTCGCTTACGGACAGACGGGATGTGGGAAGAGTTTTACAATGCAAGGCCCGAGGGAACCCACCAGCCAGCGTGGAATCATTCCTCGGGCCTTGGAGCAACTTTTTGAAGCGGCGGCCGTGAGCGAGGCGAAATTTCTGCTCACTGCCTCGTTTTTGGAAATTCATAATGAGGAAATTAGGGATCTGCTTAACGCTGCCAATCGAAGTAGACTCGAACTCCGAGAACATCCAGAGAGAGGAGTTTACGTCCATGGTAAATATTTATTTAAATCTTAAATTAATTTTTATATATATTTTTTTCAGACAAAAAGTTGTAGTATTTATTTCAAATTTCAAACTGTTGCAAGAGGCAACAGAAAATAATTAAATTCTTAAAAAAAAAAAAATCATTACACAAGAATTCCATAATAAAAGTCTCAAAATATTCAAGAGATTAATAAAAAGGGTTGCGAAGTTGGAATGAATTAAAAAAAATTCTGTATTTTATTTTAGTGTCTTCAGCAGTCGGATAACTTTTTTTAAGAATTATTTAATTGTTACTTTATAAATTAACTTGTAAAGCTAAAATTGAATTAAAATTTGAAATTGTAAAAAAAATTATCATAAGAAATATTTAATTAAAGTATTTTATCAAAAATAAAATAAAATTTTTATTTATTATTATAATAAATACCTTTTCCAGAGCTTTCCAGTCATCCAGTTCACAGCAAAGACCAGTGTGTGAACCTGATGGAGCGCGGCTGGGCCGCCAGAGCCGTGGGCGCCACGCTGATGAACACAGACTCGTCTCGCAGCCACTGCATCTTTTGCGTCAACGTCGAGCGCATGGACGTGCTGGACGACGGGAGCACGGCCGTGCGTCGCGGCAAACTAAATTTGGTTGACCTGGCCGGCAGCGAGCGCCAAGCCAAAACCGGCGCCACCGGGGAACGGCTGAAGGAGGCCACCAAAATCAACCTGTCCCTCAGCGCCCTGGGCAACGTCATTTCCGCCCTGGTCGACGGAAGGACGCGCCACGTCCCGTACAGAGACTCGAAACTGACCCGACTTTTGCAAGACTCTTTGGGCGGCAACACAAAAACGTTGATGGTTGCGTGTTTGTCGCCGGCCGACTACAACTACGACGAGACCCTGAGCACCCTGCGTTATGCCCACAGAGCCAAAAGTATTGAAAACAAGCCCAGGGTGAATGAAGACCCGAAGGACGCGGTCATCAGACAGTATCAGGCGGAAATCGAGCAGTTGAAAGTTATGCTCAGCGGTGGACAAGTGTTCCAAAACGGTGGAACAGGAAGTTCCGAGTTGGATGAGTTGAGGGCCAAGTGTGAAGAGGAGCAGCGAAATAAGGCGCGTCTCCAGCAGGACCTCGAGGAATTGAAATCTTCCTACGCTCAACTTTCTCAACTAAAGGTTTCTTTGATTACAATTTTTTAGAAAATTTTCTTTTAACTTTATATTACAAAAGGTTTGTCGGGCTGATGTTATTGATGGGTCTGAGGACATTAAAATGACGTCGCCAGAACTAATTGAGTCTTCAGCCAATCCACTTCAGCAAGCTGTTCTCCAAAGGTGAAATTAGCTCCAATAATATATACATAATATATTTTTTAATTACAGTAATTTTTTACATGTACTTTTTTTAATTTTTTTCCCCAAAAATTCTTTCAAATTTAAAATAATCTTATTATCAATAGTAGCATTTTTCAATTGTCATAAATTGTGCTAATCTATTTTATGAATTTTCATTGGAATTTTGAAAATAGAGTGAACATTTAAACAAAAATCGTTTCATTAGACTTCAAGACCTGCAATCAAACATGGTCGGCGGCGAATTGGCGCACGACACTGCCCTCAAAGAAAAGCGTCAGCGGCAACGCAAGACCTCCGAGAGGCGTCTGAAGGCGCTGGCCACAGCCCTGGGCAAAAAGGACGACGAGGAAGCCGCCGTTCTGCAAATTTATGATGACATTGAGCAAGAATTAGCTGCCAAAAGTGACGCCCTGCGCAAAGCACGAGCGAAAATGCGCGCCTTCGAGCGAGAAATCAAAGACCTGCAGCGCGAGTTTGAGACGGAGCGCACCGACTATTTGGAGACGATCCGCCGGCAGGACAAAAGTCTCCAGCTGATGCAGCAAATCACCGCAAAAATGGCTCCTTTGGTCAAGCCGGAGTGCAACTACAGCGACGTGGAACGCATCAAGGCTGAGGCGGTGTGGATCGAGGACATGCAGAAGTGGCGGCTCCCGGAAATCATGATCGGGCGGACGCGGCTGCCACCAGCAGGTTCGACCACTCCACCCAAACCTCCACCGCAACCGCCAAGGGCTCCGTCAAGGACGGCGCCGGCCAAGGTTGGGACGTCCAGCAGCCAGCCTTCATCTCCAGAAAGGATTCCGGTCATGAATGGAGACACATTAATGCAGGCAAGAAAATTTAGCTTTTTTTAATTTTTCGCTATTAAGTTTTTTGTTCATGTTTGAAAGCTACTATCAATTTTCATAGCCCTGAAGGAAACTCTTCAGAGCTTGAAGTTCTTCATTTCAAATTGATTTCAAATTTTAAAATGCTCCTGATTTATTTATGTACGCCTGCAAAATATCAAGGTATGCAACCCGCTAGTAAGTCGTGTATAGCAGGTGGCATATTTAAAGATCTGTTTTTTTATGGTTTATTTTGGACTGTAGAAATAAAAATTTAATTTATTTTTAGAAATTGGAAAAAGGAGCCCAGGAAAATTTTGCAGCAAATTATTTCAAGCCAAAACGGGCGACGGAACTGTTGATTAAAGCCCAAGAAGGAAACACTGGAAGGCAATGGATTGCTCAACAATGGAAAGGTAAATATCTTAAAAGTTTGATGGTTTAAATTTTTCTAATTTGGTTTTAGAGTCAAGAAAAGGAGGGCAATTTTTAGCCACGAGCTTGACTAGTTTGAGCTCCAGTGCTGGACCAACCCTTGAGATGGCAGCCTTAGCGAATAGCAATAATAGCCCCATCATAAACCACAACAACATTGCGTGGGGTAATTAAATTTAAATAATAAAAAATCAATTATTTTAAAATTTAAAAATTCTAGCTCATGACAGTTCGCCAGAACTCTTTATGTCTCGAAAACCAACTCGACTTGAAGCTTTGCCTTTGCTTGAAAAAATTGGCACCAGGAAGAGAGTCAAAGCAGAATTGAACACACTAGACCTTTTGTGACTAGAGGCTGGAGTTTAATTCAACATGTGCCGAATCAATAATTATTGCATAATCATCTGCTAAAACTGTGATATTAAATTGTTTAATAACCCTCTGCAGTGTGTACATATTGTTGCACTTTTGTGTATTGACATTTTTGAGCTGCCGTTTGGACATTACAAAATAACAAAAAATTGTTTTGTTGGACATTTTTACCAGAGTTTTATTTTGTTACAAACATATTTAATCAAATCTTTTGCTAAAAGTAAAAATTACTTGTTAAAGCTTATTTTGTCACAGAGTCCAAAGTCTTAATAAATTAATAATTTAAAAATCTTCACATTGGGAAATCACGTTGGAGTGGCAGAGCATTAAGGTGGACAAAAGGAATAATAATTTTTTTTTTCATTTTCAAATAACATTATTCAAATTTCATCCAAAGCCCTAATGCATATATTTGTTTAACACATTCTTGAAAATCTGCCACTCATATATTAAGATTTAAGATGAAAAAAGTTCTAAAGGCGGTGAAAAGAGAGCTTTTGATAGATCAAAATTACAGCATGCATCAAACGCGTTTTCTCAGGCAAGGATAAATAAGGCGAGAAGCATTGTATATATAGAGAGGCTGATAGGGGAAGTGAGGACTTTCATTTTTGCCGGATGGCGTTCTCACTGCCGGGAGGATTGAGGCGCATCTGCAAAAGGGCACACAGAACAACTTTTAAAAAAGAGGTCATGCAAAAGATTGACGAGCAGAGATACGACGAGGCAAAATGTATTAATTTTTACAATTTTCGCCTCGGCGTACATTTAAAAATGTTTTAATTGCATGCAAAAATAACAGATTTAAGAAGGAGTTGAGCTGGAATAAATGTTTTGTCGTTTTGTCGCTGAAATTCAAAGCTGAAGTCTGTAATAAAACGTAAAACACCAAATATTAAATTGGTGTCCCATAATGCCTTAATTGTAGGTTCAGTCGATGTAAGTCTCTTGTCTCGTTAAAGATCTGCAGTTTAAAACATATAAAAAAAGATCAGATGTATTAAGTGAGATCCATTGTCAGTTGGGGGACGACCTGAGTAATAACAAGAAACGGTTATGAAAATATCATTAATTTCGTTTACTATATTATTTTGTCATTTTCGTCATAGATGTCATATACTTGAATTAGAAAATGTCTCAAAAGAGTCAAAAGGCGAAAGAAGATGAATATTTTTGTGTAATTTTTGTATCTTGTGATTTTGATAGTGAAAGAAGCTTGAAATTTTTTATTTTTATAATTTTGAAAGTCCTACCTTTTTACTTTTAGTTCTGCGTGTTATCTCAATGATTAATTCTTCAAAAGTGATTGAAAACGCTCTGCGCATAAGTTAGTTTGTAACTTTTATGTCTGATTCTCTAGCTAAGCTTTTTATAAACTATCCTCCAAATTAGAGTAAATTAATTTCTATTTAAAAATAAATTAATCAATTCGATTATAAAATTAGATTATTTGTCAGCTTCCTCGGAATCTGCATAATCGGGCTCTTCTCCGGTTTTATCCAGGCGTTTCTGTAGACATGGTAATTTTTATTTTGTTATTAAATTACCTCCACCTATATTTCTTCTATTAAAAAAAAAATAAGTTTTCTCTCATTATTGTTGATTAACCAACCCAGCATATTATTTTTATTTAATTTTTACCATGATTCTCTTCTTCTCCTTGCAAGCAAACTCGGACTCGTCTACGTCACCATAGCAGTCGCTCTTGTAATCGGCCGGCTTCCTAGCGCCGTTGAGTTCGCACAGCTTCTCCAAGGGCCGCGCAGAAACGATCATTTTGTCCATTCCGGTCGGCTTGTGTTGAGGGCAGTAGAAAACCCCAGGGGTGGCTTTGTCGTAGACAATGCTCTTGCGCATCATGTCCTTGCTGCTGCTCTTCTTCGCAGACTTTTGTGCTTCGGTGCCGCTGATCACAATCTTAAAAACAATAATTTAATGTAACCATTTGAGCTTTTTTCATCTTTTCTAGATCAATTAGGTAAACCTACCAGAGCAAGTAAAAGGAACGCAACTGAAAGACGAGCTGTAACAAAATTCAAATAATTTAATTAGTTGAAGTACATTTAATACATAAATTTTTTAAATTACAGAAAACTGATATGATAAAATTCTATCGAATCAAACAATTAATTTTTATTGATGCACAAAATATTTTTTAGGCAGTGGTGAGTTTTCTTAGCTCAAAGCATCGTCCTATTTTAATTATTTCTCTTGTTGTAACAAGTTTGAGTGCGAGTGTCTGTAATTTCTCTTGTGGCGGAAGTCAATAATTTCACCATAAAACAACTTCGGTGCTTTTAGCTTTTTACTGCATAATTGACTACTTGAATATCTGAACGACTTAATGCGAGTTTCTGAGACACAGGTGGTTGACCCCGTATGTCCACAGTCTGTGACACTCGTAAATCCATCGACCAGTGAATCATGTTCGCCCACAACTTCAAGTCATATCCTTACCCATCCCGCATCTTATAATAACTTCTCTGTTCTTAAGTAACATTTGAAATTACAATTTATTTTAAATAGATAAAAAAAAGTAGCCACAAAAAAATAATGCGGCCCAGTAAAATAATTATAATTCTCTCCCTATTATTCACTATTATTTTCATTGAAAACATTGAACTTTTAAATAAAAAAGTTTAGTTAAAAATTAATTTGGTTTTCATGAAACCTTGTAATAAAATTCATGGTGGGTTGTTTAGAGGCGGATTAATAAAATATCGTGTAGGCGCGCGCAGTGAATGTTCTGCGTCATTTTTGCTCTCAAGGCTTTATTTCCGTGTGTGCAGTACATATTTAAGCAAAAAGTTTTACACAGGCTTATTATTTTATTATTACTTTAAAAATAGTATTAGTCTCTAAATTTGTCCTAAATAAGCGAAAATAAACAATATTCAACCCAAATCCCAGGAGAGAGTAGCTCACGTTTTGTGCTACATGTTAAATGGTCTCGAAAAGTGAATGGGTTAGTCGTCGGTTTGGTGGTTTATGCGCAGCGCTTATATTTCATATAAAGAAATTTGAGCTTTCAATCTCCTTAAATATTATAAACTTATATTTAAATCAGAAATATTGCAGCATGATAATATAAAAGTAAATTTAAGATTTGCAGCAGGAAACACCAGATTTTTGTTATTTAATCTTGGAAAGCGAGAGTTTTATAATGTGAAAGGTCATCATCCTGTTGCAATTATCAGTTTCATTATGTGTTAAAGTATATTAAATTCAGTCCAGCTTGAAAACAAATATATGGAAGATAATTGAGATCCAAATTACTTACCCATCTTTGCTCTTTCGGGACAATTTAGGTGCCTAAATGAAGATATTTGCAGTCAAACTTCAGAGGTAAACGAAACACAACATGGAGGCTTAAAGGTGTGTTATTTTCTTATAAGGACCTGCTGAGCTCAGGTTCAGGTAGGAGGAGAGAAAAGACGAAGGTAGCTCCATCTCGACGGAAAGCTTTCTCACGGTGGGAGAGATCGGAGAGATTATCTGATATACCTCAGCGTATATAACTGCACAATCTTTTATTTCATGTGCGCGTAAGCTTAAGTTAGAAGCTAAAAAATCTTCCTAAATCACATCCATAAGAAATTAGAAAAAATAAAACCTTTAAAATTTAGGTGTTTTTTAATAAAATTTTTTGTATTTACTTTTTTTATTTTACGTGTGTAATGCGCAAACAGATTTTTATCTCAAATAGTCATTTGATATAAATTACAAATATTGTATACGAACATATAAACCTGTGGTCACATAATTATCAAATTCTAGCCATTTGGCACTATTGCGGTCAATATCAATTCATTAAATTTGTATTTTGACATGATAAGTTGGGTGTTAAGCATAATTTTTTCCTTTTCAATGCAAGTGTTGGTTATGAAAATTAAATTTTAAATGCAAAACAAAATATGAAAGATGTAAATTTTTAACGGCTTTATTATAAGAGCCATTAAAAATTTCCCATTAAAACTTTTATTTTTTTATTATATACAAAAAAAATTAAAGTATGTTTAATTTAAAAAAAATATACAACATAATCATGGCCATTTTATATAATATATCAACTTTAAAAACCCAACAACATGGAAACTCGTTCAAAAAATTTTGGGTGCTTCATAGCTGGTTACTTTATCAAGTTTAAATTCTATCTAACAATCAGGTGACTTATTTCAAATGGTTACATTTCATAGCACATTCCTTCTTTTTTGGCATACTCTTGGGAGTACGCCAATTCAGTCTCACTGCAATAAATTTACTTATACACAATTAAATAAGTTTTGAAGTCAACTAATGCCCTCAATTCTCAAATTATGGGCCTCAAATCAAAGCCACCTGCTTCTGAGTCGCTCTTCTCCTCCGGCATGGTGACCAAAGCCTTTCGAGTCAGACCCCAGAAGGCGGCCGGCACCAACTTTCCACCACTCTCGAAGCGCCAGCCTATGTGTGCGTAGCACGAGTGGCAAAAAACGCACACCCACTTGTAGCCAGGGAACCACGAGAATCGCGCCGAAGGAGTGCCTTGGGGCACCAAATTATTGGCGTGCCGCACAGTCAGGGTGTCGTGGACAAAACCGTCGGGGTTGACGTAAGCGCCCTGAGGTCCGTCCGTACTCATCGAGAAGACAGAACTGGTATTCGAAACTTGCTGACCACATGTGCTGCAGCAGATTCTAGAGCACTGCAAAGATATGGGTGAAAAAATTAATTTAACGTTTATATTATTTTTTGCTGTGCAATTTGGGGTACGAAAAGTTAAAAAATTTAAGCATGTTTTAGGAGAAATTTTTCTTAATTAAAATTTTACTCTTTTCTATTCTTTAAAAAAAATTCATTTACATTACATTGGATCCATTTTGCGGAGCTTAATTTAATTTAATTTGAGTTTAAGTTGAATGAATTTTGTTGGTTACATAATAAAAAAATCCGTGCTTACTTTGGCCATAAAATGTAGTTCCCATCGCAGTCTTTGGGTAGGGCAGTCCAGTTTCAAAAGTAGCGTTCGCTGCTGGTCGACCAGCGGCAGGTTGTGGGCAACCCAGTAGGACAACATGAGGGGATCAGTTGGAGGCTGCGTGGGGGATAACTGCCCTCGACACAAATCCTTCAACAGGGCGTGGATTCTGCTCACTAAAATTTGCTCATTGTACTGCTCGTAAACCTGCAAGTACTCATATTAGACAGAAACTTTTCAAAATTTAGTGCTTCTCACAAAAGTAGGCCATGGGGTTCTGATAGACGCATTCAGCTTTCGTTTCCTGTCAGTTCTACTGCTGTCCTTGGCGTTTGATGTTATCGAAGTGTAGAACGGGACAATCAGTTTCTCGGGGAGAATCCTCACAGTTGCAGACATTACCAATCTGAAAATCCGTCATTTGTAATTTTCTCGCTTCTTTTAAATTTCAATCATTCTAAATATTGAACATACTCATTATTCTTGGTGGCTTCGATGATGCGAAACCTTTGTCTGCACATGCCTGTCAACTGACAGTGGCCTTCGATGACAGCTGAAGAATTCATAATTTGGAAAGTGACCCCAACACAGCTTTTTATGTTCTGGTTGTAGCGGTTGAGGTTAAGGACAAGGCCAAAAGTTTTGTCTCCCTCCATGACCGACAAAACCATTGAAATGAGCGACTGCTGGAAAATGTTGAAGGGAATCTTCTGTCCAGGAAATGAGACCGTCTGATGCTCGATGACTGGGATTTTCTGAATCGAGTTTTCTTCGTAGAAAGTGAATCCAGAAACTTCATCCAAATCTTTTCCTAAATACTGATTTGAAAAAAATTTAAATTTAAAATTTAATAGTTTTTATTGTGATAAATTTACGAAACCTCATGTCTGCCAGCTCGATTTATGTCAAACATCTGAGCATTTTCCGACGCTTCTTCTGGAGAGCTGCGAGCTTCCTCCGAGTCCTGAGGAACGTCCCATGCATCCTCAGAATCTTCCAACTCGTTTTCAACAGGGCTGTGGTATTCATCGTCATCACCGCTCGAGTCGTCACCTGGAGATTTAATTTTTTAATTATATAATAAATGATTTCAAAAAATTGTTTCCATCAGTACCATCGTGGAAAATTTCATCTGCGTCCTCGCTGTCAGCATCCATTTTAGAGGCGAATTTTTGGAACGAACCTGCGAAAACATTTATTTAAAACCGTTTCATCTGACAAGAATAAAAGAATTCCTGAATATGTCAACCAAATTAGATTAAAGTTTCACCTTTCGCGTGCCAACTTGAAAGACAATCAAGAGGCTGGGAAGCAAAAAATTGCGAGAAATCCCAAATTAACTTTCGCAAACACGTCTCTGTCTTTCTAATGTACTTATGTTTTTGTTGTTATGGTTCGCCTCGGCCAATAGGAGGCGAGTAGATGTCTCTGGACTTTGCACTTTCGAGGCCAGCTTTGGCCGCCGGCCGCCAGGGGCGCCCCGCATCCGCCAATGGCATTGATTATTTTTGCAGCTGGTGGGTCGCAGTTTACTGATCGTGCCCGCGCACAATTCGACGACCGAGAGACGAGCAGACACACGCACGGCTGCCACTTAATTCTGCACGCGAATTCGGCTTCGGATTCGGCGACATTTGCCCTCGACAGCCGTACCAACAGGTCATGTTGTGAATGGAAAACAAGTGCAAGATGAACGGCAGACTGAAGGACAGTCTGCCATGCATCCCCTCCGAGCTGCTGCTCAACCCCTTTGTGCACCACCTCGAATTAACGTCTACTCTGGACAAAATCAAGGTGAGTTGCACCGAAAACGGTTCAATTTGCACTTCTGCACAAACGTTTCTGTCAAGAATTCGCGAAAAATTTGTTCTAGAGCGATGGAAAGTAGGCAAGTGCGCGTTTGTTGATATCACGCCACCCTTTCGTGTCGTAATCTGTGCCGAGTCCATCTTTCCGAACGCAAGCTGCGTCGGACTAAAACCACGTGAGGTTTCAGTTCAGCCGGATCTTTTATTATTTATGCTGGTTCGATTGCTGTGATTTGCTACTTTGCGTTTTGTAACAACTGCATGTGAGTGTCTATTTCGAGTCGTGATGAATTCGTTTCTTGTGCCTGCGTGTCACAAGTAGAGTGAAGTGTGTCGACAGTTGACAGTTCTCTCGAAGGGGCGGTAAAAACATGAGAAATTTTTTAAACATAACTTTCATCGAGGCTTTTGAATTTATGCTGGTCTGTTTTCTATAAAATACCAAAATATTATCATATTTTTTTTAATAATAAATTTATCAAATTTATAAATTTTGTTATGCAAGTAATTGCTAAAAAAATTGGCAAAATATTATTATTGTACCAACTAATTATTTTATACGTAAAAATCTTCTTTTAATTGTAAGTAAAAAAAATAATTTGATCTACTTTAAAAAATAAAAATAAAACTGACAGATTTTTCCCCTAAATCTCTTGTTTACGTAACAATGTCGAATATTTTGAAGAATTAAATAAACCTGTTTTTTTTTGTGTTTAGCAAAATCTATAACTTTGATCATAAAAAAGTAGAAATTTTAACTTTTATTGGTGTGATTTAAGTCATTTTTGACGAAAATATATCCAACCACACCCCATGATCAAAATAGTATTATTTTTGTATTTTTCCAGATTGTTTCATAATTTTTATTAAATCCAACAAATTTTATTTTAAATTTTGATTAAATCTTGTCAAGTATTTTTATTTAAATTTTTTCAATTATTTAAAATATTGCAATTTAAAATATTTATTGACTAAGTTTCAATAAACTTTAATTTTGGCGTATCTCAAAATTTAAACTAAATCTGGTTTTAAAATTGATATAATCTTTGGTATTATTGAAGCTAAACGGGTTGCAGCAAATTAAAATTTTCAACGAGGCTTCAAAAAATTTTCAGCCAAAATATGGAATAAATAAAAAAAAAAGTAACAGAAAATTTAGTCGTAAAATATTCCAGTCAACTTTAAGCAAAGTTGCATTTGAGAATAATAAGAGCTAAATTACTCTGACCGAATTAAACAACTACAATTTTTGTAAATTATTCCACCTCGCGGCCCCTTTCTTATTTGTTTTTAGGTTGCCACTTTATCAGCTGAAGGTGCAGCAATTTGTTTCCTTGCCTTGTTTTCCTTTTTATCGTCGCGTCGTTCGTTGCACTGGTGTCGACTTTCATATACTTTCGGAGGCCGCAAAAGTGCCATTTTCCGAAAAGACCGGTGGAGTTATTCGCTGCTCTCGTGTTGGAGAAACCCTGCAAATATTTCCACTTTGGCCTACAGACGCGCAACAAACGGAGATTTCTGTTTGAGTAAAAGTGTTCAGAGGAAAAAAAATCGCCAAATCATGCAGATTATTATATTATCAGCTGCTTTTTTGTACTTATTGTGGTTGTTGGAGAAATTTCGGGGCATGACTTCAGTTTCTCTTTCTGCAGAGAAGAAAAGACGCGCGCGCGCGCTTTCTCTTGAGTGTTCATTAGTGGTGCAGCACGTACTTACTTGTGTCATTAAAGTTGAACGAACTAGTCGCGATTGCATTATTTTGTATGTAGGCAAACGTTACATGCAGAAGCGAATTAATAGAATAGAGCTGGAAGGCGCTGCACGTTTGACGAAATCGAGGAACATTACGTATCGATCGCACATTTCAAAACATTATATTTTTTATTAAATCAAATCAACCGTCACTCTTCTTGAACTAACTCTTCAAGTTCTTCATTTCATTTTCTTCATTTTGATTTAAAGACCCAGATATTGTTTTTTTTTTTTGAGACCTTCCATTATTTGTAATTGAAATTCAAAATACAAAATAGATTAAATTAAAAATAAATCAATTTGTTTGCAGTTGCTGGAGTTTTTCAATAATTTATTGTTAAATAAATTGTTTAAAATAATGACTATTTGAATGTTTATCACCTCTGAAAATTCCTTTTCAGTCTCTTGATTGTATCTGACTGTAAAATTTTGTATTTGCAAAATTGCTTCCTCATTAGAAAATTGAATGTTTAATCTAGTAAGAAAAAATATAAAACATTTAAGCTGAATTAATGAATTAAAATTCATTGATTCATAGTAAAGTAATCAAAGACTTTTACAATGGTTGCCGAATATTTTAATCCTATATCAAATTTTCAATTTTTATATCAATTTGAAAATAAGTTTATTGGTTCATATGTCAAAAAAATTCGAAATTTGATCAAAAGTAAATCAATATGAAAGAGGGGAGGGAGAGAAAGTTTATAACAACAAGTAATTACAATTTCTATATAATTCTAGCAATATTCAAAATCGGTGGCTACAACAAAAGCTGATTTTTATTATAAAGATTTTGCAGATTTTGCTTTTATAACTTTTCTGCAATGCACGTTTTCTGTAGCACTTTGTTGTAATACAGAAAAAAATTACTGTAAATAATACCGATTCAATAGAATTGATATCAGAACAACTGGCAACGGTAAAAAATAGTATCACGTTTTTAAATACAATACAAATGAATCATTAAACTGTTCCCTCGAATTTTGTCGATCAACCAAAGTCTGGTCTCTTTCTTTAACGGGACGGGAGAACAATCAGTCCCCTCCGCAAATTTCCGTCTAGTCATTCGCCATCGATTTGATCCAATTCATTGTGCTAATAAAAAGAGCGGACCAGCCTCGGCGTGTCTAATCGGACAAGAGCGAATTTCTTTCGCGTTTCCTTCCAAGTCGAGCGAGCACATTTTCCCTCGCCAAGGAATATTCTCGAGTAAAAGAAAATCAAGTAGCAATTAAAACACCTGAGGAAGGGTTAATTCTAATAGAGAAAAGAGGAAGTTGATCGAGGAATGCCAGCAAGTAGGTGATTATCTTTGCGCTGCGAGCCATCGCATTATCTCACTGTTCATCCACGTGTTCGTTTATGCCAATGAGCGGGACGAGTATATAAATATAAACGCAAGCGGCGGCACTCAAGGTGAATGTGCAATCGAGGAAATGCACTTTGTAGAGTCGATAGTGTAATTTGCCTCACGCTTGTTCCCGCTCGACGATTACACTGTCTATGGAAATTAGAAATTGTTCTTCTGCGAGGTGAATAATTTATTAGGAATTTCTTTTCATCTTTATGGAAAAAAGAATTTCTAAAATATAATAAGAGAAAACTTGCAGTTTAAAAAATTTACTTAAATAATAATAATCAAAAATTTAATAAATTTTGTCTACATATTTCAGAATATAAGAAGTTTGAATATTAAATGATTAATTTTTTATGATAATTTGTATAATTTAATTAGATTTAATTAAATGTTCTCTTTGCAATACTATTTCCCTTTTCGAAACGTAAGTATAGAAAAAAACAGTGATAACATATCTAAAAAAAATCTGTTTGGTAAGAATCAATTTTTTCTATACTTCTTATCTTCGATCATTTCTCTATTTTAATACTTTTCTGCGACGAAGATCTTCGCTTTTCGTTATCTGTCATAGCCGACGTGGCGTGACAATCGAGACTAAGACAATATTTACAAAAAAAATTAGATAAAAATTAATGAGGAAAGAACAGGGGCCTGTACATTCGTTCCAAAATATTTTTAAGCTTGGCTATAATTTTCTTTGTTGTTGTGGAACTGTCAAAATGTGTCGGTGATTCACGATTTTCCCACCCTGCGCGGGAAAGGATTTCCTTGTTCCTACGACTTGCTGACCGACCGCGTGTCTGATGCAACCAAGAACCATCCGTTGCAAGCAGAGGTCCCGCGCGCCACGTCATTATTCAATTGAAACCAATATAAATGAAATTTGAGAAATTAATTGTGCACACAAAGATTCCAATCTGGTTCACTGAATCGCGCAGACCGATTAATAAAAAAAACTTTTAATTATTTTCATCGTTTCTTCTAGAAAGTTGTTTTGATCTCAAATTTTTTTGTTGTAAATATTGTCTTAGTCACGATTGTCACGCCACATCGGCTATGACAGATAACGACAACCAAAGTTCTTCGGCGAACATAGAAATAGGAAAGTTCAAAGAGCAATCGCAGCTTTACGTCACATTGCCTGACCACAAAGATTTTTTTTCCTTAAAAAGTAAAAGCACTTCAATTATTAAAATACTCCTTTGGGGTTTGATTGCTTGTAAGATAAGGAAATAAATGTATCAAATATTTAACATATTCTTGGTCATCTTCTACTTCAAATTAAAAATATTTATAAGGTAATAAGAAAGCATTTAAAAATTATTAATTGTTCATCAATTAATAATTATAAAATATTAAATTTAGGACACTTAAAAAGTGGTTAGATTTTCCAATTGTAAAGTGATTTCATAGGTAAAATTTTTCAGTAAGTTTTTCATCTATTTTCTCATTCAAAATTTGTTGAAATTTAAAATTATATAATAAATTAATATTATTTTTATCTTAGTTTAGGAGACCAAATTAAAATAACCTGCAGCCATTTTAGCTCTCTCGGTTGCAAAATGATTAATTGCAAGCGGGGAATGGAATTGTTGCGTTAATGAAAAGACAATTCGATTCCAAGGCATTGTTTCGTTCTCACTCTTGGCAAGGGTGTAAAACAATATCTATTCTGTAGGAAAGAGACAATGACATCACGTACTAGGCTATCTTTATGGGCGGTATGTTCACAGCTATGCAACGACGACCTTTCCTGTTAAGTTTCATTGGGACATTTTTTTTCTTAAAAAAAATCCCGAGTGCATACCTTGTGCAGAGAGTGCAGCGAGTAGGATTCAATGACGAGGTCAGTCACTGACTTCTTCTATAGATTGTAATTTTTGCTCTGGCAGCGCGATAAATTATTTCGAGCAGGCGTAGGCAAAGAGATGAAGTTGCTCCGTTAAGATTTTTTATTCTAAGCCATGAGTAATTGACTCATTAACTTAATCAAGTCAGCAAAAATGGAAATGAACAATATCAAATTTATTAAGATCTAAATTTATTTTTAATCATTATAAAAGGTTATTTTTTTATTAAAATAAATTATTTAAAATGAGCTAAGTTAAAAGCAATGATTTAAGAAAAAATGTATTTAGAATTAAAGGAGTTCTTACTTTAAAAAAAAAACAATTTTTTAAATAATTGATTTAAAATTTACGCTGCAATGAATCCCAATTTTTAGGAAAACAATTTTAAAATATTACCTTTAATTAATTTTTGTTAAGTTTTCAAAGCATTTAAACGAAATTTTGTTGTAAATTTTTTGATTTGGTTTTTTTTTACTTATTTTCTCTTGATTTAAAGTATAACTTTTGGTGCTCAGACTTTCGCAATATTTTTTGGCAGGCTAGTCCATTTAATTTGATTAAATCTTCCTTCCTGTGGTGATTCACGACCGGAGATACGAAAATGAGCTTGCATGGGACGAGGAGAAATTCTTCGCGCGCCACTGAATATCTTGCTCGCGTGGCCTACTTTTTTGCCGTCTTGCTTCTTCTTTAGTCTTTCGGCGCCAACAACTTTTCGTTTTACGAGCCCTTCCTTTCCTTCCTCTGATTAGCGAGCAGAAAAAACCCGCTAAATCCAAAATGCGCCGCAATTTGAAGTGGGCCAAACGCCTTTCAAAAACCGCTCAAGTCTGCTCGCATGACGAATAATGTTTCCATTCTAGGAAAGTGATCAGCGCAAAGAATGGAACCTTGCGTGCCGCGGAACGCAGCGGATCTGAACAATATAATGAGGCTATGATTTCAATTTAGTTCACAGGAATGGAAGTTACCAGAGAATTATGCACGCAACAATTACTTTTGCCGATTTCACCTATATAGGAAGATTTTTCCCTTTAGCATGCATTGCAGGTCAATGACTTCAGATGGTTTGAAATTCAAAACGTTTATTAAGTAAAGTTAATCTTATTTGAATTAAAAATTGAATAAAATTTTCATTATTTTTATATTTTGAAAAGGGGCTATTATATAATTTAATTAAATTTTTTGAAAAATTCACGAAGCAAAAATACAAAATTTCATCTATTTTTTGGTCCTTCTATTTCCCTTGCTAATAATAAATTAATAAATCACGATGTACTAACAATGGCGTTAGTTCTCACCCAAATAAACCTTGTGGCTCTCCGAGTATTTTATTGCTCGAACATGCTAATTTAATTTTAGACTTGGCCGTCACGGCCTGAAATATCTGCGGAATATTTTTGAAGCGCTCGTTTGGTACTGGTGGTCACTGAAAAATGACACAAGACCGCAAAACATTAAACTAACTAATTTATTTTGTAATATAATATTTAATAAACTCAAACGGCACTTCAAGATAAAAAAAAAAACGTTTGCAAACTCTTCTGAAATTAATTTCAAGAGATCATTTTTCACACCTTTGGGTAAATAAAAATATAAACATAAATTCTTTACAAGTCTTATTTTTACCGGCTTTTAATGCTGTCAATCAAATATGAATACCGAAATGACTGTCTATTTTAAAATTTACGCGCAAATCAGTCAAACAAACAATGCGTAGCCTTGGAATCGTTGTTGATTGTTGCAAAATAAATTGAATGAATGTCAAAGCGAGAACCAAAATAAGTTTGCACTAAATTTTTGCGAGGTTTCACGTACGATAAACACACATAAACAAACAGGCGACCTTGATAAGTGCAGGTGATTTGGGTACAAACGCTTTTCATCTAAAATTATCTATTGCTGGCAGCTGATAAAACATGCAAATCTGCGGGGAAAGAGACAAAAATTTAATTATGTAACCCTGAATTCGTAAAAATAATTTTTTTTTATTGTTGTCGCTGCTTATTTTCCAATTGTTTCACATTTTTTATATAAAATTGTTGAAAAAATAGTTTATTTGAGATATGGATAATGGATAATGGAAGTGTGGATTGGACAAACCATTGTTGTCAGCACAGAAATTAACACTGATTCTTATGGGACACAGAAATCTGTTGTCCAATCCACCTTCTAATAGCCATAATTTGAGAGAGAAAAAGGAATTGTTGGACAAAACAATTTATTTTAATATATTTTTTAATTTTTTTTTCATTTTAAAAATAAATGTTTATCATTCCCAACTTAAAAATTAATATATTCCATCCAGAGTTAAATTTTTTTAATTAATCTTGGATTCTTTTGTTCGCAGACCGCGTTTCTGACGGTGACCTTCCTGCCCTTGCGGGTGGTGTGCATCGCCCTCTTGCTAGCACTGGCCTGGGTGTTGGCCTGCGTCGGCTTGGTTGGACTCGACGAAAATGACGTCCGATGCAAACCCCTGACGGGTTGGCGCAGGTAAAACTTCTTTATCGTCGGCACGTCGGCGGACGTGCAATAAAAAAATTGCATAAACAACAGCAAGACTCACCTCGCCCGTATGCGTTAACTCTTATCGCATCGGGACACGACGACGCATTTTGTAAATACAACGTGACGAGAGACATACCGAGTTGCACAAGCACTCTGCTTATATACTAATTGGTGGTTGGCTGACATTATTATTATTTTTTTGCCCATTAACGCCATATGCAAAAATAAAATTGTATCTGTTTGCTTCTGCACATGATTGTGCCTGTTCAGCTTTAATTGTTATTTATTTTTCTTAAAAAAAGGCTTAATTTTATTTAATTATTTTCATTTTAACCCGAGAGAAACTTCTTTGATGTTTCATGAACACTAAAATAAAAGTTACCCCACAAAACTTGGTGTCAGTTACACACAAATTTAATTACTGTACATTCTCTTTGTTCTACTCACATGTTTTTGGCAGGTCGTTGAGAGCGGTGATCAGTAAATTGGTGCGCCTGCTTATGGTGTTCGGTAGTTTCAACCGGGTGCAGGTCAAAGGACGCCAGGCGACGCAGAGGGAGGCGCCCATGCTTGTGCTGGCGCCTCACTCGTCCTTTTTTGACGCGCTGCCCGTTGTCGTCCTCGGTTCGCCGAGCGTCGTCGCCAAAGCCGAGACCGCCGATATTCCCTTCTTTGGCAGTACGTTCTTCAAATTACTTGTCCGCGACAAAATTTGAAAATAATGATACTTTCCACGTGCATTGAAAGTGTTTGCGCTCGCTCATGATTCTAAACCCAATAACAGAAAGCACGAAGGCCAGGGGCTAAAATAACACAAACATTTCCAAATGCGTGGAAGGTAAATTTATATGGATTGAAAGTAAAAAACAAAATAAAGTGTAAATTTTTACTATGAAAAGAATCAAAATTGAAAAAAAAAAGAAATTTCAACTCTTACTAGTAACTAATCATTAAGCTACAAAAGTTAATTATAAAATAATTTTCAGTTTTGAATTTTTTTCTCAGCTTGGTCGGACAGAATAAATGATAAATGACGCTGTTATTTTACTAACCATGATACTAAGATCGTGAATTCAAAATTAAAACCCTTGCTCATTGACGGACAAATTTGGCGGGCCCCCATAGGTAACTGCATTGGGCGTCGCTCCCTTCAGAAACTGCCAATAAATGTGATGGTTAAGGTCTGCTCTCTCCCCGAATTATTCTGCTTTGCATGCACACACCTTAATTTCCACTAACTGTTGTTTGTTTCCGTTCACAAAATTACACAACACTTCCTCTCTCGTATAATAATCAAACTAACCAATCTAGATTTCACCAAAGGTAGTTTTTGTGGTACCACTATATAAAAAAATCATCTCTTCTGAGCTTCAACCTGAAGAGAGTTTTTTTTTTCAATTCATTAGCCTTAAAAGGAACTCTTCTGCACTTCAATTTGATTTTTGGCAATTTTCTTTTCGGTGAAAAATGCACACAAAAAAGAATTGTTTTAATTTTCTATAATTTTTTGCGAATGCTAATTTAATTTCTGGCGGTGGCAGGGCCCTGGTGCGGACGCTCAGCTGGCTGGGCCGCAGCACCTACGAGGTCGGGGGGATGCACCTGAAGGTCATAGGGCAGCAGGCGAGCCGCGAGGAGGCTCCGATCCTTGTAATCGCGCCCCACTCCACCTTCATGGACGCGGTCATTGTCTATGTCACGGGATTTCCCTCCATCATTTCACGCAGAGAGAGCGGCCTCAACCCTTTCATTGGCAGTACGTTCCTCTTTCAATCCCCGTTTTTTCTTATTTATTAGAAAAAATCCTAGTTGTAGTTGTCAGTAATAATAATACAATTAACCCTTTTCTTTGCTTGATTGTCTTTTTAACCCGTTCCTGCAGAGTTGATCAACTACACGCAGCCAGTCTATGTGTGGAGGGATGACCCAAAGTCGAGGCAGAAAACCATCAAGGAGATCGTGAGCCGAGCTACCTCGAAACTGGAATGGCCACAAGTACAATTACAGCCCAAGCTAATGACTTGACGCTTATGTTCTTAATTTGGCAGATTTTGATTTTTCCCGAGGGCACCTGTACCAACCGAAAGGCACTGATTACCTTCAAGCTCGGCGCTTTCTACCCTGGGGTGCCTGTCCAGCCAGTCTGCATTAGATACCCTAATGAGCTGGACACTGTTACTTGGACGTGGGAAGGGCCTGGAGCGTGAGTTTTTATATTTGTTTTAAATAATAAAATATTTATACATTTCAATTAAAAAAAAAAAAAATACAGTAGCTTTTTAAGAGAGCTAAAATTATAAATGTTAGCAAATTTGCAAACAAAAATCATTAAATTTAATTAATTTAATTTCATAATTTAAAGTGCCTAAAATTAAAATTAATGATAAAAATATTCCATAAAAATGATATAAATATTGTTTTGCAACTGTCATAAAATTTTAAATTTTTACCCTAAAAAAAATTGAATTCAATTTATACTTAAATTTCAGCCTGAAGCTTCTTTGGCTCACCCTGACGAGGTTCAACAGCACCTGCGAAATTGAATTCCTGCCTGTTTACAATCCAAGTGAGGCAGAGAAACAAAACCCAAAACTCTACGCCAACAATGTGCGAAACGTTATGGCAAAGTAAGCTATTGAAATATTTCCAAATCGTCTTTAAAGATTACATTTTTTCCAAATCAGGGCTCTTGGCATTCCTGTGTCTGACTACAACTACTCAGACACACTCCTTATCAAAAAGGCTGTGGAGCTCAATCTCCCGTCTGCCTCGGATCTCGTCAAAGTGCAGAAACTGAGAAGTAAAATTGGGTAATATTACAAATAATTATAAATTATATGTAATAATAATAATTATTATGTTAATTATAAACAGACTTGACACTGTGGATATTGAGGTACAGAAGGCATCACAACTCCTCAAAAAAGATCTGTGCTCCGTTGTGGAGTTTGCAAAAATTCTTGGTGTTGGCGTCAATGATGTTTCAATGCAAGAACTTTTCCAACTTTATATTAAAGTAAATTTATAAAAAAAAAAAGAAAAAAAAGGGAAATTGAATAATTCTAATGTCTAAATTTTAGAATGGTGAGAAGATAATAGACATTAGGGAGTACTTGCTCGACATTATAGTGATTCATATGAAGAGCAAGACGGTGAATATGGCAAGACTGGCTTTTGAGGTTTGTTACATTTTCTCTCGCAATTACATCATACAAGTGACAAGTGTAAATTTTTAAATCAAAAATTATTTTAACCCAGGCTGCAAGTTGCGACCAAAGCAATATGAGCAGGAGTGAAGCTGTTCACGCACTTAAAATTGCATTCAATATGTCTGAAGAACGAACCGAGAGGATTTTTTCAAAATTCGAGTCAACCTCATCAAAATTCAATTACGGTAGAAATATTTTTCTCTTTGTTAATATTAATTCTCATCTTTTGCCCCATATTTTTTCCAGAGTCATTTAGAGAGTACGCCCTTGGCAAGGAAGATCTGGCATGGATTTTTGCTGGACCAAAAAAGGATTGTTGAACAACTGTACCGTTTGATCTGTGCCAAAGAGACCACGGAAAAAAATATTTATGGCTAACAATATTTTTGAGAATTTACACACTCATCAGTATTTTGCTCTTTACTCTAGTAGCGGAATCGAATTCTTTGAGAATAAAGTCGGCAGGAACGGTCAATTTTCTGCCTTGTGTATGTAAATCATTCCTGGAGATAGGTTATGTACTTGTAGATAGTGATGACTATATTTATTTTTGTGCAATGCTGTACACTTTGTTTTCCATGTTTAAATACTATTAAATCTCTTTTAAGGACCACCTCAGATGGAAAATATCTATAAATTGTGTTTTATTTAATACTCAGTTTTAGTAAGTTTAAGTAATATTATTTGGGAGAACCAGCCAATTATTTTAAGTTCAAATATAAAACTTTGTATTATTGATGTAATTTTTGAGCTCTAATTTGAAGGTAATAGTCCTGATGGAAAAAATTATTGTTTACTATACAATATTTAAAAAAAAATTTATTTGGCAATTACTATGTTTCAACAATAATAAAATTATATTTAAGGATGCATGTATTTTTGGTGATTTTATTTTTAATTTATTTACAAAGGAAATGCCAATGACAATATGAGTCATATATATTCTTGACAACGTACAAGCTGTTACATAACAATCTAAAGATTCACAAGTTTGACTTATATAAAATAATAACAATGCTTAAACAATTTAATTAAGAACCGACTTTATTGGGTTAGGAATTCCCTTTCTCATCTGCTCCGCTAACTCGGGTTGGCTTTCTTCGAGACCTGGCAATCTGTCGAATAAACTAACTCGCATTTCATCATCTAAATCATTCTCTTCTCGTAACGCACAGAAGTAAATCATGAAAGCGCCGAGGCTGACCATAATTATAGGCGCTTCAAACCACGGCGCATCCCTGTTAGACTTGACCCGGTGAGCCATCGTTCCTGATGCAGCTTCACTCTTTGAAAACTGAATTGGCTCATCATTTTCTTCAGCTTTCTTTCCATACCGACGACAAAAGCATCCTTCTGGCTTGACAGAACTTCTTAGGGCGATTTTGGTGACATCAAAGACACGTCTGCACGCACCGATTCTAAAAAAGAAAAAAAATTTGGTTTGAAAGTCTCATAAATTAAGAAATTTTGACAAAATTTTGATGAACTTGCCTTTGTAAGATCATTTTTCCAGGCTAGATGGTTTGTTTTGATTTCAGCGGCGTCTGATTGGCTGAAGTGTCATCGCTCTCATTGTTCCAGCCAATCAGCAACGAACGGGGGCGTAACCGGCAAATTTCAATAACAAAGGTCGATCAGGTGCAATAATAATGTCTAATTAGGTCTTTTCATCCCAGAATTTCTTCTCCCACATTGGAAATCCTTGGTGTCTGAGTTCTAGAACCCGTTGTCACTGTGCAGAATTCTTCAATGGCCGAGAAAGGTGAAATTTGTTTTTTAAATCTCGTTTTAAAATGGAAATTTTCTATGTTTACATACTCAATCGGTAGCCAAGTGTTATTTTAGTCTGATTGCCCTTATCAGCTCTCGCTGTATTTGAACGGTGAGAGTACAACTCATTTATAATTTTCAATTTGCAGAGGACGAAATGGTCGACAAGTCGAGTCCGAGGAGCATCGAGCTGCCTGACAAAATCAGGGTTTTTGACAATTTGAAGAATGCAAAAAGATTTGCCATTGACATCGGTAAATAAATTTATTTTGTATTTAATTTTGTACAAAAAATTAATTGATACTTTTAGGTGGATCACTTACCAAAATTGCCTATTACTCAACAATATCCCAGAGACGAGTTTTGTATGGACCTTTAAATAAGGAGGAATCTGCTTCATACGAGGTTTTCAAAACAGAATATTCTGGAAAATTTTAAAACTTTATATTATGTAAATCATCAACTTTAGGAGACGCTTATGTATGATGTGTCTGAAGGAGCTCGTTTGCATTTCATCAAATTTGAGACGAGATACATTTCACACTGCTTGGACTTCATCCAGCAAAACTTGGTCAACGCTCGTGATCACATGCTTGGCAAGAGCATCAAGGCCACCGGGGGTGGATCGTACAAGTACACGCAGTTGATCCACGAAAAATTGGGCTTGTCGTAAGTTACAGAGGCCAAAAGTATAATTAAAACGAACTGGTCTTTTGCCAGAGTTGACAAGGAAGATGAATTGGGCTGTCTGATCAAAGGCTGCAACTTTCTTTTGAGGAACATGACTGACGAGGCCTTTACTTTCTGCCGACATGCAACGCCGGAATACACTTTCATGAAAGCTCAATCTCATATTTTTCCCTACATCCTGGTCAATATTGGTTCAGGAGTCAGCGTTCTGAAAGTATGATGTTGGTATAATAAATCAAATCGTAATGTTTACTCTAAAATTAAAACAGGTCGAGTCTGAGGACAAATATGAGAGAATCGGTGGCACAGCTACTGGAGGAGGAACATTTTGGGGACTAGGCTCACTTTTGACATCAGCGAAGGTATTCAAAAAGTTTGAAACTTAGTGGGAAAAAAAATATATATTATAATAAATTTTTCATAATTGAAAAGTTGGAGTTTTACAATAATTGTTGTTATTTTACTATTCATTTTTCAATAAAGGGGTTTGATGAGCTTTTGGCTTTGGCGGAGAAAGGTGACCACAGAAATTTGGACATGCTGGTCAAGGATATTTACGGTGGTGACTACCAACTTCTTGGCCTGCCAGGAGACCTCATTGCCTCGTCATTTGGCAAGGCGATGCACGCTCAAATCCAGAAGGACAAAAGCAGCGAAACGGGCAGTGAATATTCCGAGGCAGACATTGCCAGAAGCCTCCTCTTCACAATCAGCAATGATATAGGGCAAATCGCCTGCCTTTACGCAATGATGCACAACATGCCAAGAGTGTGTATCATTTAGTTTATTTCTAAATTTGCCTATAGTAAATTACTTCTTTTCTAAGCAAGTGACGAAACATTTTCTAGGTTTACTTTGGTGGATACTTTTTGCGGGGTCACCCTCTCAGCATGCACACAATTTCCTTTGCCATCAACTACTGGAGTCGGGGACAAGTGCAAGCACTGTTTTTGAGGCACGAGGGCTACTTGGGAGCAATAGGTGCTTTTCTAAAAGGAGCCGAAGAATGCGGTAACCATTAAAATAAAATTATATTTTTCTCCATCTAATTATTTGCAAACAGATTCTGACAAGTATTCGTGGATGGAGAACTTAGCTGGCAGTGCTCACGAGCTCAATTTTACAATCGACCCAATGCAAATGGAGCCTGTTTCTCCTCCCGCCAATCTTGTTCTCGGGCAATTGGAAATGGATCGTTGGGAACATCCAGTCACCTGCTTTCCCATTTTAGCTGACCCTGAGAATTACAATCCGGACACTGTCGACTTAAATAAAGATGCGGAAGCAAGGTAATAATCTGGGAATATCATTTTGTAGGAATTATTTAAAATTATTCTTCAAGATTTATTCTTGGATAATTTCAATTTATCCTGTTTCCAGAAATTATTGGTTAGAATGCTTCCGAGACGCCACTTCAAAATATGTTGACCGAGCCATCCAAAGTCAGCCTCACAGTGAAACTGCAGAGGAGCGTGCCCACAAATTTAGAGACAAGTACTTGAACCGACTGCAGTACCTTCAGGAAAAACCCTTGTAAAAATTGAACTCCTCAATTTATTCCCTCAAATCATTTCTTCTTCTTAATTTTCAGTGCTTACGGTAATCTAACTGTGCGAAGTTTGTTGGACACAATTGAGCACCTACTGAAGGAATTTGATTTCCCTGACCCGTACTTAATGCAAAAGAAGCAGGAGAATGAGACTGCATTGGCTCTGCTTCCGGCACGACTGCAGCTTTTGGACCAGCTCGACGAAATGGATAAACACCACGAGCTGGTCAAAGCTATTTTGGCAGGCAACATGTTCGACTGGGGTGCCAAAGAGGCTGCTGCTCTCATGTCACAAAATGGTTTTGGCTTGGACGAGGCTTCGTCAAGACTGCAAAGTAAGCCGAGTTATAACATGAAAATATTAGTCCAAAAAATAAAAAAACAAACATGATTTTTACATAAATGTGAAAATTTTGGCTTTTTCAAATCTTAGATCAGTTGATTAAAAAAATGAATGGTAATTTTGCAGAAAGACCATGGCTAGTGGATGGGATGGACTGCTGGCTTAGAAGACTGGATGGCCCTGCTCACAAATGTGCAGCAATTTTTGTGGACAACAGTGGCATCGACATTGTGCTCGGCATCATCCCCTTTGCTCGAGAGCTTCTGAAACGCGGCACCGATGTGATTCTCTGCGCCAACTCAGCTCCGGCTCTCAACGACGTGACGCACTCGGAGTTGCAGGAGCTACTTCGAAAAGTGAGCACCATGTGCCCCATCATCGAGAGCTCCCTTCGAGATTCAAGACTGGTGGCTATGGGCACAGCCCAGGCTGGACCATGCCTAGATTTAAGGTAAGAATATATTTTATAACAAAATTTTAATTGTGTGGTAGGAACTTCTAATTGTTTTTGCTGTGATCTCCTGAAATTTTGAATTTCAAGGATAGAAATGGATAGAAAATTCCATTTTTTCTTTTAATCGGTTTTTGGAATATATATTTTTTAAACATTGATAATAATATTTTGAATGAATTATTACTTTGCAGCATCAAAAATTTGCATTTCTTTAATTCCAGCCGTGTTTGTCGAAACTTGACCAACACTCTAGTACAAAAAGAGGTGGATTTGATAGTGTTGGAGGGCATGGGCCGCGCCCTTCACACCAACCTCACTGCCCGGTTCACTTGCGAGTGTCTGAAGGTGGCTGTGATCAAGAACAGATGGCTAGCCAATAGGCTAGGCGGTGAAATGTTTTCTGTCATCTGCCAATATGAATCGCACGGAGACAATTGAACTGTCAGCATACTTTTTTTAGTCAAATTGGATATTTCTGGTGAAATTTAAAAAAAAAAATTATTTCAAAGCGCTTCTGTGAGCGAAAGACGGATAATGTTTGGGCTTCTTTCAAGTTTATTAGATCATTAGACAGATTGTTGATAAATCAAAAGAAATTTTCTCAGGAAAGTTTTTTTTATAATATTTTTATTATTTTTTTACCTAATTATTTTTGATTAATATATTTTAAAATTTAGAGGCTTTAAAATACTTAAATTGACTTAAATAATTTCAGCTAGACTGTAAATTAAGGATTGAATGACTGTACAATTTTACTACACTAGACCATTATGTACGGCAATAAATTTTGCATTTATTGTACAAATATCTGACGCTTACCTATTATTAATTGTTCTTTTTGACACTACTATGATAATTCACACCCTGTTAAATTCTGCAATTTGGTCCAAGTGCCGAGCAAGTATTTCACTGCTCCACCCATTGCGGCGGAAACAATTTCAGGGCCAGGTAAAAGTAACCTTGAGACGGCGCGCTGCCTGAAGGTTGATTGACCTACTCTCTTTATTTCTCAGGTAGGCTGCTCTCCCTCGCAGGGAGTTAACGGTACCTTCAGAGAAACATGGCTGCCGTTGAGATGCACTGCTGACACACAAGATCCAAATTTAGCCACTTTTCGCACCCTGCAGGAAGTGGAGCACTGGCCGTGGATGATAAGGGAGAGCCGTAAGGAAAATGCGCCACCTCGACGGGCTGACGCGCCTCACCTTTGCCGCCAGTCTTTTATTTTTTGGTAAGTGTTAAGTTATTGCTCTAGTTTGCATTGCGGGAAATGTGTTTCCAGATTGTTGGCATATATAATATTTTATTATTTTAAATGTTATTTTTTTCTAAAGGGGTTCGAGCAGCTGAGGATGAGAAGGAATATAGAGGAAAGTACATAGGAAAACTCAACACCTATGATAACCAGGTAATGATTTATATTTGAAAAGTTATTTTTCTTCATAAAATATAAAATTGATTTTTAAATGGATTTTATTTTGAGATAAAATTTTATTTAAAAAAAATGTTTTCTTATTTCTTTATTTAAATTTTTGATTTTTTGCTTAGGTCTCAGGTGATGTGTATGCTGTAGACGAATACACTTTCCTACTTGCAAAATTCACCTACGATGGGACGGGATCAGATGCATTTTTCTGGTCAGGGGCAGCGTCCAGACCAGGCCCTGAAGGGTTTATCGTACCTGATGAGTACGGCACGTGAGTCACTTATGCCAATTACCTTAATTTATACTGAATCAAATTATTTTTATTTCAGCACAAATGTCTTAAACAAATACTACAATAAAGACATCACAGTCAATTTGCCCGATCGAAAGAAATTAACTGAGGTCAAGTGGTTGGCCGTCTATGACATCAGCGCCCAAAAAGCTTTTGGAGATGTCTACATTCCTGAGGAATTTGAACCACCGAGGACGCAAAGGATTTCAAGGCTCTCGAAAACTTCAAGAGGAGTCTCATCAGATTCAATTGAAATAGTTGACTCAAAAACCATTAGAATCAAAGGATTCAGCTACGATGGAAGTGGAAAAGGTAAAAATAATATAAATATTTGAAAAAGCTTTAATTCAATATATGTAATATGCAATTATTCCAAAATTCAGAGACATATTTTTGGGTCGGCGGTGGTCCCCAGCCTTCCACTAAGGGCAATAAAGTTCCTGATGACATGGGATAGTGAGTTTTCATCTTGATATTTATTGAAATTGTATTTATTTAAACTATTGAAGTTTGGATCGCCTGAGAAAATATTATGACGAGACTGTGATTCTGCAATTGCCTGGTGACCTGAACGTTTTCCAAATTGACTGGCTCAGTGTTTATGACTTGGAGACCAAACAGAGCTTTGGTTCCGTCATCATTCCCGACAATTTAAATGTGCCACCTTCTCTTGTAACTGTCATTGTAAGGCCAATATATTTTCAATTTAAATTGCCACTGATCATGAACACAATTTTAGCCTCACAAAAGCTCCCTTCCAAATTGCGCTCAGTTGCATAAAGACTTTCAGGTGAATTGGGAGGTCTTTGGCCCACAAATCACCATCGAATTGGTCGGACAAATTCGTAAGAAATTTTTGCAACTTATTCTCGAATCTCATATAATATGCATTTTTTATACTTGTAGCTGAGGACTACTACATGGCTTTTGGATTCAGTGGATCTACAGAAAAATCTCAAATGATTGGAGCCGACCTCGCTGTGGCTTACATCGACGGCGCCCGTGGATTAGCCATAGATTACAATATAACTGCAAAATCACCAGTTGGAAAGTCTAAACTACTTTGTTCAATTAATAAAAAAAAATTAATTTTAGTGCACAAAAGTGTTGGGTCGGTACAAAGGTGTGTGCAAGGACTTGGTAGTTGGAGGATTAGACGACATTCAATATCATACGTCCTCTCGCACTGATGGAATCACAGTCATCACGTACAGAAGGAGCCTCATTCCTGGTAATTTTTAATTTTAAAACTATCTTCTTGGCCTAAAATAAGTGACTTGCAGCTGATCACGGTGACCAGACTTTCCCTGGAGAGGACACGGGACCCATTTACGTAGTTTGGGCTCTTGGTCGTTTGGACGAGTCAAAAGAGCCGTCTTTCCACGATTTCTATCCCAAGGCTGACGTGAAGTTGGAGCTGGGTAGAAAAGACTCAAAGAAAGAGTGCTTCGACTTCACAAGAACCAATAATGAATTCTTGTAGGAGCATACAAATTTAAAAATTTCGAAATTTTTTTTAAATTTTTTTGCATAGACCTGCCTGGAACATTGACAGAATCTTTGACAGAACTCTCCGCACATTCCAAGCAACGATAGGACCCTCAGGTGGTAAGAGGGGCTACCAGGGTATCACCAGAAGAGCAACAACAGGACTGGCCTGGTACATGAATGGCTTCCTGATCCCCGAACTCACCATGAAGCGAGGGTTGACATACCTTTTTAAGGTGATAATTATTCATTCAAAATTTTAATTAGTGATAAATTTTTATTTCATCAGGTGAAAGGTGGCAACAATCCTCACAGTGCTGAGCATTATCACCCATTGATCATAACTGATGAACCTGCCGGTGGTTACGATCGGCTGAGTGACGATGCCCAGAAGGCCGTCCGTGTATTGGCAGGCGTTGAATTCTCAAGACGAGGACAACCAAGACCCACAGCAGCTGGCCCTCTCTGCTTGGCCCAACACTCGGACGCCAGAGATAGACGTTTGGATGACGATTTTACTGATTTCAAGAAATTCAACCGATCTTTAGTTTTCAAATGTGATGACGGTAGGAATTATTTTGCTTGAGTTTTATTGAAACGAACAACTCAAACTTGGTTTTAATCTGCAGGTGAGGCAGCGTCTTTGGAAGTGACTCCCAACACTTCATGGCCTGATGTTGTCTACTACAATAGCTTTACACACCCCAACATGGGTTGGAAGATTCACATCATAGACAGTTTTGCCAAATCTGGTGCTCGCACTGTAGCGCCTGCTATGACTTTTCTTTTAACTGTGACGTTTAATTATTTTTTATGAACAATAAATGCTTTTAATTTAAATTTTAAAAACTAATTAATTTTTTATTTTAAAATACATATGCCGTGAAATTAAAAAAAAAAAAAATTATAATGTCACTCTGTAATTGATTTTAATCTGCTTTGGGAGTTTATTGGAAAACAATTTCAAGTCTTAAATACATTTCTTCCGACTTCTTTATTTAGAAAATTAATCTCTGGATCACAATGAAAGGTTTTACAACTAGCATGGCTAATAAGTGTCATGCCGACGGACAAAATGCGCCACAGTGGTTGGCACGATGCCTACATAAGGGATTTTGTGGTTGACAACCACTGATGCTGCCAAGCATCGAAGGGACATGTGCTGCATGAGTGGTAGCGTGCATGCAGGGTTGGCCTTCAAGGTTGTGGCGGGTGTCTCGCCGAGGTTGTTCTGGTGGTCGATGTGAGCACCGTTGTCCAGCAGCAGTTTCACAAACTGATAAAAAATTATTTTAAAAATAATTAGCCACAGTCACAAGGTTAAATGAAATAATTACCTCTTGATTGTAATTAGTAGGTAACGCAACAAAATGAAGAGGGGTGCAATGTCTGTAGTTTCGAGATACAACGTTGGCGCCACACTCAATGAGCAATCTGGCCACGGAGGCACTGGGAAAAACGTATCCACTATCTTCGGCGAAATATGTGCTCTTGATGGTGTTGTTCTTGGTTGCAACCAAGTGCAAAAGAGAATCTCCGTGCGTCGACCGTGGGTCACATTTCACGGCCTCCCTCACTAACTCTCTAAAAATTTGAAAAGAAAATAAATTGAAGACTAAAATATAATTGATTTTGTCAAAACTTCATACCGCGTAGCAGATTTGTCGTTGTCAGTCTCAGAGATAGCAATTAAAAGGTGGATCAGGTGCGTCATGCACTTGAGAATTCTATCGAAAGACTCCTGCTGCCTTTTGTGTACAGGTTCAACTGCCAGAAGTTGCTTTGAAGTGTTGAGTTCCTTGACTATCACCAGAGTTGTGTTAAACACATCGCTAAATCTGAAAAAGAGCAAATTTGTTAAGTAAAAATTTCCGAGCTTATGTTCAAATCCTCACTTAAGTTGCTCATTGAACTGGGGTGCCTGTTGGGCCCACGGTTGGTTCTGGTTTCCAGCCCTCCGTTCGTGGAGGTCGAGATAGAGCCTGACGAGCGCCTGCGCCGTGAAGCATGTGTCGTTAAAGAGAATCGAGTCCTTGGCCACTCGAACTTCGAGTGCGTATCTCCACAGGTCGATGCAGCGCTGGTACTGAAGGGCGTCTGCATAGGCAGCGCCGCGGTACATCAGCCGGAAAAGCATGTCTTTGTGATACACACCAAGGATCCTTTCACAAACCTAAAACGAAATTTTAAAAAGATAAGTGTCAATTTCCTTAATGACCTCAAAATTCTTTTAAATCTCTGATTTATTTTCACCCAAAAAATTACAATTAATAAATTTTGATTAACCCACCAGCAGGGACTGGATCCTCATTTCGTCGACATCAAGCGAAATGCTGCGCAAATCCTCCTCAGTCTCGAACTCTGTGGTGTAGTTATATGCAGCCCTGGACGAAGCCAGCTGCTGACAATGCGGGTTGGCCCTGTTTTTTGGGTAAAGGTTGTACGTGTTCCTGAGGTCGGTGGCTCTTTCCCAGTAATAGAGCGCCATCTGCGTGTCGTTGTGCTCGTCCAAATAAGTCGAACCCATCAACTCGAGCGCGTCGGCGATTCTCTCAAAGGGGTAGTTGTAGCTTTCGACGAGCAGGTCAAAAATCAGGGTGGCACCCTTCAGACACGCCGTTTGGAGGGCGTCGTCGTTGTACCTGCTGCGATAAAAAGGGTTTGCTCCGTAGGCCAGGAGGAGTTTTGTCGTCTCAAGGCGGTGCTCCTGGATGGCATAGTGAAGGGCAGTTTTGTGTTGGATATCCCTCGTGTTGACCTGAAATAATTTATTTCTTTAATAATAAATTTTATTCAATAATAAAAATAATGATAATAAAATAATTAAATGAACAAATTTTTATATGTCATTGCAAATTTCATAAAATTGTACTTAGTTTATTTAATGTCGAAGGTGAGCTCTGCATGATTAATTTCGTTGTCACTTTGTAATGAATTTCAACTAGAGCTCGGTCTAAAAAGAAGACCTCTGCTGTGCTAGCAACTCTCTAATGTCCTAACATTCTTTGCTCGGCTTGGTTCGCATTATTAGGCAGCCCGTAATAATTATTATCGTTGCATCGCCCGACGTGTTTAGCAAGCTGTGGCCTTCGTCCACCGTGCGGCTGCTTCGACTAAACAATCACGAGAGAAGCACTCGATTTGGCGATCCAAGTCGCAATATTGTCCAATCGAAAGCAAACCTTCGGCTCACTGAAGCGTGAAAATTCTCAATTTAAAGCAGTGAATAAAATATTAATTTGCTTAAATTTTAATGAGAAGAAGTAAATAATTATTACTAGTATTGAAATTAAAAATTATAACGTAATTTTGATTGAAAATGGCACATAAAAAAACTAATAAAATAATGTGAGCCACAATTATTCATTCATATTTTTTTTTTTTTTAATTTTAAAAATGGGGATTTTGTAACAATTTTATTTTGTCACAAATGATGAAAAATTTCACTGTCGTAAAATAAAATGTTAAAATCAATTTTTAGGAAATTAAATCAAAAATTTCTTTAAGAAATCCCAGCGTAAAAGTGTAAATATTTTACTGGCATCAAACAGTATCATCTTTCGACAAAATGACTCACAATAAAAACGTGATTTTCTTGTCATTGCCTATCAAATAATGAAAAAAAATCTTACAAAGCCAATAAACTGAGTGACCTGTGACCTTATCCTTATTTTTTTTATCATGGTTTCTTTTCATCATGTGGTTAAAAAAATATGGATTATTATTTTGATTACTGTGCCTTATTTGGTTTTTTAAATTTATTTCGAAGTTTAGACCAAAAATTGCACTTTAATTAGGTTAAACTAAAAATGAAAGAATAGCAAAATATCTTTGAATCAAAATATTACAACATTTTAGTTTTAAGTTCACTTAAGTTTTGCTATGATTTTTTTCAGTCTTTAAAGGTGTAATTTTCACTTAAATAAAAGCCATTTATAAAACGCACCTCTGCACCGTTCTCGAGGAGGAGTTTGCAGAGATGCACGGACTGGACGGAGTTGATGAGGCAGGTGCCGCCGTTGTAGTTGGCGCGGTGGATGTCGGCGCCGTTCTCGACCAGCAGCTGGACGACGTCAACGTGCGTCATGAAGCAGGCGCTGCGGACGGGCGTCGAGCCAGAGTCAGACACGGCGTTGACGTCCGCTTTGTGCTCCAACAGGCACTTGATGACCTCGAGGCGGCCCGACACGGCCGCGCACCAAAGGGGTGTCACGCAGTGCACCGACCGGTCGTCCGGCACCTCGAACAGGCCGCGCTGCTCCACGTCCGCGTCACACACCGTCAGCAAATAATCGACCATCTCCGCGTGGCCGCGCTTGCACGCCACGAACAGCGGCGCGCATCCGTGCTGCGTCCGACTCACGATCTCCTGAGAACAAAAACAACAAAAAATTAATTAACAAAATCTGAAAACTCTTATATCATAAAGTAATAAAAATTAATATGTAAGTTATTCTAAAATAAAACGAAAAGATATTGTGATGAAAATTAAAATTTATAATAAAGAAACTCTAAATTGAAAAATTGAAAATTCTGGCTCACCTCTTGAATCTGTTAATTTAGTATGTTTTTAATATTTATTTTAAATTAAATTTATTTATATTTTAAAGATTAAAACTATCAGAATTTTGAAAAAAAATCTTTTTCCAGAGCCAGGGTGAAAGGAGTGTAGGATGGATTTTTATTGTTGGAAATTTCAATGATTAGGGCTGCGCTGGAATTTGCCTGGTTCTGATGGAAACTGTTAACATCAGCAGCGTAGACAAAATTAAAATAGAATGCTTGCAATTTCTTCTTCTTTCATAATGATCAATTGAAGTTAAATTTTACGAAGCAAAAAAAAAAAAAAGATTTATAAAAATTTATTAATTTTATTATAAGAACATTTGCAATTGATTGCAATTCAGTCAGAACTTCCTGCATCTCCTTGGACTTGATCAAGATTTTATCTTTATTTCTCTATCTCTTTCTAGTCATATTTGCAAGTACGAGTATATTTTTTGCATAAACAAGTGACTCTCGAGGTTGCACTCGGCGATCGATTAACAAGTCATCAGAGCGACAACTGTGAATCAGCGTTGCATAAAGAAAGAGCTGCTGAAATTATGTCAAGCAGCTGACACACGACAAACGAAATCGGCCAACTTTCCGGCTCGGCTCTCGTTACAAAAGCGGCGGCGGCGCTATTAGATAACAACAGGCAAAGCAAACGCGACAAGCACGCTAGGTTGCAAAATTTTCGGGATGTTTAGAAAGTTTGATAAAAATGGTCCAAATCATTGGGAAATTCTGCTATCTCTCCTGATAACGGTAAATATTTTTTTTACAAAAAAATCAATGTTTTATATAAAATAAAATTGTAAAAAATTTTGCAACAATTCTTTCCACTGTTTGCATCTTGTTGAATTTGCTTATTGTTAACCTTGGAGGATATCTTTGCACAAATGACAAAGGTTGAAATAAATTGCCAGTTCATATCGCAATTTAAACACTGTTCTGATGCAAGTCAAGTAATTAATTAAATTTGCGTGTTATGCAAGTGCCACGATAAAATTGAAATTTATAAAAAGAGAAATTAAAAATTATCAAGAAAGCGTTTTACGTAATTGTTGAACTTTAATCTGCTATCAGCTGCCCAGCGCCGGGTCAATGTCCCCTTTCCACGTTTGGTTCAAAAGGAAGTTTGATTGTTTCCTAATATCTATTAAACTTTCTTTCGCTTTCTTTGATATTTATTTCATTTATCAACAAATTTCCAACCTCATATCAAAGTTTTGCCTACAGTCTGGATTTGAAATATACACGACTAAGAAATATAATACTTTGCAGTTTTCACGTGAATCATGTGATCAATATTTAATTGGTTCAAAATGAATTTAAATTACTTTCTTATAACATGCTTGTTCTTGAAGAATAATAAAATTAATAGATAGCGTTTTTCGCGTTTTTTTAACAAGCAAAACCAGTTTTGATATTTCATAAAAAAAAAATAATGATAAAAATTCAAGTAGGCAAATTTGAATATTTTAAATTTCATTTCAAATTTACAAAATTAAAACAATTTTGACTGTTTTTCTTACAAAAATGTTCACAATTTTTATGTAAAAACATCTCTTAAATTTTGAATATTGAAAAAACTTTTTTTCGTTTAAAAAAAATACAAATTTTTGTTCATTTCCAAGAAAAGACTCTTCTGTATAGTAAAACTAAATAGCAATATATAAGATTGATATTGAACTAATTTTATGAATACAAATTTTTAATTATTTACAATTTTTTTAATAAGTATGAGAAAAAAACTCGTGCTTTTCAAGATATTTGAATTAACAAAAATTAAATGAAACAAAATTTAAACATGGATTTAAAAATTATAAACTGTCAAAACACAATTTTAACTTCGAAAATCAAACACCTATCTTACGAAATTAATTTTGCAGGCTATAATTTAAAAAAAAAAACGGTTTAAGGGTTGAAATCATTACCAAAAAAGTATAATTATTAATGTGTATGATAGTTAAAATTTGTTGTCGCACGTGATTTTTCATTCCAAGTAAAATTTGAGCTCTATCAAATATTTCGTGAACCAAATTCCGACACTTGGAGAGAAAATTTGGTTGAAAATAGAATCGAAAAATGCCAAAATTTTAGTTTTGAACAAATATTTCTTCAAATTGATGAAATTTTAATTTTTTTGTAAAAAGCAGTAAAAAAAATTATAATGGAAATAATTATAGATTTTCTTTTCATTTATCATAAAATTTTTTTGCCCATCTCAATTTAATTTATTAATTTTTTTTTTTAATTTTTTTTGGGTTTGCGAGTCAGGAAGTGAACGGTGAGGCGCGAGGCAAAGGTCTCGGCCGCCGCCTGTGGCTCTCAGGGTCAGTTACCTTTCGATAGGCGCGCGGAAATCGCTCGAGCCTGGTCCTGATGGAGAGGCTGAGTCTGGAGCCGGGCGCGTTGTGTCGGCATTCGGCGTGCAGATCGGCGAACACGCTCTCCATCTGCGCCGTCAGGTCCACCTTGCTGGCGATCCACATTTTCAGTTTGCCCGGCGACTGTTTGCAGCTGAACAGTTTGTTGAGCGACGAGCAACGCTTCATCAAAACAATGATTTAAGCGATCGGCTCCTCGAATTTCTCTCACACTTTCCGCAAGCACGAACTGAAATCTCCGTTTGCACCTGGTGCAGGTGGCAAAAGGTCATCGGGGGCGGATCCGGGGGCGAAAACCACCTTCGGCGGCAATAATGGCACCTGACTTGGTCTGATTTCGCTCCTCCGGACACCTGCCGACTGTTCAGACGTCCATGTTGGAATGCCGTCGCGATTTTGCTCGGCGAACCGAGGCTCGCGCTGGCGGTGGTGCTGCCAACCTAACAGAACTTTAAAAACATTCGTACCTTCTCTATAAAAGGTAAAATTAAAGATATATGTCAACATAAATTTTATTTTGAATATATTATTAAAAATAAAAATAGTTTTAATCAATTTCAGAGGGAATTGTGTTCATTTTAACAGTCAAACAATTTAGAGATGTTTTTGCACTGTTGGTAACTTTGCAACTTTAGTGCGAAGACCGCGAATGGCCTTCGGTGAAAAGTGCGATATATTATTTCCCCGGAAATACGCAAAAGTCAATTGCAAATTTTTATGAGGCTTTTCAGGGAATTTTCCAGAGAAATTATAATTTTATACAAACTAAAAATCCCATGGTGGTGATGGATAATTTTAATGCTAATGAAATCAATATGAAATTGGATAAAAAAATTGTAATGTTTGTATGAAAAACTCCATTCCTTATTATTCGTCAATATTATTTTGTATTCACAATTTCTTTGAATCTGGGCTTTTCATATAAATTTTATTTCACTTTCGAATGAAAAGAGTTGATATTATTTCTCACTATTTGATTATTTTCTAATACAAACGCATTTAATTCCTGGTTGATATAAATCCAATTTAGTGGCCGACCAAAGCATTATTTCATGAGTTTCGTGGCAAAAGAAGAGAGATGAGTGAAAGTAAAGTTAATTCACCTGTGGGCCGAGTAGAAACCAATTTCTCATTAAAGTCTTGATTGCACTGCTGCACAAGGCACGCTCGTCTCCGCGGGCAAATGAAGGCAAAAATAGCCGTGGCTAATTTTATAACATGAAGTGGTAATCGCTGTCGTGAAAATGCAACGAGCCAAAACAGTTTTATTATAAGAAAAGGGAATCATGGTTTCTCACTGAATGTTGACTTTAAATAGAAAAATTTATAATTATAATTCAAGAGGTGTCAAATTTCTAAGAATTCTAAAGTAAAAATGTCATTGAGGTAAAAATAAAATTGATCCTAAAGTTAAGAGAGGATCACAAAATTTTTAAATAAAATTTACTCCTAAAAAACAATTAATCTCTGGCTTATTTTGTTAAATATATAAAAAATAAATTATATCAGAAATAAAAAAGAAAAATAAGTTATGAAAATAAAAAATATGTATATAAAGTGGCTTATTTTAATTTTCAAACTGTGAAATCTTTCTGGATTCTTTTTTTATGTTCTTGTTTTTTCCCTCGCATCGGTTGACCTTTGTTTGAATGTTTGGGCTCTTTTTGGAGGCAGAGCGCGAAGTAGGAAATGGGTTGATGGGGCGGACTCGCGGATTTTCGGCCAAGATGAACTACCAAATATGGTCGAAATTGCGACAGCGCTTGAATGTGAGGCTGAAAGTCTCAAATATTGCGGCCTTGATCATCTCTCTTCTCTCCGAACGAGAGAGCCTAGCAGTTTTTATTTACAGCCTGCGCGCCTTCCTTCCGCGTGTAATGCAGATTGACCTTGTCAGGCAACACACTACTTGTTTTCAGCATTTAAAGTCGCCTCACACACAGCTGCACAAGGCGGAAAAGAAATAAAAGCGACGATCGCGTCATTTTTCATTAGCGCCTTTGGAATATCACGCCATTAATTCAACCCAATTTATTAAGCCCATTGTAAGTTTTGTTCGCTCTATGAGTAAAAAATTAATCATGTTCTTCAATTGAAAATTTTGATTATTATTAACCGTTTGGAATTATCTGCAAGGTTCCTTAAAACAAACATTACACATATTTTTATTATATTTATGAAGTAATTCCTGGGTTATATCTTTATAACTTTTCTAAACTTGTCCTTGCACTATCAATTAATTTTTTAATCTTATTAATCCTAATGACCTCTACGTCCAAATTTTTTTTTATAAATACAATTTTAAAGCGCACTTTTTCCTCACAAGATTGATAGTAAAATTGGCTTTTAATAAATGGGTTAACTGAGTTGACTGTTTTGAAAAAAAAGTAGTTTCATAAAGGTTTAAAAAATGATTGAATACTTTATTTTATTTTTTATAGGAAGTTCAGAGGAAGTCTGTGATCACGAAACGCATGCAAAATGTCTTATTTTTGCGTCATCATCATAAACTTCATTTTATTTTAAAGATTTAAGTTTTTATACCATAAACAATTAATTAGTTGGCGCCTTATGTGTCACTTTGAAATAAATAATAATAATAAAAAAAAATACCCCAATAATTATATGATTCGAGCTAGCCTCCCGCTAGCTCAAAAAGGGGAAAAAGGGGCAAAAGCTGTCAAGACACTTTTGCGTTGGCCCGACAAAAAATAACAATAAAACACTGATTCGCTCATTTTTGTATACAAAAAAAGTTGGGTTTTGTCCACTTTCTATTCCTCTTAAGACTAAAAATATAATTAATTTCTAGTGAGAGTGAAAACGTATAAATGACTAATAATGACAAATTTTATAACGCTAATTTATTCATATAATTAACCTTTGGGAATCGTATTAATTGTGGGAGTTGGAAGCAGAGGTGCTTGCACTTTTCAAGAAAAATAAGACAAAAGATGAGAGTTCGTTGGTTTTTCGTACGGCGAATAGAGTGAGAAAGGAAGATTATACGGGAAAAGCGGTCGCTTCTCTTCGTCGCGCGAAATTGCTCTCGTCGCCCGTTTGTTTTTTTTCTCAGCACGCAACTCGCGGCTTGGAGCTGAAGGAGTTGCGATTGTGCCGTTATAATAATGAGAGAGACACATTTATAGAAACGCATTGTCCGCGCTCAGCGTCACCGCGCATCTCAATTGCAGCACAATTACCTTTGCGATCAGAGCTAGGAAAGGAACAAAGAGAGACGAGGCACTTTCCGCATTTTTATATTGCATCCTGATTATTTTCTTTTGCCGCATGAGTGATGCGCGATCTTGACAAAGAAGCAATCCTTTTTTGGATTCTCTGATCTTCCGGTATTAAAAAAGTATTGATTGAAGATATTTTATTTCCAGTTGTAAAAATTGTAAACTTTTTCAAAATATCCATCGTTTTTTATATTTGATTTTTAGTTTACATTGGAGAAGGAGATATTTATACATAAATAAAAAGATATTTAATACATATTTCAATTGGAATATATTAAGATCGTTTTTCTAATTTTTAAGGATTGAAGAATTTTAAATCAAAATATAAGATAAAAATAACTTCAAGAAAGATTTTTTAATCTGATGTGATACTGATAAATAATAAAGGAGCTTGGTGAATTTCTCGATAGACACTGCACTTTATATTTGTGATGAAAAACTTTCTTTCTCCATTTGTCAGTTTACAGGGAGTTCGCCTGAAAATACTGTTTATCTTTCGACTGCAGGCAGCTTCAGCGCACCGGAACTAACGGTAGGCCGTCAAGCGGAGATTTGAAGAGAAAGCCTTTCGGCGCTAATTGCCTTTGCAAACTGCCTGCATGCTCTTCGGCAATTTGGCCTGGTACCGCAGAAAGTGAAAAAAATCTCGACTGGCTTATACAATAATAGCCAGTGTTCTCGCTTTCGGAATTATCGAGAGGCGAAAATATGAGTCAGAAAAAAATTACGAAATCCTTCGCAACTTAAAAATACACAAAAATTGTACTGATGAAAAAATTTTCGCTGCAAACAAAAATTCCATCAACTTTTTTTCCACTTTGCTGTTTCTTAAAGTATGAATTAATTGCGATGAATACAATAGAAAACACCAGTAATTGTTGGAAGTTGTTGCGTGCCCGCGCCACTTGTTAGCCTTCTCGTCTCGTCTGCAAAGTGAGTTTTCAACACCTGAAATGCGTGTTTTACGTAGTGAACCGCACATTGTTAATGTTCGTATTTACGAAACTAGCCTTTGCGGTTGTGTCAAGTACTGGGGCTCTTTCCACTTGACGGCTTCCCTTTTCTAACCTCCAAAGATTAAATTTCTACCGGCAAAGAGTAAAAAAATCTATGTGGTTTCACAGAATTTTAAATAGTAACAATCAACAAACACCAAAATAGGCAATCCGGATTTAATACTAAATTTTTATTTCAAGACATGAACTTTTGAAAATTAAGCTTTAACCCATCAAAATAACATAATACTTTTTAAAATTGTTGGGTAAATTTTATACAGATGTAAAATTTAGTTACGACAAATTACTAGAATTGAGTAAATTTATTTTACAAATAAAATTTTAAATCGGCTTTTTAATTTGAACTTTTTTGTGAACTTCCAAAATTTAACTAAAACAAATTTTGAATTATATAAACCTCCAAAATATAAATTTGAAATGAGTTGATTATTATAATATTAATATCTTTTTAAATTTCGAGGTCTTTTCAACGTAGAGCAAACTGAACCGACGTATTGTGGCTATAAATAAACTGCATTGCACTCCCAGAATAATTTCGCGCAAAACACCAGCATCAAAGTGCCGAGAGAGCACCGACATTGAGCGTCTCCTTGATGAGCCTTTGTTTTGCCGCAATATAATTAAAGGACGCGAGGCTTTGTTTATTGGCGCTTTGTGTATCAACAACTGGCAATAAAAACGGTTGACGCCAAATTCTCAAGTAAGAAATATATAGAGGCTGCATACTTGCTTTAGTTAAAAAAAATGATAGAATTGTGCCCGCGGAGACCGAGTTTTTTATGTACTGTCTTCACTTGACTCACCTTGAACCTGCGCCTAATTCGCTCTGATGCTAATCTTCACAATTTGCATAATTATCCTGATCTCTGTGCAAAAAAAAAACAATATAAGAGCAGCATATAATTTTCACACGCATGTTTATCGAGGGTGAATATCACGGCGCGTTCTTGAATAATTTCAAAGGGCATTAAGGATTTATTTCACGATTCTTCAGCAGAAAAAAGCAATGAAAATTTCGCATGAAAAAACTATTTATGATTTTTATCTTTATAAAAATAATCCTTTGTTTAGAGAAAAAAAAATGATATCAAAAAGATAATTAAACGATTTCATCTGGAAAATTTTAATTGAAGAAACTAGTTTTCTAGATAATAGGGCGGGATAATTCCTTTGGTAAACAGGAATAATATCACAAAGTTGCAAAATATACAACGTGGCTAGAAATAATCGCACGTTTCGCAGCGGGAGCGCCTCTCCAGCAGCGGCTGCACAAATTGCGTCGTTATTGAGAAATTCTACTTGCGATTATTAATATTAGTTTGTAGTCATCAAGGGAAGTTTAGCTGACACGAAAGAAAACCCTATTACACAAAGCGACTCATTTCAAAGTCAGCAGGATATAAAAATAAGCGCAGATTTTTTTATGACTGATTTAATTAGGAAATTTAATCTTGCAGGCAAGTGAAACGGATAGTTATTTCAAATTTATGAGGAAATAAACTTTTTTAAATAAGTATACTAGATCATTAAGTTGGTGAGACTCTAATTAGTTACAATTACTAATCTGTACTGGAAACAGACTTTTATTAAATAGACAGACAAAGTAAAGGAAGGTGTACACGGTCTATATATGGATTTCAGGTTTGTTTTTTAAAGATAAAACTTATCACGCAATAAGAATAAAATTATTCAATTATTCAATTTGCAATAGCCTAAAAAGACATTTATATGTTTAAATAAGAAGGAAGAATGAAGCATGGGCTTTGAAAGTTAAAACAAAAAATCTTAAAATATTTCATACAAATAAAAGATTCCTTGAATATATCTTTAAATTTTTGCTCGAGATTTTAATAAAACACTTCTAAAATGCCTGAATCAGCCTGAATCTTTTTAACATAAAATTAAAAACTATATTCCAGTCTACCTTGAATACTAAAGCTTTAAAAGGATGAACTTTTTCCATTTTGGCCTTTTAAAATGATAAAGTTTATATATGAGGAAGGAGGGAATTAATTTAATTATTCGTGCAGCGAGTTTATGACGCATCCCTCATAAACCGCAGTATTCATTTCATTAAAAATTTAAAGCATTTATTTTTTTTTGCAACCTTTGTTTTCTAATAATGAGTCACCTGAGAACATCACGGGAATAAATTTTTTGCAAGCTCTGCTCAAAAATAATTAAAGGGTCGTTTACACACATTTTTTGCACCTGGGCAGGAAATAAACTTTGTCGTCTGCTCTTCGAGAGGGGTAACTGAACTTGTAGTTCAAAATAGGAATGGAACAACTATTGTCCGCGTGGAGGCGGCAGTTAATAAATTCTTCCCTGCTCAAAGGTCAACAGGTGGAGTGTTTGAGATGACCAAAGATTGACGTGTGTCCGTGTGTGACAACTTGACGCAAGGAATAAAAAACGAGAACACAAGGAAGTGAAAAAAGCGGACGCCTAATTGAACAGGGAATATCTAGCTCGGTTGACTCATTAGCGTTTCCTGCCTGCTCGCTTATTCATTTTACTATTTTGTAAATAAAAACAACGGGGCTCACAATCAGTGGAGAACAGGATCTATCCTGTTTTCGCTATAAATACCGAAAAAAGATTTTCCTTAAAACTTAAAAAATCGAGAAATTTCATATTCAATTATGTTCGTTACTTTTTTTGCGACAAAGACAAATTAATGCATAAAATAAAATTGGAAATATTAATTAGAAAAAAAAATAATATATAGTATAAATGTCATCAAAATAGTTTTCCGTCAGTAAAAATTTTTGTATTGACCGAGAAGAATAAATAATAATAATAAAAAAAAAACTATTAAAGCTGATTTAGTATTTTCTTTTCAAAATAAAGTTTGCTTTACAATAGATAATCCTCTTTTAAATTTTTAAAACATAATAATTACCTACACAAATAATGGAAATTTGTATTGATAATGCAATATTTTGTTATAATTATGAATTATGATTCTGTTGGGAAAAAATGCTTTATGAGATTAAAAATAAAATTGAAAATTAATTTCAAATTTTTTAGACAGATCTCAGTAAATCATAAATTAAATACGTTTGTAGATTTTCCGTCTCAAAATTTGCAATGGAGAAGTTTAAAAAGCAAGGCACAAGTTCAAAAATACGCGCAAAGAGAATTTCCGTTTCATCTTCGCGCGCGCTATTCTTCGTTCATGGTCAAGGCCTTCGGTGCTCACAGACGGCTAATTGGACAAAGTTGATGAGGCCACCTTTCTTTAATGCCGGTTCCCAGCACTGTAACTTAAGTGGCAGCACCGGCCTTAAAAAAACGAACAGAATTAACTCTTTTATTGTCGTCAGGTGGCGTAGAGAATTGCGATTGGGGATTTTCTTTATTTTATCCTTTCAGACATACAAACTCAATTATTCATTTAAACTAATTGTAAATTCACATTATAGAAGATGAGAAATTAAATTGCTTTTCTTAGTATTAAAAAAATATTTATTCATATTATAATAATCGATAACAATAAATATTATTTTTTTTTAAATGATATAAAGTAAGATTTTTTTATTACCAACAATTTATAAGTTTCTTTTCTTTTATAGTTCTTTTCCTTTTCACATTATTAACAAAAATAATTTCAAACTATTTTCTTCATTTTAATCATTACTTCAATGAAAGAAGGAATGGTAATTTTTTCTCACTTATCATAAATAGTTACCTAAACTAAATTATTCCAAGATTTATTGTAATACATGGTGATTGTAGTGTATGAAATTAAAATAATACATTTTTTTTTAGTTTGCATTTGCACACAAGCAAACAACTTTCATACTTTTTAGTTTTTTGTTTAATTTTCTTTTTTTAAGAGAGAGTGTGAAATACAGAAATCAGGAATTTCTCATGAGATCTAGATGTTATATTTTGGCGTCCATTGCCCCTAGCAAGGCAACGCAAAGTCAGCTGCAGTTGCGAAATATTTACGACGCGCATTAAATTGTAAGATCTCAAGTTGGCTTTTGAAGTGCAGTTTACAATACTAGACTTTTCTACGTAGTCAATTACTAATCATGGGAAAAGAGCGCATCAAAATTGTTAAGTCATTTTATTTTGAAGCAAAAAACGTAACAAAACTACTAATTATTAAAATAATTTTACCAAAATTAATTTTACGTGAAAAATTAAGAAAATATTAGCGTCCTCTAGGCTTGATTTAAGAGGTTTAAAGACGTTTAAAGCTGATTTAAGACCAAAATTTAATTCATAAAAATTTTATATTAGAAATAATGACTTAAATGAGATTTAATAGTAAAAAGAGGAAGCATATTCATGATTTTACTTTTATTTTAATAAAATACTGTTCTAGCTAAGCAATAGTTTTATTGAGTTTTACTTTTATCAAAATATGCGCATTTATATTGTGCTTATGTTTTATTAAAATTTTAAAAAGAAAGTTCTAAAAAAAAATTATTCTGGCTTGAATGAGGGGTGTTAATTATGTTTCTTCAAAAATATACTGACTAGTTTTGAGATCGCGAAAACTGCAACTATGCCACAGTTCACATAAATTTTTGAAGTAAAGTAAATGCAGTGAAGAAAAGTTTATATTTGAAAAATTTTCTCTTCGTCGTTAGCTAACGAGAAATTCTTCCATTAGTGCAAGAGCCTTAATTAGTTTAGCACTTATTTGTTGACCTGCCCCAAAAACACGTAGAGAGATTTTCGCGAGAGAGGAGCAGCAAGTTACCGCACTTTCTTCTTTGAAAGATAAAAAAAAATAAAGAGTGACTTTGGCTCATCAAAAGAAAATCCTCAAGGGAGAATGAGTAAAAGTAAAAGCGTACATCAGCTGGAAATATTCGTTTTTTCTTGCTATAGCGAAAATACTAGAAATGGAGGATGTCACAAGACCGTGTGTTTGAAAAACATTAATTTTTTATCGCTTTCTCTTTCACTCACAATCAGCGGACCTTCGGGCAAAAGGAAATAAAATTCAACACACACTAACTTAACACTATCAAATTATTGGAACCCAGAGCTTTCCAATATATTAAAAAAAAAAAATGGATATTGCAATTTTTGAGCATTGAACCGTTAAAATATTTTGTAAAAAAGGTTTACTCGGCGTGCGTTTTTTATTATTTATAACCGCAAGTGAAAATTTGCCGGAATATTGACAATTTAATTTACATCTCATTTTTTACAGAGTTATGTAAAAGCAAATATTTAGACTAAAAATTGTGATTTATTTTTTATTAGAGTAATTATTTACTCTATGAAAGTATTTACTAATTTAATTAAATTAAAAATCTTCCTGTCTTCTTTACTTCAAAGCGTAAAATATTTGTTATAAAAATCTTATCGCAATATAGAGCTTGAAATTTTAAGTCACCTCTGACTTATTTGAAGTAATTTGCGGAAATTTGAGTTGTTTAGTTTTTGCTTTCAAACAGCATAGTTTCTTCTTTTGTAATTTTTAGTTAATTTGTGTCGATTCGCGTTGCCATTTATTCAGTTATGTGGACCGCCAATATTCTCTTATTCTTCCATGTCAAAAGTGAGCCAAGACTCCGCTTCGTGAATTTTCGGCGGTCGGACCATCTCTCATCTCGTCACAGGTGAAAGCACCTTACGTTTGAACTTTTTTCCCAAAACCCCCACTCTGTGCCCATTGGGACTAGATAATCCTTCTGCTTTCTTTCTTTAAGTCCATTCCGTCTCCGGACAGCATCCACATCAGATCTTTAAAACACAGGACGAACTAGCAAAGATAAGGTACACTTTGATTTTTATTTTTTTTTTCACTAGAGTTTAATTAAGGAAGCCCTAAAGAGGCTCATAAGTTTAATAATAGTCTTCCTATTTAATAGAAATAGTATTTCTTTTGATCTTCCGTTTTTTAACTTCATTTAATAATATTTTAAAAGCTAAAATAAAATAAATATAATTTATTAAATATTGGACTCCATATATTTTTTTTATTATTTATTTATTTATTTATTTATTTATTATATAAAAAGTATAAATTTTTCTTTTTTATATTTAAGATTAATTGGATTATTTTCGAAATGCAATTTAAAACATAAGTTTATAAGGTATAATGACAAAAATTATGTATATATAAATTTAATTTAAAAGAAATAGATTTAAGCTCTGATAACAGGTACAATTTGTGCAACACTACTCAAATCAAATATTTAATAAAAGACAACTTTTTTGTAGAATTTATACCTGGATAATTTAAATATTAGATAGAATTGAATACTTTATATTATTGCATTATTTTAAGATGCAAATAATTTAAATTTATTATTGATCGAAAGATATTATTGAATCAATTTTATTTGTTTTGTTTTCCAGAAGAAAATGCAGGTTAAGTACCGAGACTTGGAGGCCGATCTGGCCAAAAAGTTGGAGGCCATGTTCGGAGTCGCCAACGGCGGCATGATTGAGGTCAACCCTGGACAGGTGCTCATTCCACCCAAGTTCAAGGATGTGGCGCAGCGCATCGTCGACATGGAAGTGCACCCTGACGACGTCTGGCTCGTCTCGTACCCCCGCACAGGTAAGCAAATTCCAATTTCCATTTTCCATTACAATTTTTACGAACCAGAAAAATCAAAATCATCAATTTTAATAAGAAATAGTTTAAAAAAATTTAAATTGGAATCGAAATTACATAAATCAAACTGATTTTGGCCATTTTGATTTTTTCACGGTTGCTCCAACTGTATTTTAAATTGTGGGGTTCTTTATAAAGGTCTTGTCAGCCTTATTGCGAACAGTAAAAAGTTGTACCGAATTTTGCCTGGCGAAAAGTAGCAGATAAAGACGGGCGCCTCACGTTACTCATTATTTCTCGTTATATTGGACCAATGAGGAGAAAACGCGATCGCCGAAAAGAGGACACCGGATGAAATTCGAGTGCGAGAGAAAGATACATGAGACCCACCTTGTTGATTAGAGATTTTCGGAAGATGGACCGCAAGAGAAACCAGTTTTTTATGTACCGCGGCTGCCCTCTGTCCAACTTTCTCCCATATCATGGCTATATGGTGCCAATAACTTTTTTCGGCCGTTTATGCCTTGTCCCTTTTTTTTCGCGCGGAGAGGCTTTCTTTTATTTCACCGCTGGGTGCTTATTTAAATCACTATTTGTCTACGTCTTCCAAGATCTGAGATGCTCGAGAAAGTAAAGAAAGTGACTTGAACTAATAAGAAAATTCCATAATAATTTGTGGTTCTCTAATTTATACTCTAGCTTATTTATTATTTAGAGTTACAATTTTTTTATTCCCCTTTGTTAATTAAAATTATTTCACATAATTTTAAATTAATACAACATCAGAACTTAAATTAATTTATTTCAATAAGCTATGAAATCTATTATTACAAAATTTAAACCAATAATCTTTAATAATTTACATTTATTTTTAAACTGCCTTGTCTACAACTGGTGTTCAATATAGATAATATGAATTATAAAAAAAAAAAACTCCAATATTATTCTACTTCTAATATAGACTTTGAAAAATAAGATTCACTCAAATTTTTTTAACCTAGGGCATTTGGAACTCAAATTTGAACCTAAAAAAATCGTGAGTCGAAAACAGCAAAATGTATGTTTTTTTTTTTTAATTAGTTAAGATCAATGAGTTGAATGTAAATAATATTAATGATTCTTCTTACCTTATGCAGGAAGCACGTGGACCCAGGAGATGGTGTGGCTGCTGGGCAACGACCTCGACTTCCAGGGCGCCAAGATGCTGCAGCAGCTGCGCGCCCCCGTGCTGGAGCTGACCGCCCTTTTGGGCAACGACACCTCCGGAGTCATCAAGCTGATCGGCGAGACGGTGGACATCGTCGAGAGCATGCCCTCGCCCCGCTTCATCAAGACTCACCTGCCCCTGGAACTGCTGCCCAAGCAGCTGGACACGGTCAAGCCCAAGATCGTCTACGTCTGCCGCAACCCCAAGGACATGTGCGTGTCCTACTACCACTACTGCCGCCTCATGCACGACCTCCACGGTTCCTTCGAAGACTTCTGCGAGCTCTTCCTGCAGGAGAAGGTGCCCATGGGCCCCATTTGGAACCACATCATGGGCTTCTGGAAGCGCAGAAACGACCCCAACGTGCTCTTCCTCAAATACGAGGAGCTGAAGAAGGTATGGTGACAATTTATAAAAGATTTAGTTGCATAGTAAAGTTCCCAAAAAATATAAATATTCAGTTGGAATCATTGAAATCACATAAATAATTGAAGATCGTTTTTTTCTTCAGGAATTAAAAAAAAAAACGTAAAAGTAGATAAGTTTTCTTTAAAAAAAAATTTGTTTATTTTATCAATAAATTATTAATTTTTTTTTACTAATTTAGATTTAAATTGTTCAAATAACCTTATTTTTTGATGAAATTGACCTGATTCATAAAAATGCCATTCAATTTTTCAGGATTTGCGTAGCTGCGTTTTGCGTTGTGCCAAATTCCTGGACAAGACCCTGACTGAAAAAGAAGTTGAAGCCGTCCTTGACCATCTCAGTTTCGAGAGCATGAAGAACAACCCTGCCGTTAATCTGGAGCCGGTGCTCGAGTACCGCAAGACGGCCCTGATGAACCAGATGGCCGAGGACCAGATCACCTGCCTGCAGGCTCCATCTTTCATCCGAAAGGGCGTCAATGGCGACTGGGCCAACCACATGTCTCCAGAGATGGCTGCCAGATTTGACGAGTGGAATGAGAAGCACCTCGAAGGCACCGGTCTTTCCTTCTCAGCTTGAAATAAATAAGGAGGGAAAACTAATTTATTTCTTCCTTTCTCCGGGATAAATCAAAACTCACATTTTTGGGGTTTAGTAGGAAAAATGTTTACACCTAGAACTATTTTTTTTAAACTTTTTTCACATATTATTTTAAGTATCTGTAATACTCTTAAGGCTGCATTTACGTTAAAACTGATGTTCATTAAGGAATTAAAATAAACTACCAATTTAAGGCTACGACTCGTTCTTGTTTTCTTTTTATTAATCAATCAATTTCCTGTCAATAACAAAATAACGTTCATCGTTCATCATTAAGTCAGATATGGACTGCGTTGTCTCTTCTCTAAAACTCGACTGCTAGCAGTTGAAAGGAATTCAACACCCTGATGCCTGGGAAAACAACAGTGTGTTTGTTCCGCACAGGAAATGCACAATTTAAAAAAAATGCACCGCAAATAAACAATTAACATTATTCGGATAGAACCGTTCAAATAAGAACATTTTTAAAAATACAATATTTTTCTAACAGACAGCATTTATCAAAAGATCATTTACTGCCGAGTTTTAAAAGAACACAAATCACAAAAAACTGCACTACGATTCTTTTAAGACACCCACCATATTTACGCGCGATCTAATTTAAAAATATATTTATGTTATTTATTTGTTTATTTATCATACCTACTCAGTTTTAACGCCCAAGATGTGTTTTTTTTTTATTAGATGCTGATTAAAACAATCAAATGAACACTATACCCCCAAAGTAACTACGTAGCCAAGAGTAAATTAGTGAATTAATTTAAATGGTCGTCGACATCAACAAAAGGCAATAATACTTCACTTGATTACAGCTCACAATCTAAGATTTGACGTTGAGTTGACAACAGCACGCCACATTCCAAATAATTCACTCGCAAATGTTAGTATCTGGAAAGAAAAGGCACAGAATAAGGAGAAGAAATGGTTATAAAAATTAAATCTTAATTTACAATGTTTATGAGATTACTCTAAAAATCCTAATCTAGAAGCTCTATTGGAAATAGCGATTAAAATTCATCAACATCGTATTATTATGATTAAAATCAGAAATTTTCAAAACTTTTAAATTGTTAGCTGTAAATGTTTTTTATCTCTTAGGTAAAATAAGTATAAATATTTCTTCAATCTTTGTCCACTTTTAAAAGAATAAAAATAAATTTTTCCAGGTCCTTTTGTCACAGGAAATGAGTTTCGAAAAGCTGATGAAATGCAATCAATACTAAAAAATGCTGACCTGTAATAATTTGGCTTAAAGGGACCGGCTTTGTTGAGCCCCATGTATTTGGCCTGCTCGTCTGATAGTTCGGTGAGGTGAGCATCGAATGTTGGCAAATGCAGACTGGCTACGTATTCGTCTGCAAAAATAAAATAAAATTTGTTTTTTAAATTTTTACAAATCAAGGAAGATTAAAAAAAAAACTAACCCATTTTTTTGGGTAAGAGGTAGACGTCGGACTTGTATCGGCCGTGCGGGGCATTGAACAGCTCGATAAGGGCTAGGGCCTGAGTGGCTGCGGTGATAGAAACAACAAACGAGGGAAGGCTGGAGCAACTCATGTTTACGAGGCGACCTTCTGCCAACAGAATGATTCTCTTGCCGTCGGGCCAAATCACATGGTCTACCTGCGACCTCACCTTCTCCCAGGTCAGGTCAGGAGTTCGAAGACTATTCTGTGAAGCAAAGTTTATATTCGATTAATCTTTTAATCTAACTTCTGATCAAATGGGTTTGTTTGTGTTATTTGTTATTGGTGCCTTTTTTGAAAAACTGTTGAAAAAAAATTAATTAAATAATATATAATAATATAAATTATATTCTTTTCCCAAAAATTGCAATTCATTGTGCAGCACTAATTCAATTTAAGTATTGTTTAAAAACATTTTTTTTTTCTAAAATTTTTAATTAAAACTTACTACGTCGATTTCAGTGTTAGAATGGCCCATGTTGCAAACGATGCAGCCGTTCTTCATTTTGTCCATGTGTTCCCTGGTGACCACATTCTTATTACCCGTGGCCGTGATCACAATGTCCACGTTGCGGATCAACTCGTTCAGCTTCACCACCCGGAAACCGTCCATACTGTCGAAGTCACCCTTGTTAAGTGTCGGGTTTTATTTTGGAAATACTGAACAGCCGTACCAGCCTTGCAGGGCGCAAATGGGGTCAATTTCTGTGACGTAGACGACGCAGCCGAGCCCTTTGAGAGCTTGACAGCAACCCTTGCCAACCTCGCCATAGCCACAAACCACCACCTGCTTGCCTCCGAACATCACATCTGTTGACCTCTTTAGACTGCAAAATTAATTAGCTCTGGTTAGAAAAACAAAATAGAAAATACTAGGAACCACATATTTTGAACAAAAAAGGTAAAAGAAAGAAATTCATAAAATTTACTAACTCGTAAAATGAATTATTTTTCAAAAAATAAATAGAGATTAAATTAAGTTGTAAATTTCCTCACCTATCAATAATTGACTCACGACAGCTGTACAAATTGTCGAATTTTGTTTTGGTGACAGAGTCGTTGACGTTCATTGCTGGAACTGTCAGCTTGCCTGCTTTTGACAACTGGTATAGGCGGTGCACTCCTGTTACGCTCTCCTCCACAATTCCTGCAAAGACACCATTCAAGCCATCTCAAGGAACACAATCACAATAATAATAATGCTCTCTTCTTTAGAATTCGTTATAATGAAATTTCCGAGACTTTGAATAATTTGGAATTTCAACTGTACCTTTGATCAGTTTGAACATGGCCGGATACTTCTTGAGCATGAGGTGCGTGGCGTCGCCGCCGTCGTCGAGGATCATGTTGGGCTGCCAGTTCTCCGAGTTGACGCACTTGTCGATGCACCACCAGAAGTCCTCCTCGGACTCGCCTCTCCACGCGAAAATGGAGAAGCCGGCCTCGGCGAGGGCGGCGGCCACCTCGTTTTGCGTCGAGTAGATGTTGCACGCGGCCCATCGCACCTGGGCGCCCAGTTCGGCCAGCGTCTCGATCAGCACGGCCGTCTGCGCGTTGATGTGCGTGCAGCCCACCACCTTGGCACCCTTCAAAGGCTTGTCGTCGCCCGCACGTTTCCGCAACGCCATGATCCCAGGCATTTCTGCGAAGATTTTGTTACAAATTGAGTTTATTGACATTTCAAAACTGACAATCTCTGCCCAAATACTTGTCCAGAAAAAAAATCAAAATTAAAATTTAAAAAAAAAACTGAATAATTTTTTTCTACTTGTTTTTTTTTTTTTTTTTTTTTTTATAAAATGTTTTATACTTCTTCCTGAAAACCACTGAAAGAGCTGTTTACTTAGAGTTGAAAAGAAACTAATAATAATAATTAAATCTTACAGAAAGCAAAAAAGAAACAATTTTGAATTATGGAAATTAAAATAATCTTACTCATTGACCAAAGCCAAATATTGAGATTTTTTTTTTAATTTAGTGGTGAATTTTTTCATTTATTTTGAAATTTTTTGCCCAATCTTTTTTGATTCATTATTAATTCCAGTTAATTTTAAGCTAGACAAAATTAATTTAAAATTACTGTTAATCTATAATTGTAAATAATTAAAATTAACTTGAGTAAAAAATATTGCTGGATTAAATTACAAATACAAAACCAACGTTTCAAGTTGATAAATAACCGCAATAATAATTCAATATTGCTATTAATAGTTCAGCATAAATAATACAAATCAGTGAAACGGATCAATTATGATTGACATTTACGAGGCCAAGATCAAATTTCCTCAGTTCAATTAGCTGCGTTTTTGCAACTTGAAATGCGATCCAATATTGGCTAATTAATTTGTTGACATCGCCGTCTCTTTCCGCAGCACCTATTGATGCTGTGATTGGATTGCAGAAAACTTACAAGTGGCTAAAGCAAAAAGCAACCGAGCGCGAAGTTGACGAGAAAATGAAGAGATGAAATAATTCTCAAGCTAACGAAGCTCAAAGCTCGTTTTAATTAAAACCGCCTTTGAGGAGAAAGTTAGTTGAATTTTCAAAAACTTACCCTGCTCGGCAATTTCGATTTCCCTCCTTCCGAAAAGGTGTTGGTCGATATTGCGAACACAGAAGTCTGTGAGGCCCTTGGAAGTCTTTTGCGATTTATCACGAGGAGAGACGTCGTCTTCATCTGAGCTGCTGCCGGTGTAGGAAGCTGGAAATGCGGAAAACTCGTGTTAGCGACAGGGAAAGAAAAAAAAATCAAATTTTCTGCTCGAAAGATTAAAGAAAGAGAGGGAAAAGTTTGGCTTCAACGGCGCTCGAGATTTTATATTAAATATTGGATTTTTTTCTCAGAAATTTTTGATTAAAAATTACAGTGTTTACAAAAGTCACGCTTATAATTTTATATTTTGCATATTTTTAATTTTAAACTGAAGAAAAAAAGTGGCATGTACACGTGTTGGAGCAGACAGATGCCAGGGAGGATCGCCTCGAGTCCTGCTGGGTGCCCTGTTTCTTGAGTTCGAGGTACCTGGTGGCCGGCAGACTGAACCTGCGCCGGTTATTGCGGTCCTTGAAGCCACCCATGCCGTCGCGCAGCTTTTCTGGGATCTGCGAAATGAAAAACCACTCAACGCGCGCCCATAGCCACCCACCGCGCTTGCAAATCGATGGCCCACTTTCGAACACCCGCCCGTCCTTCGCCCACCCTCCCCGGGGAGAGTAAAAAGTGCATTCGACTGCATTTTCTCACTTGCCAAATGCATCCTCGTTCAAATTATTTCGTCAAGTTGGCTCATAAATATTATGAAACTTGAGAGGAAAGTTGCAAAAATGGTGAATTTTTGTCAATTCACCGGCATAATAGATAAAATTATAGACTGTAAAATAACTGAATTTATCTTAAAATGATTCAAAATTGCCAAAATTGCAATAAATATTTTTTTGTGCAATTCAATCAAAATTTTAAATTGTTTTGTAAAATTTTGATTTTGAAAAAAAAAAATAACTTTTGAATTTAGCTTCTAAAAGATGAATTATTTAATCAAAAATTAAAAATATACTTAAGCTCAATAATTTCCCTGACGAATTGAGTGTTAATTTTGATTTTCCTTTTCAGGGGTTTGAGAGTTGATTTTTGTTTCATAGCTCATTTCTAGGCTGATAATGAGATATAGAGAAGGATATTGTTTTACTCTATAAAAAAAAAAAACGATATAGATGAAAAGCATATTTTTAATTGTGCACACGAATCACAAAAATTATCAAAAAATAACAAAATTTATACAATAATACCAATAATTATAATAATTTTTTCATATCTTGATTGATTTCTTTTTATATTTTAATTTAATCCCAATTTGTATGTTTATAAATATTGAAAATAAATGGTTAACCTTTTTTGAAGTTGTTTATGGAATTTTGCAATTTTTTAATCAAAATTATAATTTGACAAAATCCACAATAAGAAATAGTTGGAAAAAATATTACCAATTCTTTAGGTTACAAAAATAAGATTTAATTTATTTAATATAGTTATCAATGCTCCAGTTTCTAAATCCACACTTAAGTAATTTTTTTTTTATATAAATAAATAAATTTGTTTTCCGTTTTCTAAAAATAAATGTTTGTTTATTAGTGACACTCTACTTATTTACTGTGTCAGAGTCGCTAATTGCTCAGTGGTGTATAATTTGCATGACTAACACACACGATACTGTATTCGACCCTGTTTGTTCGCACTTGCGATTGCTCTATCTAATCGAGACAAGTGGCGTAATTAACACCCAGCGGCGAAAAAAACGAATATAGAGCCGACGTGAATTTGCATTTGACGCCCCGTTCAAAACAAATAATGTTAACACATCGAGGAAGTCCCCTGATGATAAAATAATTATAGCAAGGCCGCTCCATTAAAATTTAATGAGCTGAATTCACAGACAGGTTGCAAAGAGCCTGCTTCATCAAAGTTGCAGCGATTCGTTTCAAGTGGAAAAGTTTCGAGCGTAAATAAGGGGTAGAAAAATAAGCCGCGGTCTAGTTTGAAGCAGAGAGAAATTTCTGCTTTTGAGAGAGCGTTAAGTCCACAAGATAAAGGACTGCTCCTTGGAGAGCAACACAAAAGTTTTGGGCCGAATGCGAGGATAGATCCGCAGTGCTAATTCCACTTGCTGAAGAGAAAACGGGAGGGTGCGCTGGTCTTTTGCGCACGGAAGAATGAAATTGTTATGCCGGTAGACGCCGCTCCGTTTAATAAAACATACATGCTCGATGAAAGGTGTAACAAATTGGCAGAGCCCTGCAACTGCGGAAATTGAAATATTAAACACCCCAAAAACTTGTAGAGAGAGGGAAACAAAAATTGGCATAAAGCCAAGTTACGTAAGAATTCGGAAATTTGGGAAGATTTTAACTTAATTAAAACATAAATTCAACAAAGATCCAATAACTGGAGAAATGAAGAGGTCGAGCTTTCCCTCGTTGCAAATTTTTTTTAATGGCTCTTGAATTAAAAACAATTTTCGCAACGAGGAAAAGCCCGATCTCCATGATCATCTCCTTGAGTGTCAATTTCTTCAAACATAATTAATAACTATTTTTTATTTTCTTGCAAAAAAGATTATGGAAGTTTCTTTTATATCAATTATTAATTAAATTAAAAATTAATAAATTTTTATTTTTTAATATTTGTGCTATAAAATAATCAAACCTTTACTTGGGATAATGCAAAATAAAAAAATTAATGACAGAAATTAGATCTTTTTTAATTTTCACTTCTTAAAGTTCGCCTGAAATAAGGAATAATTGAAATAAGGAAGCGAAAAAAAAAATAATAATGATTAAAATAAAGATTTGTGTTAAGTAGGTTGCATATTTAGAAAAATTTAAAATCTTGCATTAAACCAATTAATCGACTTCAAGAGTTACAATTTTTTTCTAATATATTGGATATAAAATAGTCTTCAACTCATGAAACATAGCTGTATTACATAGCAGGATCTTTTACACTACCTGTAAAAAAACAAATGCATTCTAACCAGTACAATCTTTTCATCAGCTTTTATTTTAGTAAATATTTAATTTACAAACGGCTTATATAAAAAAAACCGTTTCCATAGTTTCGTGCCAAAATAAATCAACCCTTTTTTAATTTTTACCCGCCGAGCTCTTGACGGAATCACCCTATTTATCTCACCATCGAATTGATCGCATTCGACGCCGCGGAATATTGAAATTGATAGTTTCCGCCCCGTTTCGTGTCCGCCCATGCATCAGTCATTTTGACGCAGCCATCTGATCGATTTCCCTTGCAAACACGCGGAGATTGTGGGACGATTATTAATAACTCACGCGGAGCATCTTCTACTTTTTCCTTCGGAGCGGTCGACTCTGTGGCCGCGACGGACCGCGGGGTAGGTTTTCGCGCGCGGCGCCTAATTTACAACTTCCTTTTTACAATGCTGCAAAAGAGTTGGCTCGCCATCCGTCGTGCTGTGTTATTATTTATCACTGGCACTTTTCGTGAAGGCGAACCGCAGCGATAGCAAGAGCAGTGCTTCAACTTTTATCAGACACTTCCGTTTCACAATCAGATCAAAACCAACCACACCGAATTGAAACAAATTAATTAACAAATTTTATTTTAACAGAAATATTTATCCTTTCTAAAAGCAAGAAATTCAAATTTCAATTCTGATAATTAAAATCTTTTAATTAATACAACTTTTAGGTATTAATTTTTTAACAAAATATCCTTTTCATAAATTAATTATTATAGAATTTAACACTAATTTTTAGGATTTAAAATTATTTACTTACGAGACTAGATAAGCGTTGCGTTTGATCGAACTGTTCGAGTGAAATGACAATGAGCAACGTTAAAAAACAGTCGCGTGACACTTTTTCGCAATTTCGAATTTAGTGACAAGAATCCCCACTTATTTAAAAGCGAGCCAGTTTATGAAAAAAGGAAATTCGCTGGCACAAAGTCTGTTTGTACAGACATTTAAAAGTCTAACGAATGCGGACTTTGTCAAAAGGAAACCCTTTCTTTCCTCGCCATGTCTCAGTAAATGAAACTTTTCCTTGCGTCTCGCGAGGGCGGAATTAAGAATAAAAGAAGAAGCAAAAGAGATCGCCAAGTCGGAAAAGTACACACACTAGCTCAAACTGCTTTTAAGCTTTGGCGAAATAACGAGGATTGAAGTTTCCGGCAACTTTTAGTGCACCAGAAATGTCCGAAACAAAACTAACCTAGTTATGTTAATTTTGTTTCATTGTTAATAAAAAATATAATATATAACTTTAGTGGAATTTATTAAATTTTTTTTTTTTGAAATTTTAAACGTTATTTATAAAGCAAATATAATTTTGATTTGGAGATTTGGAGAAAATGAAAAATTAATATATATATTTTTTAAATAACAAAAAATGTTTTAGTAAATATTTTGCTAACATTGTAAGAACCTCTTTCCTTTTTTTAACTTGAATAATTCTTGTGAAAATTCGTCCCTAGGGGAATGCGGATAATTAAAACGGCCTGGCGTGAGAAAACGCAATGAATAATGGCAAGTTTTGCGCGGGGCGCGTTTCGGCGACACGAACTGACCTGGGGCTGCGTCGACATGGACAGGGAGCGCTGCAGGGGCACTGCGGCGGCGACGGTACAATGCTGCTTGGGCAACGCCATGCCGCTCACACTGCATGACCCCCGACCTGCTGCCTGCAGACTGACTCTCCAAACAAAGAAGGAGCGCCGAGCAGCCCCTCGAGCGCCGTCGCCGACGCGCAAACGCGGCGCAATCACTTTCCAACAGATACATTATTGCGAAATTGCCCAGTGGATGGTGTGGAGGATGTGATAATGCGGGATGAGATTTTCATTGCTCTGTTAGCTAGTCGGCTTGACTTGAAAGGGTTATCAATAATTTTTATCCTTCTACCAATGAACTCTAAAACATTTGATGTCTCAATTTTCTTGATAAATTTTCAGTCAGAAATTCATATTTTGAGGGCGAAAATTTTAAATAAATTTTTAATAATACAATATTTTTTTTCATGCATAAATGGCAAGGCACAGACAAATTCCATCAATTTTGAAACCTTAAAATACAAAAATTATAAAACAGATTAGCAAAAAACCTTGCAAACTAATAAAAATGGCTTTGTTTGAATTATTGGAATTAAAACTTATTATTTTGCAAAATTCTT